CCAATTCAACCAAAGTCAAGCAGACCCATGCTTGTATATTAAAACCGAGGAAGGGAAAGTCATTTACATTGTCGTTTACGTAGATGATTTTTTAATTGCAAGTAGTGATAAAAGGCTAGTAAAGCAGACAGCAGAATTTTTTAAAAATCATTTTGCTCTGATGGATTTAGGGGAGCTAAAGCACTATCTTGGGATACAAGTGAACAAGGATGATGATGGTTTTTATCGGATTAATCAAACGCACTATATATGTAAATTATTAGTTCGTTTCGGGTTACAAGACGCAAAAACCTCGAATTATCCATTGGACCCACAGTACAATAAATCCAGGATTAAGGAACAGGAAGCGATGAAGGATGGCGAAAAATATCAGCAATTAATTGGAGCATTGCTTTACATATCGGTAAATACGAGGCCAGACATTACGGCAAGTGTTTGTATTTTAAGCCAATACAATAAATCACCGACCGACCCCGACTGGGTGGAAGCAAAGAGGGTCGCTCGGTACCTGAAAGGCACTAAAGAACTGACTTTAAAACTGGGTAATAAGGATGACCCAAATAAACACCTGTATGGTTACAGTGACGCAGATTGGGCACAAAGCAATGAAAACAGAAAGTCAAATAGTGGGCATTTGTTTAAATTTAATGGAAGTCCAATAAGTTGGGGATGCAAAAAACAAAATTGTATCGCCCTGTCAACAATGGAAGCTGAATACATTGCGCTGGCAGAAGCTTGTCAAGAAGGGGTTTGGAGACTTCGGTCAAAATCAGGATCATTTGGAGACTTCGGTCAAAATCAGGATCAAGCTACCATTATGTACGAAGATAACCAAAGTTGTTTGAAATACATAAGTAATTCAAAATTCAGCAACAGAACGAAACACATTGATACAAAATATCATTTTTTAAAGGACCTAAAGAAACAGAATTTAATGTGTTTTGAATATTGTGCTACAGAATACATGTTAGCCGACATGTTTACAAAACCGCTAAGCACTCTGAAGTTGGAAGCGATGCGAAAGGCGTGCAATCTTTTTTAATCAAAAAAAATAGGATTATTATTGTTGAGGAAGGGTGTTGGAATATTGTGCAACAACAATAGTCAACGTTTATAAAATAGGAAATAAACCACATGGCAAGCGAGTGAAACATTTACGGCATTCGTACCCTTGACTTTAAAATATACTACGAGGCAGAGTCAGTCCGAAACCACCCTCAGCGAAATATAGTCGTCACAGATGTTATTTGTATTTATCTCTAAAAGTTATTTGTTACCTACTTATCAATAAAGTGTACCTACTTAGTTATCTCGTTCTTAAATACAATTGTGCTTTTTATTGACCATTCACATAATTACGCAAACACCTATTGAAGTCATTAAATAAAATCCAACAACTACAAGTGTATAATTGATCTAGAGGACGAGACCCTGAAGTATAATTTATCGATCAAACGAACTTATCTTAAGTGAAGTTCGATCGTAATTATACGAAGGGTCTCGTGTTGCCAATGAACATTTGTTAGATTGCACAGTGAAGTGCTCCAAAACGCACGGTTTTGCACGGTCCCAGGAATCAAAATGCACAAGTTTCGCACGCATTTTTTTTTGTTTATGTGTACTATTTTTTTTTTATTTTTAAGCATTTTCATTGAAATATTATTGCATCTCAAATTTGAGATTGATTTAAAGATTGCCTTCCTTTCTTCCTCCCTTTCCCTTACGGGAATCTATAAATGGCACTACGATTTTCGTATCTTTTACGGGAGGAAGGAAGAAAGGCAATCTATAAATCAGGCTTAAGACTGCTTTTCTCATTTAAATTTCAGAGTGGGAGTTTTTGGTGTGGAGGATAGTACCTACATATGTATATGTACTATCCTCCTATATATAGGTATAAGTAAATAGTAAATATAAGAAATATATTTCAAACCTATACAGTGCTTGCAAATCCAAGTCCGACCGCGTTGGGAAAGATGGTTGTTCAATACCCGCGTGAAAAGAATAAGGATAGAATGCCAAACAGAATTTGATTGGTCAGAGCGTCAGGCGTGCGTATTGTAAGCGCCTTCTGTTTGGCGTTCTATCCTTGTTATTTTCACGCGTCCTTCCCAAACCGGTCGGACTTGGATTTGCAAGCACTGTATATACAGGTGGTTTCCGATATATAGAGTATTGTTTCGGTTGCTTCTAAACCCAAGTAAATTTTATCCAAAGGAACAAAATATTTTGGGTTTAAATGATTTAACTGAAAAATATTTGTACATTTTCTTATAATGTTTATTTCCATATAGTTACTACATAAAGTTTTTAAAAGTTTTTCTGTTTCAGGTTTCACTTTGTAAAGGAGAGGTTTTTCAGATTGAAAAAGAATGTTAAAATCAGTCATGAGTCCTAGGGTATAACTCATAAACTCCAAATATGCCTTTGTAAATTTATTTTCTAAGGTTTCAATCATTATTTGAGTCGTATGAGAAGGATCTTCAAACACCAACTCCCTAAAATACCCTTTTAGAGGCTCATACTGCTCCAAAACCCTATCAACACAATTTTTAATAGACAGCCATCTTGTAATAGCCGGTGACAATATTTTATGGATTTTCACTTCGAAAAATGTTTGAAATTCTTCAAATCGTTTAGTTCTTTGAGAGCTACGGTGAAAATGACTGCCAATATTCCTTAGCAAGTCTTCCACTGATTTGGGCAGTTTTAAACAGGCTTTGGAGGTGGCCAAATGGGCCATATGGCAGGAACATTTTATGCAAATTATATGGGGAATATTTTCTTTTAATAAAGTAAAAACTGAATGGAGTGTCCCTGCCATTACGTTCGTCGTGTCCGATGAAAATCCAACAAGATTTGTTAGGGGCAAATTTTTATTTTTTAACGTTAAAATCAATAATTCGAATAAATCAATTGCGGTGCTACCCTCGGACTCTATCAAGTCAAAAAATTGAGTAACGACTTTGTTCTTTTCAATATCAAAATAAATAACAGTGAGAGCGCATTGTTTTTTTGTTGAAATGTCCGTGGTTTCATCTAAAATTAAGGAAAAAAAACAACCAGGTCGCCGGAGCTTTTCATTGAGCTCCTCAAAAAAATGTTTTCCCAGACTTTCAGTAACAACTGCCGTAGCTTTTGTTCGGTGGAGATTGAGCCCCAGAGCAATTTGAGAGTCTGGGAAAATATCTTTAAGAAGCTCAGATAAGGAGTCCATTAAGCAAAAACTTAAATTATTTGTTGCCAATAGACCACATAACTTCATTTCAGCATTTTTAATTTTTGTTGTAGTAGATTTTGTCGAGAAATCTTCAATTTTTTTGTTACTAACAACCTGCTGAAAGTTAAAAATATGTTTTTCACTTTTTGAATGTCTAATTAATGATCCCCTATGACAGAACACTTCCTTTTTGCAAAGTTTGCAAAAGGCCATTTCAGAATCGTCTTTTTTTTTTAACCAATCTTTAAAAATTGGATCGCACAGCCACTTACTGGAAAATTTGTACGTTGTTTTGTTCCTGACGATGGTCTTCTTCAAAACTTTCTTTCTTTTCTTCTCTGGTTCATTATTATCATCTTCGTTACTTATCTCAAAGTCGCTGCTTTCTAGCTCTGACTGGCTGTCCTGAGGTCCCGATGTCGATGGTCTTGAGACTGAGCTGTTGTCCTCACTGCTTGGCAAAATCTAAAAAACAATTAAAAATAATATTTAAATAATTATCAAGTAGCTATTTAAGTAGGTATTAAGTGGCTATTACACTAGAGTGGCTTTCAACTGCTCATATAATAATATTATTATGTCCCCTCAGGGGACTCCCCTGACTTGACCTAAGAAATTGCAAATGTATAGCAGTTTTGTATTTTATTAAATAAAATTAAATGTAGGTACTTTTTAAAATAAAATTAAATATACTTATTAGTTATACGTATAAAAAAAATTCTGAAAGAATTGTGAAAAGTAAAAAATTACAAAAAACACTTACCTGTTTTTTAATGAGCCACGAGTCCATTTTTCCGATTTATTAACACAAATTCAATAATTAAATTAGAACTAGGTACCTATAGTTCTTATAAGAACTTAACACTGGAACTCCCAAACCAAAGATATATTAAATTTTAATGTAAATGTATACCTATTTACGTAGATACCTATTAACATTAAATCTAAAGTAAAAGAGAGATGCCATCTTCTCTACTAAAGTGTCAGGCGCATGCTCAGTGCGCCTGCGTAGAAGGATTCTACCCAGTAAGCATTGCTCGCGCCATCTGTTCTGCGACTCACGCACTATAAATACCGGTAAATTTAAAATTGTACGGCTGACCCCGCCCTCAATGCCAAGTTGCCAAGTTTCTAATTGCATTTTCATTTTTTTTATTTTTATGTTGCCAAGTTCGTAATTGTATTTTAAATATTTTTTGTAAGTTTAATGTTTTTATGTCGTATTTTTAAAACGCACGCAAAACGCACGCTTTCGCACGATGTTCGGAAAATGCACGGTCAGGCATGAAAACGCACGAAAACCGTGCAATTGCACGGTCATTGGCAACTCTCGTCCGAAATTCGGACTCCGAATAGATCAATCCCCCCCACCCGATTGGATTCCCAAAAATTTGATCTATTCCTACGATTTTTTGAAATTTGCTTTGAACCTAATGACATTTGGGCGCGAATCAGGTGACCAATAGGGTGTTGGTCGGAAGCGCGCCAATTTTGAATTTTAATTTCTATGCTTTAAAATAGTTGTGGTTGAAACCGAGCAGCTGGCGCTACTACAAGTGTATAATTGATCTATTCGGACCAGAGATATCTCCATATCTCTGATTCGGACGAGACCCTTCGTATAATTACGATCGAACTTTACTTAAGGTAAGTTCGTTTGATCGATAAAGTTTGTATTAAATTTTATTAAATCCAGAAAGATAGCCATGATTTAACGTCATTACTGTCACTTTAAACGTTTAACGTTTAAAATCGGCGTTGTCACGTTTATTTTCGCTACATGTTGCCGTTTCAGCAAGCTCTATGTGCCCCGAGTAGAAATTCGTTTTTGACAAGTCGTAGGCCAGATTCACTTAAATTGTACGACTTCTACAGTTATTGGAGAGATGTTGCGGGTAATTTTACAACGTTTCCGCAACATTTCAAAGAGAATGGGTATTATACGAAATCGGTTGGTAAAATTTTTCATCCCGGGGCTAGTTCAAATTATACTGATGATTTTCCATTGAGTTGGAGTAAAATACCGTTTCATCCGAAGAGTGAGAAATATAAAAATGCTGCTTTATGCCCCAATAAAGACGGGACATTGGGGAAAAATTTAATTTGTCCTGTTTGGGTTGATAACCAGCCTTCACAGACTCTTCCTGACATGGAGTCTTTGAAAGAGGCTGTAAGCTTTATCAGTGATTACAAAAAGAATGACCCGTATTTTTTGGCTGTTGGTTTTCATAAACCCCATGTACCTTTTCGATTCCCCATTGAATATCTAAGTAATTTTACTATTTTGTTTTGTTTTTTATACTTAAATGTCATTTTTACAGAGTACCACCCTCTAGAAAAAATAGAACTACCCCAAAATAGATGGCGGCCATCTTTGTTGCCAACAGTAGCATGGAATCCCTGGAATGATTTAAGGAGAAGGGATGATATGAAATTATTAAACATTTCTTACCCTTTTGGACCAATGCCTGATAAAACCACGAAAAAAATAATACAATCATATAATACTGCCACAACTTACATTGATGATTTAATAGGAAAATTAATTAAACATGTTGATAAAAATACTATTACTGTTATTACAGCGGATCATGGTAAAAAATCGAAATAATAGTTATAAATGTTAGACCTTAAACATTTTTTAGGGTGGTCAATGGGTGAACATGGTGAGTTCTCGAAATTCAGCAACTTCCAAACAGCAACAAAAGTTCCTTTAATTATCAATATACCGAATTTATTACAAAATACAATTTATATTGATAATTTTGTTGAATTGGTGGATATATTCCCATCTTTAGTAGATATAACAGGAGTTTCAAAAGCTTTGGAGTTATGCCCTTTTGGCACAAAAATGGAACTATGCACGGAAGGCAGAAGTTTCGTTAGGCTACTCAAAGACAAACCCATTAAAAAAGTACGCACATTTTTCTCATTTCAGCTTTTTTTAAAGTAAATTATACTTTCAGAAAACCTTATCAAAAACAGCAATTTTTACCCAATACCCCAGACCCTCCACATACCCGCAAAAAAAACCTGACAGCGACAGAGCAACCGTAAAAGACATAAAAATAATGGGATATTCCATAAAAACCCCAAAATTCAGATACAGCGAATGGATAAAATTCAACCAAAACTTCACAGTGGATTGGAACACGATTTACGGCAAAGAATTATACGACATAACCATCGATCCCGAGGAAAATATGAATTTAATTGGACGCCCCGAACTGAGTAACATCGAAAAAACGCTACAAGTAAAGTTACGATTAGGTTGGAGATATGTTTAATAATCTCCTTTGAATTTCCCGCTTCGTTTTTAGCGGTATAGTAGATTCCCATGATACAACAGAAAATAGATTCCTGTAGTGACAAATACGTCAAAATGCATATTTTTAGCAAATGGCACAATGTGGCAAATGGTAGATTAAGGCTTTGTTATCTATGATTAAGAGCCTAGTTTGGTCTAGAGATGTTACGGAATAGCTTTTTCTTGTACCTAGTTTGACCTGTACCAGTTCCCAACGCGAACCTATTCCAGATACCTATTCCGGTTCCTGACTATTCCGACCCAAATGCGCGGCTGCGGCCATTACAAAGAACGCATATTTAGTTTTAGTTAACTAATTTTTTATAAATATATTTTTTTTAGATGTACCTAATTTTAATTAGTGATATGTAACGAAAACCAAATAGTAGATTTTAATTTTTGTTATTTTTTTTAAATATTTATTTCAGTTTTTTATACTAATAGTAATATGTAATATATTTGGATAGGTACTCTTTTATTTATTGTTTTTTTTTTGCTAAAAAAATAAAAAGATCCTATTCATATTTCTCTTGTACTTTATTTATTAGTCTCATCAGTAGCCATAATTTGATAATTAATTAATAATAAATGAAACGTACCGTACCTAATCAAGCAAACCATGATTCATGTGCTATAAAGTAAAATAACGCGGCAACCGACAACGAAAATACCTACTGCGGTTCCAATCGGTATTCACTGTCATAGCGGTGACGCGTCACCGGCATTGTGAAAAGAATATCTATGTATATTGCACTGAAACCTATTCCAGTAAACGGTAAACCATAGAAAACAAACTAACTAAGCGACATCGTGACGGCTGTAAGAGGACTCGAAATAGGAAAGGCCGGAATAGGTTCCAATGTTTGGGAATAGGTTCGCGGAATAGGCAGTTGATACCTATTCCAAAGTAGCCGGTCCAGTTCCACTGTAACATCCCTAGTTTGGTCTAGGATTAAGAGTTCGATCACCTTTATAATCTGTGACTCAGTGTTGTTACAATTGGTACAATTGTACCAAATTCGGTACATTTGAGAATTATCTGGTACAATGGTACCACAATGGCAAATTTGGTACAATTTTTAAAAATTGTTTTTTTTATTTTCGCCGTGACTAGAAGTACACCGGTACCGCTATTAAAAGTACATCAGGTTTGTGCGCATGCGTGTTTCCATAACAGCTGATGGTAAAATTTCGGATTTATTAGTTGACATTAAATTGGTTGTATAACAGTTGGTAAAGAGCTGGTTAACTCTTGATATTAATTATGTAATTATTAAGCTAACTTTCAAGTTGTATAAACATTGATTAAAATTTAATTAAGTGATTGAAATACAATAGAGTAATTGCATCAAAAATGAAAATCCCTAAAAACCTTTTTAATGTAATCTAGAGGTAAAAACACATTGCAAAAATATTTTTTTATATTCCAAAAGTTCAACCCGGCCCCAAAATATCAAATTAAAAAAAAGGTACTTTTCAAACGTTCCGAACTCCCGCCAAATTGCATGACGTCATAAGCTCCAACTGTCAGAAATCAAGATGTCAACAAATAATAAACACCGATAAAGTTTATGTTTAACATGGAAAACGCGAAACCAAAAATTGGTTGTAAATATTGTTTTGTGCCTTGTTGTACAAATACAACCTGGAAAACTCCTGGGAAAGTTGTCCCTTCAATTATCAAAAGCAAAGTTTATGACCCTACACTGAGAGTAGTTACGGCTCAGCCGTATTTTCTTGGGTTTATTAATATTTAACATACCTATTCAAACCATATACCTAGTAAACGACATTTTATTTTACTTACATTAAAATGATCCTTAAAATGATCAATAAAATGTTGACTGCGGTGACGATGTTTTGATATCGCGCCGAGCTATTTTAATCCACTTTATCCTTATTTTCCCTTTTGGCACGGTGATAAACCTTTTCCCAGGAGTTTTCCAGGTTGTATTTATACAAGGCACAAAACAATATTTACAACCAATTTTTGGTTTCGCGTTTTCCATGTTAAACTTTATCGGTGTTTATTATTTGTTGACATCTTGATTTCTGACAGTTGGAGCTTATGACGTCATGCAATTTGGCGGGAGTTCGGAACGTTTGAAAAGTACCTTTTTTCAATTTGATATTTTGGGCCCGGGTTGAACTTTTGGAATATAAAAAAATATTTTCGCAATGTGTTTTTACCTCTAGATTACAATAAAAAGGTTTTTAGGGATTTTCATTTTTGATGCAATTACTCTATTAACAACAAAATTAATGAAATGTCAGTATGAATTACCCAAACCAACCCAAACTCAACAACCCAACCCAACCGACCCCGCCCCCCGCCCCATTGAGCGACCATTTAATATTATACAATTGACAAATATGCTAAATAAGGATTTTTTTCCACCCGGTGTACTTTTAATAGCGGTACTCCCGGTGTACTTCTAGTCACTTTGTTTTATTTTTGTTTTTTCAATTTATTTTTCATTTTTGTGCCAGCGCCATCTCTTTAGGCTTATTGACACTTAAAGTGTATTTAACCACTACATCTTTATCTAATCTATGCACTACATCGCCGACAGTTGGCGTTTTATTTATATATTTTTAAATAAATATGCATTTTTTAATAAATTTTAAAATTTGTATTTCCCGCCATTTTGAACAATTTTTAATGTTGGTACAATGTGGTACAATAATTCCCTAGAAACTGGTACAAATATTTTTTTACTTGTTCGATCAGAGATCCTTTATAATCTGAAAATAGCTGACTTTGACCCAGGAAGGATAAAATGGGGTTCCCGGTATAGAAATATACCGTTATTTCTCGACAATATCGCAAGCTTTGACCTTTCAGCGAGGTATTTTGTGAATTGTGCAATCGATTAAGTGGATGTTTCAAGATTTGAAATTCCACGTGTATCTACTGGTGACTGGTTAAAAGAGCCACATCGGCTCAGACCAAATCCATTACTGAGGGAGAGGCTTATGGTACTCCGGACGTAGTGGATAAAAAATATAGAGAGAGAGAGTAGATTAACTCCAAACTCCTCGTGTGATTCAAGAAGAAACTCATCGACAGCACAAAAAACAAATTGAAGACAAACTTTGAGAAATTCGGGAGTATTTACGTATAACATCATCATGAAAAACACTGACGAGCAGGTAAGGTTTTATGAATAAATAATCATACATTTTAATTTCATAATCAAGTTAACAAATTTTTCATTGGGTTCACTGCAGGATGACACTGAAGTAGAAAGTGTGATTAGAATGAATAAAGATTTAAAAGATAGTGAAGAAAAGTTATTAGATATATTAGAACCCAAGCAGCAAAGAATAACACATTTTGGGCAATGTGTCGACACAGCGTCGAAACATGATTTTGGACACGACACATTTTAAAGACACAAAGTCCACTTTAAGACCACTTAGTGTGGAAAATGAGACCAAAGTGGTGATGAAAGTTGTACCAAAAAGTGTCCATAGTTTGCCCACAAAATGTGCTCGATTTTTTCTTAAAATTTGCCCACAATGTGCCCGGTAGTGTGACCGATTTATGCCCAAATAGTTTCTAATTTTTATGTTACCAAATGGTCACCATTTGTTCTGAATTGTTGCCAAAATACTGTATTGTGTCCTAAAATAAACCCAAATGGACACTTACTATTTTTAAATGGAAACAAACTAGATACAAAGAGGCAAAGTAAGGCGTGATGTCTTAATAATTATGTAGGTAAATAATATAATATTATGAAATACATTATAACTTAAATCTAACATTTTTGGTTTATGTTACCTTCATTTTTATTGCGAACAAAATTTTATTGGTGGTTATAAGCAAAATACTTTTAAAAATTGATAAATAATAAGTAATTTTCAATATTTATATACATTTTTTTAATTAAAAATATTTTTTTTTCCTATATTTTTATCAAAACTAGACGTATGTGCCTTCTATGTAACTTAAAACATTGCATTTTTAAAATTTTAAGTATAAATTTCACCAGAAAGTTAAATTATGTAAAAAAATTTCACATCCGCCGTTTTTTCTTAAAGCGTCGAATCTGTTTCAACAAAAAAATATGGCGAATTATACAATGTGTCCAATTGGAAACTAGTTTCTATCATGTAACCGTAATTTATACTAAATTTATTCTATATGGGCACAAAAAATTAATAGACACATTTTAGCCACATGTGTTTAATTATAATCCAGTATTTTGCTAAAATGGCTATACACATACAAACGCAATTTAGGAACCTACTTGACACCTGCGCCTTAATTTTGCCCAAAATAAATCCAATATGCGCCTTGTGTGTTCCGAAATGTGCCTGATTGGTTGCATTTCGAACACATCCCAACACTCATTTTGACATAACCTCATTTTCGCTGTGTATTTAAGTGTTAAATTATACTTCGGGGTTTTCTATACATATACAATGTCGTTTAAAATAGTAAAAACTATAGAAAACAATATAGTGCAATATAGGCATTTTTAATTTTATATCAACCCACTATTATGTATTTACTCTCTATATAAGAGCTGATACTAGCTAACAAATCGTCTATCATGACACAATTTAGAGAATAACTGGACAAAATGTGTATTTAATGTGTCCATTTGGAACCTATAATTATAATGCGTCCGCCTCACACATTTTTGAAACAAATCAGACACCCTGAATCTAAAATTCAGCTAAATGGAAACTTTTGCGTCCACTTGACTCAATTTGGTAATAAAATGGAAACAGATTGATAAGGTACCATATGGAAACATCGACTAAGTGTCGACCCTAATGAGTCCAAATTGTGTTACTGTTTCCAAGAGGGCACAAAAGCGACGCAACTTGGGCACATATTTCTGAAATAATGCTACTTAGACCCATACTTTTTTTGGACACAATTGGTTTAAAATGTGTCGACCCAAAGCAAACTCAAATTTGAAGAATGGACACAGTTTCCATTTAGACATAAGTTTTCCGATTTGTGTCGAAACAATTTGGAAACAAAAAGTGTCGTGCCCAAGTTAGGGCACAAATTGCTGCTTGGGAAAGTATGGAGAGGGAGGAAAATTCAGGGGTGCAGGTGATTTTTTTGTGCAAAAAATGTTTTGTTTTTGATGTACCTACTAACAAAAGAAGTTATTTTTATAACATTATTTTTATTTGTATTATAATAAACAATTTTCTAAGGATGTTAATAACAAATAACACTTGTGAAGTTTTGATTATTTTACACAAACTGTCATAAAATTTATACAGTATGCACAGATGGGGTTACAATTTGATTATTCTGAAAATTTTAAACTGATTTTTTTTTTTAATAAAAATGTTTTTTTTTTTTCAGTTTTTGTTCATTTGTCATTTTCTTTCCAATTTTTACTTATGAAAACGTAAAAAAAATGCATAAAAAATATTTTTGGCAATAAAGTAGTATAAAGTAAACATGTCAATAGAAATGATTAGTTTTAAAAATTACAAATGAAAGGTAACTGACCAAAAATGTTTTTTTTTTAACAGAAATATCAAAATTGCAAACTAACTATAGAAAATAATAAAGTTTTCTGACCTTATATTTGTAACCCTATCTGTGGACAAAGGTAATGTATGTCAACCTCAGCTGCCTTATTTAATATTTCAGCTAATTAGACAAACAGTGTTGCCAAGTTTAAAATTAAATTGTAAATAACACAAAAACTAATTACAAACAACTATTTTTTATACCTAAAATAACGCATTTTCAAACCATGTAATTTTTAACAGCCTCCATGAGTGATATTTTGACATCCCTAACGTTGTTCGTCATTTGAAAGCTCTGCAAAGGTCAAATTATCCACAATTTTTCTACCAAACACATTTTGTTTAGATTGTCGAAGTAAACGGCAGAGACAACGTCTCGGAACCGAGCACGAGCTCTAGAAACAACGACAATTCGGAAAGACAAGAATCCGATGCGATCAGGGAGGAACAAATGATGCCACGAATGGCTCAAGGTAAGAGGCCCGATACTACTATACTATCGTACGTCTATGTCGGCGCGATGTTTTTTTGAGGTTATCCTTGAAAGTGTACTGGGTGGAATAATAAAATTTGATGGGATTGCAGAGGATGCCATAAGCAATTTTGTGTGCAAATTTCTTAATTAAAGGTTTAATAGTTTTTGAGATATTTAGGGTCAAAGTTTACTTAGACTAAAATGTGTCATGTTTTTTGACAATGTAATAGTTTTAAGGGGTTATCTTTGGAAATAAAACGTCTACAATAATGAAACTTGAAGACATTGTAGAGAATATTATGATTAATACCGTGCATAAACTTCGTATTTTAATTTTTTATACCTATTGAAATTTTTGTAGTTAAAGTTGCTTAACCTAAATCGCAAATTTCATCGAATTAAATATACTTGAAAATATAAGGGTTGAAATAATTAAACTTAAAACAATTGTAGAGAATATTATGATAAATATTATGTGTAAATTTCATATTAAAATAAAAATTACTAAAGGGCCATTTCAGGCATGCGGACGGGACAAATCACAAAACTGTTTTTATAAAAAAAAATTTAGGTAATTTATTATATAATATTTTGGCATCGAAATTGTCCAAAATATTCTTCTTTTATTAGGCTATACATTAAATAAAAAAACGCAAGTAATATTTTATAAAAGTAAGTAATATTTTATAAAAGTAGAGATAATTTTAATAATTGACAGGTGTGGGTGGGACAAGATAAATCTTTTTTTATTAAAACTATGGGAATTACACTGGGCGTCATTTTTAAAATATAGCCTTAATCAAAGGATAATTAAAGGTTCATGCCATTTTTAAAAATTATGTAATCCATTATTTATCAGACTTATGTGTTTGCTGGGAAGTAAGGCACATTTCGTCACAAGTTGTCATAAACTACGTTACGTCACGTTAAATTTATACAAATATTCATTCAAATTACGGATAAAATTTGAATTTCTGACGTCACTAGGGGAGCCCAACCAGGGAGGGGGGTCATAGCTATTTTAAAATAAAAATTACTAAAATAGTATTGATTAAAAATTATGTTAAATACAACCTTTTTATTCTGAAACGCTAAAATACTTATAGAAGATTTTGCTTCTATATTTTGGGAACATAAAAGATGTTCATTAAATATAGAAGACATGGCAACCCTAACTTGTTTTCATTCATTTCTAGCAGTTGGTAATGAAGTAAAAAACTTGCCCAACAAAAAACGCGAATGCGTAAGCGAAGAAGACTTCGATGAGGCCAAAAAACCGAAGCTTAAGGATCTTATGGGAAAACACAAAGGTAGGAAGGATCAATATCATTTTTACTGTTTTTATACGTGTTTTTATAGCTGGAACATCAAATTTAAACCAAGATATCGGGGCTGACACAAAATCGGACTTCAGATTCAATGACTCTATAAATGACAACCACTTGTCAGGGTAAGAAACACTAAAAAAACTGTTTAATGCCATTGTGAGTACAAAGGATGTGAAAACATCTTGGCTGGTACAAATTTAGTATGGGAAATATGACATATTTTCCATACCAAATTCGAACATTGTAACCTTAGAAATTTTAAAAATTTCTACTTACTCATTTTTTCATTTGATACTAATTTCATGGAGGTCGTAAATAAATAGGATTATAATCTAACAGCGGCCGCCATTTGGATTTTGGAAATTTTAATAATTTTAAAATTTTATGAATAACGTGAATTTAAAAATTAGGTAAAACAAAGATTTTAAATGTTTGAAAATTTTTTAGAAATTCTTAACACCTTATCGTTTTCTACTCGTAAAACTCTTTCATTTGAAACCCACATCAATTAGGTAATCCGTCTTACGGCGGCCGCCATATTGGATTTTGTAAATTTAAGTTTTAATAATTTAAGCTTGGAATAAAAATAATTAAGTATTGCCTAACTCAACGCTTAAGTTTTATTTGTTGGAAATCTATATTTTAATAAAACGTTGATGCTGTAAAAATCTTTGTCTACTATTTTTTAATTTTTTTACACAAATATCTTGTCAATTCCTAGTAGCATTGTTATGTACAATTTCTTGGCTAATATAATTGTGTAAATTTATCTTAATGCAAAGCAGACATTGGGTGGATTACCCGCCCTCGAATTACGAGGCGACAAGGCGAATGCAGTCGTGCACGCCCGAACGCAACGTTCGAGGCAGTTCGGCCAGCACCAGTGGCGTAGCGTGGACTAATATAGACGTGGGCGAAGTCGCATCAGCGAGGCCCCTTTTATTTCTAACGACTAACGGTTTTCGATGAAAAAAATACAAAGCATTTAATGCGAAAACCGTTAGTCGTACGAAAAATGGTCAAGAAATCAAATTTGCCCTAAAATGAATGTGGATTTAAAAAATAATTTTTATTTTGAAAAATAGCAGTGGCGTGCATAATATTTTTCCAAAAATATCTAGACCACATCCTGTAGGAGCGCCACTGGTAAAAAAAAAATAAAAAATCTTCTAAAATTAAAAACTTACTGTTAATGATTAGAAGACGTGTGCCAAATTTTATAAAAATATCTAGGAAGTTATTAAAGTTATGATAAAAAAACGATTTTATTCTTTAAACTTTAACACCCTGTAACTTAAAAATTAAGAGGTTTAGGTCATAGGTTTATTTGAACTTTTTTCTTAAAATCAACTAAGGATTCACACCCTTAAGGTTCAGCATCTTATTCTGAAACGATTTTCTTTAAATTTGGGTGGTGATTGTATGTTGGAGACACTTAATATTTTCCATGGTAAAATTTTTTATTTATCATTGGCGTACGGTGTTAGGGGTAAAAACTTTTTTAATCATATTCAGCAAATAAAATTTCTTTAGATTTTAAGAATATGGATTAAGGGGTTTTTGGGGATGCTGAATCTATATAGGATAAAAAAATGTATCTAAAATAAGCCCTAATATCCTTTTGCCGAAAAATCGACCCCCTAAAACCGTACGCCAATGATAAATAAAAAAACTTAAATATTGAAATATTTCATTTCTTCAGCATACAATCACCACCCAAATTTAAAGAAAATCGCATTATTAATAACAGATTGGATTTATGAAAAGCGGGACAAATTATTAAACCAAACAAATGTGGCCCTTTTATTCGGCAAATGATGCACACACTATTCGATTAACTGTTTAATTCTACTTTACTTACATAACTAAACTTAAATAATAATTAAGGAACAATCATAAATGTTATAAAACACATACAGCAAATTAAATGACAGTTATTTAAATCGCGAAAGTTGATATATCTACATTACCTACAAGTTGTAGGCCACAACTTGGTATTTGTTTAGAGTCCTAATAGGTGGCGTATTAAAGTGAAATCCATTGTAATCACTATTTCTGTGATTGTAATCGATTAAAATTGATTAATTATTAGTATATAAGGATCTTAAATTTACATATTTTTTAGGTTTTTATGTGATTTAAAAATAAACGAGGATTTGAAGTCTGATGGCATCGCATTTAAAGAGGCCTCGCGAGGCCCCTTTAAGTGCGAGGCCGTGGGCGAGGGCCCACTTCGCCTACGCCTAGCTACGCCACTGGCCAGCACCTCCACCGTCTACGCGAGAGAGAGACCGCGGAGCAATAACGAGGAGCAAGACAACAAGTCTCAGGTAAGTGAACAGTTTTTGCAGGGATGTTATGATTTTTAAAACCTTTTTGTCTTATATGAACACTATAGTCGCGGCCAAATCTGCATGGGCGCACGTCATCAACGGCATATGACGTCAGCGTTAAGGTCTATTCATATGTGCCTTGGTAAACAACCAGGGCTCCCACACCCCCTAAAATTTGGCTTAAGGGTATATTTCAAATAATTGGCTACTTGCTGCCCTGAGGTTAGAACTTAATATTTTCGTAACTAAAATGAAATGAGAAGAATAGATCTGATAAAACAATCCTCAGCTTCTTTAAATTATGTGTTCAAAATCTCCCAATAAGGTATTAAAAATGTATTAAAATTACCTTAAAATATAGTAAATGCTGGACTGCTCGGCCATTTCAAGCGGATGGACGGGACAAATCACAAAACTGTTTTTATAAAAAAAATTGTAGGTAATTTATTATATATTATTTTTGCATCAAAATTGTCAAATATATTCTTCTATTATTAGGCTATACATTAAATAAAAAAAATCGCAAGAAATATTTTATAAAAGTAGAGATAATTTCAATAATTGACAGGGGATGGACGGGACAAGATAAATCTTTTTTTGTCCCGTCCATCCCCTGTCAATTATTGAAATTATCTCTACTTTTATAAAATATTTCTTGCGATTTTTTTTATTTAATGTATAGCCTAATAATAGAAGAATATATTTGACAATTTTGATGCAAAAATAATATATAATAAATTACCTACAATTGTTTTTATAAAAACAGTTTTGTAATTCGTGCGTTTCGCGCGCTTGAAATGGCCGTGCTGGAAAAATATTGTTTCTGCAGTCAAAAGTATAATATGTTTTATTTAATTTGTAGAAGTCTATACAGTTATTAACTAATTTTTGTTAAAAAAAAACTTAAAACATTTTGGTGAAAAGCATTTTAGTTGATGTCCCTTAATTTAAAATGTCCAATCCGTGACGCCATTTTCACACAATAATAATATTCACAACTCGGCAACGCTTTCTCGACAAGGTAAAATATCTATTGTAATTTGTAGTACCTGTCAAAGTTAAACAAGTTGAGTAAATTATTTTATTTTTATAGGTGTAAATAAGAAATAATTAATTAATATATAAGTGCGTACACTTATTAGTAGTCTTTACTGTGACACTTGCTAGAGTATCAGTTTCTTTTACCAAGTTCTTTAGATGTAAACCATTCTGAGTAGTTTATCTTAAAGCTAAAGATCGCGAAACACGTGCTTGCGTCAAACATGAAAATTTTGTTGTTATCACCCAAAAACTATATTTCGAGAAAATTTGAAACAATCTTAAAAAAAGAAGAAGAGACTGATATATTAAATGTAAAAAAGTAGAAAATAATCATCAAAGAAAGGATAATAATAAATGATAGGATTTTTATTGCAGTAATTGAATAGCTCAATATAATTTTGTATGTGCATTCCTATCGACCAAAAAAAGTTTGTTTTGTTTTTTTTTTTGTTTATAAGAGTGATACCATAAATATTTTTGGACAAATATTTTTATTTCATATAAATTATTACATACCACCAATATAATTTATAGTATTATGACTGAAAAACTCATTTAAAAAAATTACAGCACCCTTAGTAGCAGCTAGAAGCAAAAAATATTTATGCCACCTTTTTTGGCAAATCATTGGACTAATATTAAGGATTTTGGTCAGTCTGTGCAAAGTTATGCATTTTTTTTAAACCTTAGTGAAAGTTATAATAATTTATTTTTGGAAGCATATCATAGCAAACAAATAGTGCAAGTCTATAACACTGTAATACCCAAAGAAAAAATGTTTTATAATAAAATGCAGAACCAGTAAAATTAATTTTCTAATAGGGGTTTTATACTATTTTAACAGTTCGACTAAAAAATAGTTTATAATCATGGATAGACTGGACTTTTATCTATACTTTTGCAATATTAGAACATTACAAATTCACACTCCCTTTTTCGATTTTTGTCCACTTATTTTTACAAAAAAAGTGATATTTATTTACATTTTTATTAAAAAGAATTATTTTTTTTTCAAGTACAGTGGTTTCATTTAATTACAGAAATTTATTCGGATACTTTATTTCTCCTAAAATTCTCGAAAAAACCTCAGTCCCTAAATAAAATTTGTAATTTAGTGGGAGCCCTGCAATATTTTTTTATAACACATCAGAATTACGCCTTAATAAAGCAAATTTAACGGCAGTAACTTAACAATTCAAAGTTGGTAATGCTGACGTCATTATATCGCATTGATGAAGTGCACCAAGTGGCCGCGACTATACAAGACAACAAGATTATAACCTTACTTTACGTAATTTAACATCTAGATAAACAAACAAACCCCTCTCACCACGGTGACCAACGTGGCAACGGCGCCGGCGCTCGAAGCCCATCCCCCCTGCACCAACAGAAAAAAATCCCGGAAAAGAAAAGCCAAAAATAATAAAAAAAAGAATAAAAAAAAAAAAAAAAACCTGTCGATCCAGCCTAATCAGATCGAGGACCATCAGAAAGTAGAATTGAGAGGTCAAACTCAACCAGGATCCTCAAATGCTAATCAAGGTAATCAGCTAGATAATACTCAGCCTGTATCAAGACAACAGTCACCAGGTTTGTCAGGTGATAGGTTAAAGAGATCTGATAATGATCCTAATCAGGCAGCCTCTTCTCAGCGATCTTCTCCTGACATTGATAGTGATGATGAAAGAGAAAAAAATACGGAGCTATTTTCTGCTATAAAGAATGGTAATATGCAAAAAGTTCAGGAGCTGCGGAAAGCAGGACTAAAGGTTAGCATTATTGATAAAAATAATAAAGATAATACCCCTTTACACTATGCTATTGAAAGGGAAAAAAAAGAAATAGCTGAAAACCTACTGCAAGAGTGGAAAGCAGATATTAATGCTCCAAACAATAAAGGTAATACTCCTCTACATATTGCTACTTCTAAAGGTAATAAAGAACTTGTGCAATTGCTTATAAGTAAAAATGCAAGTACTAATATCAAAAATAATGAAGTTAGAACTCCACTGGATATTGCTAAGCATCTTAAAAGGCAAGATATTGTACAAATATTAGAACCACAAATTCAGCCAAACCTACAGGCTTCTGTTGGAGATAATCAGCAAATTGGTAGCAGCGTTCAACAACGATCGGATAAAAAGAGACCAGGAATACAAGGCCTTCATGGTGTGATTTATCAATTAAAATTATTAATGCTGTTTTTAAAGCGTGGAGTGGATAATCAATACTCCTTTCGCTTAAGTACAGAAAAAAAAGAAGCTAATAAATTTGATGACTTGTTTTTTGAGGTGACCAAAAATGGTAAAAAAGAGTACCGTCTTTTACAGGCTAAGCATAAAGCCGATGAATCCAAGAAGATTACATTCGATAATCTGTTAACAGAAAGCGATAGTGATTATAGCCTAGTTAAATACTTCCTTTCTTATAAAGACTCTAAAAAGGAAGAATTATTCAAGAATGGAATTATCAAACATGTTACTGTTTGTACTAATATTAACTTGGATTTAGATGATAAGTATGAGTTAAATGGTGTTTCTAAAACAATTAGAGAAGTAGTACAAAAAATAGAAGAGAAAGATAACATTCTAGATATAGATAGTGAAATGTTTGCTAAAGAAGCTGTGCGCTATCGTTTTAGTGATAATGTAGCTTTGCTGTTAAAACCAAAATTAGAACATTATAATTGGACCAGATTAGCAAGAAGATTGGCTGAGTGTTTTTTAAAGAACAATTCTATACAACATCATCAAGAGCATGATATTTTTAAGGTTTATCATACTGTATTAGCAAAAGAAGTCATTCATGTTAAAGATGAAAAATTTCACGATAAATTTATAGAGAATAAAGGTATATCTGAGGATACTCAGAAATTTAGAGAAGCTTTTGCAAAGGAAATAAAAAAGCAATCAAAAGGGGCACTAACATTAGAACACATTAATTTAGCAATTTCTGAAAGAAAAGTAGTTGATAATAAACAGGTTGGTTTAAAGTTATCTAATAATTTTGGAAGTGGAGAAGATAAAAATTGGCCAAATAATGCTATTTCTGATAAAGATGTAAACGATTTTTTAGATTGCTTAGTGTTTGCAGTAAACCAACCTAATGAAGATCAATTAGGTAAAATTATTGAAAATGAAATAAGTAAGGAGTTTAACTTTGCTGCAAAGGATTATGTGTATAAAAAGCTTTTCGAAAAAATGTTGGAATGGTTAAATGGTAAGGAAGAAGAGTTTTTCTCATATCAGGATGGAAAGAGTTTCTTTGAAGAAACGAAGCAAGAATTGGAATTAATTCGTCTTACTCTGGAGTATGAATCTAAAGTTAAAAAATTTGGTTTGGAGTTTAACTCAGATGCAGTTCAGGAAATAGAGTTGTTTCTTGCTGCCAAAGATACTAATAAACAAGTTTTTAATGCTATTACTCAACAAAATACACTAAGTGCTATTAAAGTATATCAGGTTTTACAAAACAAGAATTACATTTTTATGCAGCTAAACTCTATCTTACATCTCCAAAATCGGGTAATACAGGCTTTTGAGGGCAGTAGCAATTTATTAGTAATTGATTGTAAGACTAAAGAAAAAGAAGAAGATATACAAATACTATATGATCAATTGTCCAGTATTATACAGTCTAGCTCTAATAAAAAAGTTGTTCTGATTACTCAAGGAAACGACCTTCTAGCTAATAAGTTTAAATCTACTTTAAAAAATAAATATCAAGAAAAAATAGATGAAAAGAATAGCTTACTTAATCTAAATCCTAATTCACAAAAAATAGTTCTAGAAAAAGGAAAAGTTATATTTCTAGGAGAAGAAGGGGTAAATTTAGGTAAATTAGTAAATAATATTGAGACAAAAAAGCTAATAGATGGGGAAGTATTATCTAAGCTTGTGAATCTTGAGGAGGTAAAGATAGGTAAAGCACTCATAGATTCAAAGTATGAGGATATTAAGGATTATTATATTCCCCGAACATTTAATCGCCAAGTAAAGATCAAAGAACTTTTGAAGAACAAAGACTCTGGGTTTCTTGTGACTGATAGCAATAAATCTGATAAATTGAAACTTCAAGAAGATCAAGATATAGTATTAATTTCTGATACAAAGGAGGGTTTTAAGCATTTATGTGATAATCACAAAAAACACAATATTCATTGGCTCAAACAGGAGGGAGATGATTTGATATGGCAGAAATCTTATGGTACTCTATCTAAATTAAGAAAGTTTGTAGATACAAATTCACAAGCTATTCAGGAGTATAAACCAGAGGGAATTACAGATATAAAAGACAGAGTAGTCATTATTTCTGCTGAACCTGGTATGGGTAAGTCTACTGTACTGACTCCTTTAGCATTAAAGGCAAAAGATTCTTTATGGGCTGTGAGGATTAATTTGTTAGATTATTCAAATGAATTTAAAAGAGAAATAGACAAGAAAACAAAACTTAACGAGGCAGAAGCTATAAAATTCCTATACAGGATTGTATGTTTTCAACTCTTTCAAGGGGGAAAAGAAGAAACAACAGAGAAAAAAGAAGAAAGGAAACAAACGATAGAAAAGGTTCTTAGTCTTATAAATGTAAAAGACAGTGAAGTAGTTTTGAGAGATTACAGAGAAAGAATTCAGGGTCTGAATTTGTTTGAAATAAAACTATTTAATAATTTTTATAATCAGGGCAAGATTGCTTTACTGTTTGATGGGTTTGATGAGATTAGCCCTGACTATACAGAGAAAGTTATTGAGTTACTGCAAGTTCTAAAAAATTCTAAAGTACAAAAGCTATGGATAACTACTCGTCCTTATAATTTTATTCAAGGATCACTAGAAGATAAACTTAGTGTATTTTCATATTCATTAAAGCCACTCCTTCTCGAAGAACAGAAAGGTTTTTTAAGGAAATTTTGGAAAGAAAAGTTGAAACTTAATGAATTGGATGAGCAACGCTCAGGAGTTTTTATTGATGAATTACTAGGTAAGCTTCCTAAATCCATAGATTTTATGAGTATACCGCTACATGCATCTATGGTTGCTGAAGTTTTCAAAGATGCATTTAAGAGTTTTTATGACTCTAATGAGCAGGAGCTTTCTGATGAACATAAAAGGGAAATTGAAGAGAAGGACTTGGCTACTTTATATGACAGATTTATTAACATAAAGTTTTATAAAATTCGCTTTAAAGAAAAGAAGCCTGGTATGAATAATTACGATCCAGATTTGATAAGTATGGTTGATAAAGAACTCAAGAAATTTAAAGAAGATCATTTCAAATTAGCCTTATATGCAATCTTTAACGAAATTGAAGTAGAGGAATTGCTTTCTCAAGAGGAAATAGGAAAAGTAACTGAATTAATTGAAAAGATAAAGGAAGCAAAAGAAAAGTCAGGAATAATTGATATTATTATTAATGATAAGCCTAGATTCGTTCATCTTACTTTTGCTGAATATTTTGTTGCCAGTTACTTTTGGGAAAGTTTTAATTCAGTTCAATTTGATAAATTTGAGGACTTTGTTGAGAATATTATAATTAAAAACCTAATTAAGGATGATAGGATAGAAATTTGTAAGTTTCTTCAACTAAAAGCAAAAAAAGACAGCAACATCAACTTGCCTGATAAGCTGAGAACCCTACTCACAAAGCTTCTTGATCAAACAACACAATATAATCATAAAGGTAACGGTAAACAATCAACCAAACTGTTATTTGGGATAGTTGAGTTTTCTTTTTCGACAAATAATGTAGACGTTATTGAGAATAATGATCAACTAAAATTATTATGCGTATCTGCTGAAATGGGGTATATAAAACTTGTTGAAGCCTTAGAAACAACACTTAATAACAGATTTTTAAAGGAATATCTAAATTATGATAAATGGTTCTATAGTCCCTTATGGTTAGCGGCTCAAAATGCTCACCTAGATGTTTTGAAAATTCTCGTTGAAAATTTTTCTTATAAGTCTAGTTGGAAGGATCAGGATTCAAATACTTTAGTTCAACGTATATTTGAGACTGATGAATTTGATGTTCTTAGATCTTGTTTAAAGCTAGATATAGTTGATGGTAAACCTTATAAAGATTTAAATAATCAACAAGCATTGCCGATAGTTGAAGTTTTTAAGGAAGTTGCTCCATCAGATGTAATTGAATTGTTAATAGAAAAGACTGATAGTAACCTTGTTAATGGATTTAAATATCTTGTAGGTAGTAGTCAGATCTCCGCTGCCAAATTGATTGCCGTACAATCCCTCAAATATGATAAAGAAATAACTGAGCTCGCTATAAACAAGGGTATTGATTTCTCTGATGTTACAAATCTATTGCTTTATGAATATGGTATAGAGAGCTTAAATAGTCCTTTAAATAAACTGATATATGCTCGTCATAGTCAGCTTTCTTTTCATTCTGATAAAGAGTTTTTGAATTTATTTGAGAGAATCGAACTGTTACTAAAAGCTGGTGTAGGATATAACTATTTTGATATTCAATATTCAAGATTTACATTACAATATGCTGAGCAAATACACTACATACATAAGCTTTTATATAGAGTACATAAATTCCACATTAATAAAAGTAGTAATCCACTAGGCACTATACTAAAACTAATTATTGATAATGTATGTAGTTCTCCTGACAAAGGTTATAAATTTGTTTGGAGTCACCAACAAGATATATCTTTATTGCTTTTTTACAAGGATAAATCATCCAAATGTAATAGAAGCATACAACTTCTACCAAAACCACATAATATACCAAAACTACTTTCTAAGTTTTATGAAGATAGTAATGTTAATCTAGTAGAAAATGCCTTAGGTAAAGTTCGTGAATATATAACTAATGCTAAAGAAGAAATAAAGGCATTCAAACAGTATTCTGGTAGCAAGATATATAATAAAATTTTGATTGGTTATGAAGAGATGCTTGGTTTTAATGTCTATAGAAAAGAGGAAGCAGGGTCATATCAATCTCTTGATGAGCATGAAAAAGATTTGCTGGAATGGGTATTGAATTTATATATAAGACAAGATTATAAAATTAATGATGCGTTAAAAGAAGTAGAAGAAGAAGTATTAAGATTTAAAGAAATAATAAATAAGCTAAAAGAAAATTCAGATGATAAAAAATATAATACTGAAGAAATACTGGATATATTGGCTATAAAAAGCATAGATACAAATGAAGAATTACAAAATTTGATATCAAATATCTATGAATGTGGTGGTATTGAGTTTTTGAGTAAAACTTGGTCGAAATTATATGGGATAGGTCAGCAAAGAATAATGGGAATATTAGAATTGATGTTCAAATTTGCTGATCAATCATCAAAAATTTTTGAATTATTAAAGAAACTGGATGCTTCATATAAGAAACTTACTAAGGCTATTGAAAATAAAGACTATCAAAAGATAAATAATATATTACAAGATATAGAACCTGATTTCATAAAAGCAATTATTAATGGTCAAGATGATGAATATGGTTCACCACTACACTATGCTGCTTCTGAAGGCGATGAAAAAGCCACCACAATCCTTTTAGAGCGTAGAGCAAATCCTAATCTTAAAATGCAAGGAAATGGTGTATTATTAAGTACTGCAGAGCAAGATTTTCAAGGTTGCACACCATTACACGTAGCAGTCTTCAATGGCCAATTAGAAGTTGCTGAGATTTTGGTAAAATACGGCGCTGATGTTAATGCTATGAGTACAGGTTGGCAAGGAGAAACGCCTCTGCATATGGCTGTTCAAAGTGGAAAGTTGGATGTAATTGAATTCCTTGTTGCAAAAGGTGCTAAGGACAAATTTAATGCTAAATTAGAAGTTGTGCAATTTCTATTAAAGAATAAAGCAGATCCTAACATTCAAGATAAAAATGGAAAAACTGCTTTAGATCTAGCTCAGGAAAGATTATCTCAAGATCGAGAAAACGATAATTTGAAAACGATTACAGACTTACTTCTCAGTGTAACAGATGAATCTCAGCATCAAGAAGAACAAAGATTAATTTTATTAGAAGAATGTTTACCGAGCACAAGACACAGTAGAAGAAAAAGAGAAGATGTGGAAGATGTAGATGAGTTTAATGAGGAAAAAGATGAGAAAAGGGATTTTAGTAAAATTAAGATAGATAGTGAAAAATTTGTCAGTTACATTAAAGATTTACCATAGGAAAAGCAGAGTCAGCTAAGAGTGGCTAGTGGGGTAAAAGTTACTGGTGAATCTCAAAGTTTGGTTAATAAGCTCATTAGTAATCAAAGTAATCATGATATCCTCGTCAATAAACTAAAATATTATAATTTCAGCACTGAAAGCATATTATTGATAAAATCCTACTTAAGTAATAGATACCAATATGTTAGTCACAACAACAATATGTCTGAGACCAAAAAAATAAAATATGGAGTACCACAAGGTTCGATACTTGGACCTGTATTATTCTTAATTTACATTAATGACTTACCTAAAGCTTCAGCTAATACCAATTTTGTCTTGTTTGCTGATGACACGACATTAAGTAGAAGAGGTAAAAATTTTGAGGTTCTTGAAGAGGATATCATGGGTGCGCGGCTGGATGTTGAATCGTGGTTTAGGGCAAATAAGCTTTGTCTTAACTCGGATAAAACTGTCAAAATTACATTTACCCTAAAAAATCACTGCAAAATTGAACAAAATAGTGTTAAATTCTTGGGGATTCACCTTGATTCAAGGCTTTCCTTTGCAACACATATTGAGTCGGTCTGTAAAACCTTGTCCAAAAAAATGTTTCTCTTTAGAAAACTAAGGGAATCTGTTTCTCAGGGTACTCTAGTGAATGCATACTTTGGACTAGTTCACTCCATTTTGTCCTATGGCATTCTAATCTGGGGTCACTCTCCTAGAACTGCTGAGGTATTCTCGATTCAAAGGAGGGTAATAAGAATTATTTGTAATCTAAACTATAGAGCTGATTGTCGTCAATCGTTTAAAGATTTAAACGTTTTAACTGTCCCTTGTCAATATTTATTAAATGCCTTGGTATATGTAAAATCAAATATCAATATTTATACTACACAAAACAACATACACCATTATCAAACAAGAAGTAGAAATAATATCCATATTGAATTCCATAGGATAAATAGATCTAGGGATGCGTCAAATTACTTTGCTCCTAATTTCTATAATAGACTTCCGAATGAAATAAAAAAGTTACCCCTAAAACAATTTAAAGCACGTCTTAAGAAACTTTTACTGACTAAAGCGTTTTATTGTTTAAACGAATTTTTAACATGTGACCTGTCTTTGTAAATTTTAATATTAAAATTATTACTTGTTTTTTTTCCTGCATAATGTTATTATTTTAGATCTATGATCAAATATTTGATGTATATGTCCTACCTTAAATTTTAAATTTTTGTATTGTATAATTTCTTTTAACATTTTTTTAATTTGTATCTTTTCCTTGACTTGTGTAAATGTAACTGTACATATTAACATGAATAAAGATTATTATTATTATTATTATTATTATCAAAAAAAATCTCAGGTATGACCATGCACGGAATGATGGCTAAAAATGTTCTCACTGACCTTTTAAATGGTAATGATCAAGGTGTAGCAGTAAATGTTGATTTTATAGCAGGTGGTCAACTGGCTGCTAAAGTTGCTGAAGTTGCATCTCGTAAAGGATTAAATTTACTCTCAGAAGGAAAGGCATTACTTGGTAGATCTTTAAGAGTGGCATCACCTTTTCTTGCTCGTGGTAGTTCTGCTTTTGTTGTCTATGATCTAGTAAATCAGATAGAAGCTTTTAAAAATGGTACGGAAGAAGCACTAGTTGGTGTAGTAGGAGATAGTATTTACTTGGGAGTTGACGCTGCAGAGATTGGTGTGGAAGATGCTGAAGCTTTTGGAGTACTTAAAGGAGTATCAAGTGTTACTGGTCCTATTGGAGCTACAATTGGCGCTGTAGTATTTGTTGGCACTGATATTTATATGGCAGTAAAGAGAGTTGATAAAATTGATCAGATTATTCATCTAACTGGGAATGAGAAGTTTGTTGAAGGTTTACGTGCGTTTATAGGTATTAAGCCTGAGCAGTATACAGAAGAGCTCATGGAGAAAAAACAACTTTATAATCAGTTAGTTAAGCAAGGACTTGAGTATTTAAAACAGCATAGTGATATTCAAAGCTATGTGTTCCCTACTGGTAAGTCAGTTGTAGATTCTTGTCGTAAAGTGCCAGAAGAGGTAAATTCGTATACTATTGCAGGATTCACAGGTGCACACCTTACATTTACACGTTATACCGAGAAATGCACAACTAAGTTTGAGGTAGATTTAGAAAGTACAGTACTACTTGATAGAAAAAGAACGGGTATAAGATGGAGCAGAGCAAGGCCGGATGATTTAAGTGATGCAAAGTTGATTTGTCTGCCACAGGGAAATGATGAGCCTGCACCAGATTATGGATCATATTTATGTGAAAATGCAATTGGTATATTCGCAAATAAAAAATATCAGTAAAATACTTAATTCTGAATTATAATCTCAAATTTGTATCCCATTCATCAGTACCGTGTCGTCAGTTCCATGTTCGATGTTTCAATTTAAATTCTGCTTGCGCATTATAAACTCATATAAATTTGGTGTGGTATTATTTGATTTTAAGATATTTAATGTATAATATGCTCAAAGTTGCAATAAATCTTATATTTTCCAATAAATTATGTATTTAATTAGTACCCTGGTATACTCGTCACTTCCCTTGCATTCAAATTTAGAAATCACATATATTTCAGAAACTGTTTGAAAAAGTGACTGGCCCGGACTGGAACAGTATATTTATTATATTATCTATGTTCTCATAACAAAATACTGTTTAATTTTCTCCGAGAACTATATAAACAAAATGAGGTCAAAAGTTGCCCAACTTTTGTAGAATCACCCAAATATCATTTAAATTATTAACTTTAAGTATTGGGAATAGTAACACCAATCTAAAGTTTTTTTTAATTTACTATTCAACTCAGAATTTTATGTTTAATTTAAAAATGTAGAAATATATGGGGTGTTCCATTTGAAATAACAAAGTTGATGAAACTTCCGGTTAAACCGGAAGTGGCGTTTTGTTCTAAATATTTTTAAAAATTAGACTTTTTCTGTTGTCCAGAAACTTTGAATTGACTACGAATGTGAAACACCCTGTATTTTTATTATTTTGTTCTACAAATGACATTTTTTGTATTAATATTTATTTACCACAAAAAGTATCGACGTAAATTGTAACTTTTTGCCAGATTTTCTGTTAAAAGTTGAAAGTGTAACGATTCTGTTTAGGTCAAAATAAGAGGTATTTTAAGTAGCAGAGGGCCCTGATCTGCTTGCCGAGAAACCGAAAAATTAATAAGGCTTCATTCAAAAAATGAAAATCGGAACAGATATTCAAGATTAAATAAAATTAAAATAATTTCCCATGTTTTAAAAATATTTTTAAATTTAAATATATTTATTGACCTATTTTATAAAAACCCATCAGCTGGATAATTTCCCAGATAACTCGAGTTAGATCTAACCACTTAGTGGAGCTGATAAGAGGTACCTCCGAAAAATATTTTAATATCAGGGTAAAATATGATTCAAATATTTTTAATAATTGCAGAATGACTAAGCGCCAAGTTGTAAATAAAGCCCTTTTGTTTAAAGGACAATAATAATAATATATAAAATTATTAAAATATGTATTAAATAAAATAAATTTTTAATTTATTATTATTTGGTTTTATTTATTTAAAATAGAAATAGAAAACTCTTATACGAGACATAAATCGTAAATAAACTGAAGACAACTCTGGTGAAAACATAGCCACGAACTTCGCAAACCTTTCCCCGCACTCCGCGAAAGCGGCATCACCATGGTGATTTTTTTTATCCAAATTTGGATAAAAAAAATCCAAAACCGGTTTTGAACCGGTTTTTATCGGTTTTTCCAAAAAATTATCGGTTTTGAACCGGTTTAAAATAAAACCGGTTTTTCCAATCACTAGTGGACATGACTGACGTAAAAAACGGGTGACGTTCACAATATCGAAATTCATTATATCGAATTCAAAATATCGAACACTTTTTATCGAAAATCAAAATATCGAAAATACAAAATGTCGAAAATCAAAATATCGAAAATTAAAATGTCGAAAATGATAATATCGAAAATTAAAATGTCGATTTGAAAATGTCGAATAATTAAAATTTCGAAAATTAAAATGTCGAAAATGATAATATCGAAAATTAAAATGTCGATTTGAAAATGTCGAAAATGATAATATCGAAAATTAAAATGTCGATTTGAAAATGTCGAATAATTAAAATTTCGAAAATTAAAATATCGATTTAAAAATATCGAAAATTAAAATGTATGATTAAAATCGAAGTGTATATGTACAGAGGCGCCTCTGTAGATAAAGTTACGGTTATGCACCGAATTATCTTGGCTCCCTGGCTCCTAGAGATGCGCGTTTTATAGAAATGTACTCAAACTCAACAACACAACCCAACCGACCCCGCCCCATTGGCCCCCCCCCGCCCCATTGAGCAAAAAACCCAACTAAAATGGGCAAATTCATGTTACGATAAAAATAAAACACTTTTTAATTACATAAATTAGCCCATTTTAGTTGGGTTTTTTGCTCAATGGGGCGGGGGGGGGGCCAATGGGGCGGGGTCGGTTGGGTTGTGTTGTTGAGTTTGAGTACATTTCTATATCAGAGGCGCCTCTATACATATACACTTCGGATTAAAATAATATGTCGATTAATTGAAATATTTAAACAAAATATCAAATTCAAAATAAGAAAATATGGTTTAGTTTCACATTAAAATTCGATTAAATAAAATTTCGATATTATCATTTTCGACATTTTAATTTTCGACATTTTGTATTTTCGATATTTTGATTTTCGATAAAAAGTGTTCGATATTTTGATTTCGATAAAGTGAATTTCGATATTATGAACATCGATATTTTATTTTCGATAAATTGAAAATTCGATTAAATAAAATTTCGATATTATCATTTTCGACATTTTAATTTTCGATATTTTGATTTTCGACATTTTGTATTTTCGATATTTTGATTTTCGATAAAAAGTGTTCGATATTTTGAATTCGATAAAGTGAATTTCGATATTATGAACGTCACCCGTAAAAAACCCTACTTACAATAGCCAATTTTTAAGAAAAACATGCAACTTGATAAAGAATCGATTACTTTTTATCGGCCGCAATAGTACGTGGTTGGCTGTGTTTTTACAACCAATAGCATTAGTAAATCTAAAAAATTAACCCGATTGGTTGGTAAAATTTATTGCAATAAAATTTTATCTTATTGCTGGAAAGTTCCAATATTTCCATACATGCCTTAAGCCTGATTTATAGATTGCCTTCCTCCCGTAAAAGATGAACAATACGAAAATCGTAGTGGCATTTATAGATTTCCGTACGGGAATCTATAAACAGCACAACGGTTTTTGTATTGTTCATCTTTTAGGTGAGGAAGGGAGGAAGAAAGGCAATCTATAAATCAGGCTTTACAATGAGTTCCCTATGTTGACCAAATGGTGTAAAAAATTCAATGTATGAAGAGATTTAATATCTAACAATGTAAAAATAAAAAAAATAATTTCTCAAGTACGTTTTATTAATGAAGCGAAAATGTTGCACCTAGTGGAGGTAGACCCAAAAATGAACTTAAAAAAGTTTATTTTCGGATCCACCCGGTATAAATAAACTCTAAACACTGTCGTAATCGATTTTTTCTTCTTTAAGCTTGGCCTCGACGCATTTCCAAAACTTCTCGGGGCCATTATAAATGGCGTCGCAAGCAGGCTGTTTGCGCATCTCTTTCCGCCATTTTCTCACATTCGGAATGTCATCGTCCTTGATCGGCAACTTTTCTTTGAGAACAACGGCAACGCAGGCCGCCCTTTCGCCCCAAGGCCACAGCATGTAGTCCACCTAAAAGCGGCAACGTTGCAACGTCAACCTGTCAAACAGTTGAGGTTATGAGCTTACCATGTTGGGCGAGTCGCCACCGAAGAATACCGTGCCTTTTTTGGTTAATTCCTTCTCGAACACATCCAGAGCATCTAGGATGTCTTTAAGCCATTCTTCTGGGGTTTTGGTTTCCGTTCCGAAGACACATTTCGAGAATACGCCCACAACATCACCAATTTTTTTTATTAATACTTTCTCTTGTTCTTTGACTTTCGGGTCCGATGAATACAACGGTACCTGGGGATATGTTTCGTCCAAATAATCACAGATGTCGGTACTTTCGACTACTACTTTGGCACCGATATCTAATGCTGGTACTTTGCCTAGGAATTCAAGGATTTATGAATGAAATTTTTTATTTGATTTTTTACACAAGCTAAAAAATCTGACTTACAGGTTATTTATTTGACAAGTAAAAAACCTCACTTTGTATTCTGTCAAGTTAATAAATATCAGAGAAACCTATGAAATGCCCCTCGTATTGTCGAATTTTTTGATTTGAGGTTATGTAAATCATTTGTCAAATCAAAACAAGAATTTCTTACCTTCAGGATGTATGTTTGTATACCATTCTGGTTTATCGTTTACATTTATATTAACAATATCATGGTCGATGCTTTTTGCTTTCAAAACCAAACGAGCTCTTTGAGAAAAAGGGCAAAATTTCATTGAGTACAGTCTGAGGAGACCCTCGACTTTTGCCGGTTGAGTTGAACCTTAAAATAATACAGCTGAAGTGATTTTAATGTTAAAATTACGTTAATTTTACCTTTTCCTAAATGTAACTCTGACATGTTAATGAACAGTTTATGGATTTATTTTGTATTGTATACCGCGGCACGCCTTAAAGTATTAGTAAAAAACATGATACAAAATTTGTAAAAAATGTGTTATTTTATTTTTTATTTGTCCTTGAAACACGACAAGAATATTTGTTTAATTAATTTAGATATAATTGTTATATTCAGTATCGGTGTAAACAATAGTATATTAAAGTACAAGTTGCAGAAGGCCACATATTCTCGCACGAATTCGAAATTTGGCCTCGAGCGACGAAGGAGCGAGTGGACGAACGAATGAGTGCGAGAATAGCCTTCTGCAACGTGGGATTTATACTTTTTTCTCGACTGGCGGCTAGCCGTACCGATTCCACTTTGATTCCTCGATCCCCGCATGCTTCACACGTCACACACTGTAAACTGGTATTATTTTCAAAACAAAAGGAATTATTCAATAAGCTCGGTAGCTCCGATGGAAGAGCGCCCGCTTTGTATGCGAGAGATACCAGGTTCGATTCTTGGCGCCTACAACTTTTTTTTTTTATTTTTATTTATATAGCGAAAAGGATTATTATTTAATTTTACATTAATATTCATTTTGCTACAGTTATATAATATAATATGTAATTATATGAATATTCCTTCGTTGAAAAATTGGGCGGGGGGGCCAATGGGGCGGGGTCGGTTGGGTCGGGTTGTTGAGTTTGGATTGGTTTCGAAGCTTCGCAAGAAGTAATTTTATACTTAGATTATTATAATAAACCCTACATTAAATGTCCGCGTGAAGATTGTCGATAACAATAAAAGTGACAGAACACTACCGCGCATGCGGGGATCGAGGAATCAAAGTGGAATCGGTACGGCTATCCGCCAGTTTTTTCTCGATTTTAACTTTTATTTAGGTTTTTTTTGTGGTCGTTGCTAGTTAGGGGATTTTTCTCGCAAAATGTCAGTTGGCAACACAAAATGACAATATTTGTTATCCTGCACAAGTACAACCTGAACTGCACTTTTACACATTAAACTTAAAATTTTGCATTAAAATGCATTGTTGGAGCAAACTTTATATTACAAAACAATAATAAAGGCTTCATTTTCAATAAAAGTAATGAATTTGAGGTTATTAATCAGTTTGACATTTTGGGGGTACCAATACTTAAAAACTAAATGTTACCAAAAATCATTTAAGAATGAGCTTCATTCTTCAACGATTTTGCGTGCGAGAATATGACATTCTTACATAAAAATCGAGAAAATACAATTAACTTAAAAATATCTTTATTATTTCACAAATTTTCTCTTTAAATTTAACATAATTGCACTTCTTTGGAACGCCACTTCTCTTTCACAAAAACTGGAAAAAATCGCCGGGCACTGATATGTTATTTCCTCCTCGCAAATCGATCCTGGCGTCGAAATATGTTTTTTTAACTTGAAATTACTCTCGGAATCCACTAAAATCAAAACAATCACCCATAAAATCAAATTTGCCGCCATAAAAGCAATGCTAGCTTCGTATTGGTTAATTTTTAAATCTGTCAGTAACAAAGTATATTTGAACCAATAAAATTTAATTAACTTCACAGCCACCTCATTAGAAAACACGCAATTATGATTTGTATAGCAAGAAACGTTATTTTTTAATTAGTTTACGAGTTGGCTGCGTTTTTACTATTAACAGCATTAACTTAAGTTGTGGGTAATAAAATCTAATTAAAGTGCACTTACAGCAATACATGTCAAACAAAAAGCATGTTCTATGCGTGGAGTGTACCAAGTAATGACCGTACTTTTCATCTGACTTAACGTTGAAATGAGCTATTGCGGTATTTATTGAATGAGGCCAATGTGAGAGATTTTCCGTGTATTTTATCGAGTACTTCCAGTGGTCGTAGTTTCCGCTTTCTTCCAGTATCGTAAAATCTATGCTAAAAAGGTTAAAGAATGTTAATTAACATAATTATGGAGATTTTATAAACATAGGTATATCCACAGAAAAATATTATCTACTACATTAAATTTTGATAAAATAAGTTAATTTTAATCCACCATTTTTTTTATTTATACAGGGTGTTCCCTGATCGAGATGCCAATATAAAAAACACTTTTTTACAACATAATTTTTTGTAAAAAAAAACATTTTTGATAAAATCTCCTGCTTGTTTAAAAAATAAGATTCCGATAAGACAAAGTCTTAAAAATTTAAATTACAGAAGTATAATTTTTTTATATAATTTAACATTTGAATAAGGGTGAATCTCACAAAATGTCCCCCGATGGTGTTAACCCGTGATATTTAATAAAACTAAATGAGTTTGACCTACACTTTTATTGTGTTTTGATCTTTCATAATTAAGCAGCTCAGGTTCCAGATTTTTAACCGCAATTAATTATTTTTTACAATGTTTTAAAAGTCTAAAACCTATCCTCCGTGACTGTTACTCTTTCTAGGTTAACCTATATGTTTTCAAATAGGTAGTAAAAGCATACTAAAAATATCAGTTCACCAAGTAAATTAAACACATCCAAAGCAATCGAATCAAATATAAAATATTATTAAACATTTAAAGAAATAATTTTTATAACCATTTATGTAGGTGTTACAAAAATTGATTCTATCCTCCGTGAATCTGTTTTTGCTTTAAAATTTATGCAACGGAGGCGCTTTAATCATTTTAAATAAGCAATAAATAAGCAAAAACCTCTGTTTACGACATTATAGATGCATGTGATTCCTGAAGGTCAGTTAGAATTTATATGCAGATGAGAGTGTTGCTGTTTTATAATTTAAAAGTTTAAGTTCATTAATTTGCTATTTAAAAACCTATCCACCGTGAAGTGTAATATCTCAGTAAGTAGATTTTTTTATAAATATTTTATGTATGTACCTACAATTAATTGTATTTTTAAAAAATATTAAGTTGTTAAAAAATACAATAACTTATTTCAAATATACAAAGGGATGTTTTAAAAAAACATACGAAATCCTAACCTCCGTGAAGCTATCTTCCGTGAAGCTCTAATATTCAAAATGTATGATTTCTTAAAACTCTTGCATTAGTGCAGAACCACTTACATATGTTATGTTATTACTAGACCTGGTGGCTTTCCAAAAACCCCATTCTAGACTAAAAGTGAAACAACCAAAAATAAAAAATAATCATTTTCAATTGGGGGACATCTCAATATATTCACCCATAAACAATAAAAAAATAAATTTAATTAAATTTACTTAAATTTATTTATTTATTTAACATAAATGTTAAATTTAAAAAGAAAATATTTCAAATTTCAACGATTTTCTATAATATGAAGCATTTTTATGTGTTCTTAATTTCGGAAATACAAAAACATCTTTTTTGAAATTGACACTTAAAAAATTGTTAAGCTTTTCAAAATATATTTAATTTGTAAAAATTGTAATAAAATATTTGTTTTTAAAACTTAATATATTATTTACATATGTACTTACATTGTAGGATTCAAATACCGCATATTACTAAAATCAGCCACAAACTCCCACACAACTTTTGGATCGACCTTATCCAAAAAAACATTAGCCCTATGATCATAATTTCTAACTCTCAAAGTTAGATACAAAAGAATTACCACCAAAAAACCAAAACTTCTCCTAGACTTCCACTGAATTCGGTTCATTTTACTACGAAACTAACACACTACACTTTCTACAAATCTTCCGGCAAACTAGATTCATAAAATTAACAATTGAAATTAAACATCAAACATGCATCAGAGGAAGCTGTTTATCGTCGCTCCGCATAGGTTAAGATAAACAGAACGCCTACTAAGCGCAATAGATTCTCGGAAGTACCCATATAACATCGACAAATGTTATTTTATCGAAGAGTCCTTTTACCTCAGTAAATCGTACTTAATTTGCAAAGTACCGCAAGCTCAACGCAGCGCGAAATTTAAACTCGCATCTAAGGCGTTCCGTACACATCGAAAGTGTGCGGCTGCTTTAAAACTAAGTGCACGTAGCCATGGGCACTATTTTAAAAATGGTAAAAATATCATGCAAATATCATAAACCTAAAATAAAATAAAAATAAATAATAAATACATAAAATTTGAATTATAATGTGTTTGAATAAATTAATAAAATATTAATTAAAAATGTTGGTAATAAATTCATTAATATTAATATATTTTTAGATTGAACTAAAAATAAGTTATGAAATGGAAAAAATTAAAACTTGCTTATAAATATTATGAAATATGTAATTTATATTATTATTTTATGAGAAACCTACTTAAAAGAAAATTTATAGTGATGCAACGAAAGTGTCTATGTAAAAAGCAGAAACAGATGTCAATGCAAATTTTTTCGAAAAAGAAGCGGATGCGGTAGTATAAATACTCTAAAAATTAAAAAAAATGAGAATTTTATTTGTTTTTATTAAATTAATATACATTTAATGGAGTGTTTGTTGGCTTAGATAAAACATAGTCTATTTTGTTTTGTGTTGTACTTGTGAAAATGTGTGCTTCCACAACTGCGGAAGTTCTGCAGAGGTTTGTTGCTACTCTTGAAATTAATAATTTAAAACAAGGGAAGGTAAAAGGAAATATTTTATTGGAATTAGAAAACAATATTTCATTTTAATGTAATTTATTGAAAAAATAAGAAACTTTTCTTATACTAAGTCTAAAATATAGTATTACAAAATATCTTTGAAAAAATTAACAACAAATGTGAACAAATGTAAAATATAACAACGCCAAATTATTTATATGGAAAAATCATATTCACGATTTTTTTCAATCTCGCTCTGGTATTTTTATTTTATTATTATTACACTGTAGGTAAATTTTTAACTCTTGAAATATCATAGCTAAACGCTCGGAAACGTAAACATAATTTTTGGTCGTAGATTCCAAATCCGTGCTCGGTTTAGCTGTGATATTTTTACCTCCCTACAGTGTTATTATTAAAAAGTGTGACACAAAACCTATTTAAGAATAGTAAAAAAATCAGTAGTCTTAAAATTACGCGATTTTATAAATAATATTGACATTGTACTTATTATTAACAAATTTTAACTTGTTTTAATACCTTTATTTAGGAATCAGAAAATTCCAAGTCTTCAGCGAATTCACTGTTTTCATCAGATTCTTGGACATACATGGGACCATCTTCATCATCACTCACCTAAAAAACGAAAAGAAAACTAAATTTTCCCCCGAAAAGTTGATGAAACAACTCCCAACAAATGACTAATTTAAAAAAAATTGATCGGGCAGCATACGCTAAAGAAGAATCGGGTTTTCGCAACGCGCACGCCATCTGGTGGTGTTCGATAGCATTGTGTGAATTCAAGAATTTTCAAAAGTACAGTACAGTTTTTTCACAAAAAAGTCTTACTTGACAATTTTTGTTCAATTAAGAAACTCAACGCTTATATGCTTATATAGTTACGTTAGTGTGTGTATTTTATCTAAGTGATCACGGTGAATTTTTTTGTTTTGAATTATAAATAAAAGTCAAGAACTAAATCGTTGCATTTCCATGTTTTGCCAAAGGATCCAATACAGTACGTATATTTGTTGGTGCAGAATTAACTAATGATAACTTTACCTAATATAATTTGCATTAGGTTTGGACATTTTTAAGAAATCTAACAAAAATAGTTGTTGTACAAACATAACCTTAAAATCGAATGATTCCTGTGCCTAAAATAGGAGACAAACAAAATAAATAAAAATAAATAAATAAAAACTTCAGACCAATTTCACTTCGAAGCTCTATCTAAAAAATATTGGAAAAACTTGTTGCAACCAGTCTTTATGACTACCTTTATAAATTCAAACTAATTTCTAAATGTCAATACGGATATTAAAAACGACTTTCAACAGACAGTCACTACAGAATTCACACAACATATAAATAAAAATGTAGATGAAAGTAATATAGTAGTAGGAATATTTTTTCACTTGTCTACAGCAATCAATACTCTTTATCCAGATTTTGGTATACGGGGAAATATAAACAAATGGCTGGTATCATATGTGTCCAACAGACAATTTTATATGAAGGTCAATGAGGAAAATTCAAAAATATATAATACGCACATTTGAACACCTCAGGGTAGTACTCTGGGTCCCTTGTTATTTATATTGTTTATTAATGATCTCCCCAAATACATAAGTGTGGGAAAACTGTTTGTGGATGTGGATGATGTAACTATTGTTGTATATGGCAACACCAAAAGTGAAATTGTTAATTTAATTCGAACTGTGATAACTGAGTTTAGCAACTGGTGTTTTAAAAATAGATTAATAATTAATGTAAAAAAACTGCGTTGATTCAATTCTCCTTTGGCAATCTTAAGAAAGAAAGTCAAATTAATAATCAATTTTTTAATTTCTCGAATTTTTAGGAATGATAATAGATAAATCTTTTACATGGGATGAACACATGGATTTTATAGCTATGTAACTAAAAAATACCATTTATCAAATATACAGGATGAGTCATTTTACTTGAAACTTTGAAGTATCTCAGTTAGTATGCATTTTACGAACACATGGATTTTATAGCTATGTAACTAAAAAATACCATTTATCAAATATACAGAATGAGTCATTTTACTTGAAACTTTGAAATATCTCAGTTAGTATGCATTTTACGAATAAATGTTAAAAATAAAAATTAAATGATTTGAGGGGGGAAATCAATCAGTACTAAAATTGGTCCTCATACTTGCCTCCTTATAGGGGAAACAGGGGGTAACTTTAAAAGTTCCAATGGAACACACTATTTTTTAATGCAGATTCGAATCATTCAACTAAAAATAGGTAGATTTTGTCTAAAACATTTTTTCATATTTGTAATAGATGGCGCTGTAATGAAAAAAATCAATTTTGTTCGATTTTTGTTCTTATACGATTCTGCAATAATTTTTCTATAAAAATATCACTTTTTTTGGTAATAATTATCTTATTAAATTTAATTTAATTTTTTTAAGTACCCACGATTTTTTAACTAATTGAGGTTTAAAGAAACTATTTATACATAGTTTAGCATTATTTAATCAATTTAGTTCGAAGATTAATTTGCAAACAAGAAGACCTCCTTTCATTAAGCAGTTATTCATAATGGATTTTTTAACAGTGGAAGAAAAAATTAAAATTATTTTGATTTATGGAGAAGCAGGCAGGAATCTTGATGGTGCTGTTAATATCTAAGCTCAGCGTTTTCTGAAAAAAATTCGAACACGTACTTCATTTCACCGTACAGTCAAGCAGTTTACTACAAACGGGAATGTTCAACCGAAAAAAAGAGTTCGTCGAGCAAATATTTAATATTGTTATTTTGAGCACCTACTTTAATTAAAATTTAAAAAATAAATAAATGAATTTAAAAAATAAAACCAAGTATTTTATTTAAATATTATTGGAGAATATACAGAACAAAAATCGAACAAAATTGATTTTTTTTCATTACAGCGCCATCTATTACAAATATGAAAAAATGTTTTACCCCCTGTTCCCCCTATAAGGAAGAGAGTATGAGGACCAATTTTAGTACTGATTGATTTCCCCCCTCGAATCATTTAATTTTTATTTTAAACATTTTTTCGTAAAATGCATACTAACTGAGATATTTCAAAGTTTAAGTTTAAGTTATATGACTCACCCTGTATATACAAACTTCTTTGTCTGGTACATAATAACAAAATAGAACTAATAAATAAAAAGAAGTGTCAATACACCTCCAGATCTAAGGATAATATCCCCATTGAAATGCATTGGCATGCAAAATATGAAAATATTCCTTACTTCGTGGAAATTCGCTTCTACGAGTATAATAATTTGCCAACTTGTCTAAGAGAAAAACCCTTTTATGAATTTAAAAAAATCATAAAATCTTTTTTGAAGTCTGCATGCTGTTATACCATAGAAGAATTTAAGGAAAATATTGTCTCTATTGTTTTTTTAAAGAAGAAACAAGTCATGTTTGTACATTTACCATTTTCTATTGTAATTCTGTGATTAATATTATTATTATTTATTTCTTCATTCGGATTTCTGTTTATTGGGAAACCGGTATAAACAAATCGCACCACGGTTTTTTCCGATATTTTTAATACTTTCCGGCATTATTCTCAAAAACACTCGTTTGTAACATAAGCGTTTGACAGCTGCTTTTAAAAGCTGAATTCTGGTTACGATGATAACGACCAAGTGGTGGCGCCACTAGCGATGCCGTGACTTACCTTTTCTCCCTCTGGGTCGTCGATGGTTAAAAACTTCCTCCTCTTTTTGTCGTCCACTTTAATGGCTGCGACGTCGTAACGGACGTTACGGGCTTTTTCTTTCGACATGAGAAGTCGCGGCCACTCTAAATCTTTCTCTTTGATTAGAGTAACGCGCACTTGTGGCCCCAGAACGGAATGTTGAAACGATTTTATTTTTTCGTACAACATTAGGTTCACCACGTATTCTTTGCCGTTTTTATTGGTACTAAAAATAAACCATAATGTTCAAAATTTATAAATTGTGCTTATTATATCAAAATAATTATCTTTCGTAACGTCCGTAAATTTGACAGTCTTGGTTATAATTTAATTTAAAAAATAATTATATCAAATGTTGGATAATTTTATAGACTTTCAGAAAATGTAAATATCTTAATACGCCTCAGTGCTAATTTTTCGAGATTATCCACAAAACATAAAGTCGTGTCAATTTCAGTTCTCTTGAAATTAACACAAACTTTCCAACTTAAATTGTCCAGGCAAAAGGGATAGGTCGTTACAATTTTTTTTTTAGTTTCTTTACCGAAACCGAATAAATTTGTTTTGTTCACCCGTAGAAAATTTTTGGAAAAATGGACAGAAACATCGATTTTTCTCTTTTTACGTCTTACATTTTTTCTTGAAAATGCGATTACTTGTCCAAAAATGTTTCAATCGTTTTATTACAAACAAAAAAAATATAAAAAATTAAGTGAATTTACTCAATTTTTTTTAATTGTTTTTTTCTGAAAAAAAGGCAAAAAAATTAGGTTAAAATTTTAACATTGTCTTTTGTCAATTTTTGACAGGTCAAATCATTTTTTGATTAAATTTTATTTCTATATCTACTAAATATTATCTAGAGTGCCTTGAATTGGCTTTTCTGCTCCAATTTTTTTTTTGCAATGCTGGGTTTTAGGAGCTTTCAAAAATTGAAAAACCATACTTATGTCAAAACTATGTTTTTTTTAATAAAACTTGGTCATAAAAGAAATACACTTTTTTTTTAAATTTGATACCAAATATTAATGCAAAAGTAAATAAATTAAAAATGCTTTGAAACCTTTGTGTAAGTATCAGATTTCGTTTGTTTTGCTGGTAAGTGAATATTAACATTTTATTTTACTATGAAAACATACGCTACAACTTTTTATAAAATAAAATAAAAATAATAATTGAGGTGGTTAGAATCAAATGGGTGTAAGTAATTGCTCAACATTTCTTGGTTTTAAAACTACTAAATAAAATCATTCAAATATTTTGATTATGAAAAATTATATCAAACCGCCCCATAGAGTAGCCATTGTTAGACCAGTGCAGAAGCCTTTAAAAATTGTAAAAAGAGAAAAAAAATAACAGTAGGATGAAACCCATTGGAAAAGGTGGGGAATATAATAAAAATTAAAGGAAAAATAAATTACGGGCGATCTGAGTTCGGGAAGTGGGAGGGGGGGGTTTTAAGGGTAAAAAAAGGGTAAAATCTCGATTTCCGGCAAAACTACAAGTCCTATGGAAAAAAGTTAAATGTTAAAGTTGTAGGTAATAAAAAGATCTACAACTTTTGTATTTACAATTTTTTAACATAACCTCAAAATTTATGTGAAAAATTCAAAAAACCAAGTTTTTGGTTTTTTATTTTTATCTTTTTCAAAAATAATTTTTTTTCCACGAAATTTGGTGAAATTACCTTTTTATGTCCCAAATACACTGTAATTTATTTGATTTGAAATATTTATTATTTCGCCTTATTTTGACTTAATATCAAAAAAGCACCCTAATTTTCAATCGAAAATTCTCGCGTCAAAATATCAGCTTTTTTCAAAAAGTCGGTGTGCTTTTTGTTCGATGAACTCTTTACTTTCTGATGGTGTAAAAAAATATACATTACCATGGTAAATATTCTCAGAAAATACAAAAAATATTATAATGAATAACGTAATCAGAATGAAGTATCTAAATTCAATAGTATGATTTACATGTATTTTTATATTTTATGAGATTTTCTAAAATAAATGTTATTAGAATTTAATAAATAAACTTTTTAACTAAAAAAAATTGCAACACGGCCATTTCAAGCGGATGGACGGGACAAATCACAAAACTGTTTTTATAAAAAAAATTGTAGCTAATTTATTGTATATTATTTTTGCATCAAAATTGTCAAATATATTCTTCTATTATTAGGGTATACATTAAATAAAAAAAAATCGCAAGAAATATTTTATAAAAGTAGAGATAATTTCAATAATTGACAGGGATGGACGGGACAAGATAAATCTTTTTTTTGTCCCGTCCACACCTTTCAATTATTAAAATTATATCTACTTTCATAAAATATTTCTTGAGTTTTTTTTATTTAATGTATAACCTAATAAAAGAAGAATATTTTTGACAATTTTGATGCCAAAATATTATATAATAAATAATCTACAATTTTTTTTATAAAAACAGTTTTGTAATTCGTGCGTTTCGCGCGCTTGAAATGGCCGAACAATCACATTTTTTTGATGAAATTGTACATAATGATTAAAATAAATTCTCGAATTCGAGTTTTTTTCGTTATTCATTATAATATTTTTTGCATTTTCTGAGAACATTTTAAATGGTAATACCATAGTAATTTACACCATCAGAAAGTAGAGATTTCAACGAATAAAAAGCACACCGACTTTTTGAAAAAAGCTGATATTTTGACGCGAGAATTTTCGATTGAAAATTACGACGCTTTTTGATATTAAGTCAAAATAAGGCGAAATAATAAATATTTCACATCAAATAAATTACAGTGTATTTGGGACATAAAAAGGTAAGTTTTCACAAAATTTCGTGGAAAAATTTTTTTTTTTGAAAAAGATAAAAATAAAAAACCAAAAACTTGTTTTTTTGAATTTTTCACATAAATTTTGAGGTTATGTAAAAAATTGTAATTACAAAAGTTGTAGATCCTTTTATTACCTACAACTTTGTCATTTAACTTTTTTCCATAGGACTTGTAGTTTTGCCGGAAATCGAGATAAACCATTTTTTACCCTTAAAACCCCCCCCTCCCACTTCCCGAACTCAGATCGCCCGTAATTTATTTTTCCTTTAATTTTTATTATATTCCCCTCCTTTTCCAATGGGTTTCATCCTACTGTTATTTTTTTTGGTTTCAAAAATTATCGACCCTGGTCTATGTAGGGAATCTCTGGCAATAAATAAAAAAACGAAATATGAAATCAAATAAAAATTTGTTATTTCTAAACATAATTAACCTGCGTTAGTTTAGTTTTTGGACCTCTTAGGCTTAATACTTATTTCCTTTCCTGATAGATCCTCAGTCAAAAAGGGTTTCGAGCATTTCCGGTGAAACTAGAAGTGACAAAAATATATTAAATATTATAAAAAGTTCTAAATTACACTTTATAAAGGTCACCCCAGTTTTAACAAAAAAAAAATACCAAATTTTTGCCATGAACCACGAATTTACTAAAAAATTACATTTTCCTTAAAAAAATAACTCCGAAACGACAAATTTAGCCAACTCGGGACTTTTGGTGAAATTTGTTCATATTATCAACGAAAATAATATGAAGGCCATAAAAAACCTGTACTCATTGCCCATGAGATACAGTACCTCAGATTTGTATAAAAATTTTAATATAATGCCAGTCGAAAATATTTATTACTTTCAGGCAACCGCCTTTATTTTTAATAATCTTAACAAAAAAAACATTCCAATCTAACTCTTACAATACGAAATAACATACACGCTCATGATACTCGTAACAACAATTTATTAGATTTGTATCCTTTTACCTCCAATTTTGGAAAATCGTCTATCTTGTATAAAGGAGCCGATAAATATAACGAACTTGTAAAAAAGTATGATTTATTGAATATAAATGAAATAAAAAAAAATGTATATTTAATTAGTTCCCTCTGTAAACCGCATTGTGTTTTTTGGGTTAATAAATGTATTTTATTTTTTATTTTTATTATAATTTAAAAAAATGTGGCAATGTCATTTTTTTGCCTTTTGTAGAAAAAACAATTTAAAAAAAAAATCAGTTAATTTTTTATATTTTTTTTGTATGTGGTAAACATTAACTACAATTTAACAACAAAATTGTACCAATCGAAACATTTTTGACCAAGTTATTGCATTTTCAAGAAAAATTGTCAGTCATGCAAAGAATTTGAATATAATAATATTCAGTACAATTTTTTCGAGATTTTCCACAAAATATAAAGTAATATCAATTTCAGTAAAATTAAGATAAAAGAACATAAAATTATACAAATTGTGAAAAGTTTTATTATTAAAAAAAAAATATGTACTTATTTTACTCACCTAAATTTAAACAACCTATTCCTATTGAGCGCGACGTCATACTTTTGGACGTCCGTCACCCTGATACTCAGTTTGACCACGTGATCGCTCTGAGACCAATAAACGTCCGGCGTCAGATAGTCGACGGGCGGTAAAGCCGGCAACGTGGCCTTTGCCTTCGACTTGGCAACGTCGATTTTCGAATCGGCGATGGCCGGGGCGGAGTGCGACGGAAATTTTTTGGATTTTAAAACGTCCAAAAAAAATTGTTCGGCTTCGTTGATGCAGATTTCGAAATTGTCGACGTCGAATCTGTAGGTTCCTGTGGGTTATTTTTAGATTTAAGCTGGGTTCTAACAGAGAAATAACGTAATTTAATAGTGTTTGAAATTAAAAACAATATTTTAAAGAGAGTGCTTACTTCATTTATCTAAAAATTAAAGTTTTAGATATATTACTTTGGTAATTACAGTTTATTTTTTTTTATCTGGACTCGTGTTTTTTTGTTAAGTTGGTGGCTTATGCCAATTTGACTTAGTATTTTTAGTATTTAAAATTGGTACTTCTGCTAAAGAATTTAATTAAATACTTTGACACTGTCAAATTGACAATAATATTTATTATTGATAATTTACTTGTCAATTATAAATAAAAAGATAATTATGCCAAAAATAGTAGCAACGAATTCGAATGTAAAAGCCCTTTTGAGGGCAAAACTTCATTTTGATGAAATTATGCCAAATGCCACAATGGAAGAAAAAGTACATCATCTTATGGACATTTTTGGAGTAAAAAAGTAACGAATTTGGTTTTATAAATATTACATCACACATTATTTTCACATTATTCAGATTTACATTTTCATTTACGTTCACAAAAAATTTTAATTTCTTTTATATAAATTCTTTTCAAAGCGGAGATTATTATCCGCTAGGAATACTTTCTCTTCTGGGCCGTAAAGCAACCTATATTTAACTACTTTTTTATATGATTTTACTCATCCAAGCACCACCAAAGCCAAATTAATTGCATTTCGAATTTCGACAACTCAACTTGACAACTGCACAATGTAACCTACAATAATTTATACATAACCACAATTAGATTTATAACTAGATTATTTTGTTTGAATCAATGCGACCAACTTAACAACTGTATTTACCAACCAAAACCCTTAATTTGCAACGTTGCCGCAGTCCAGATAAAAAAAAGAACTTTACAATCTAAATATTTGTCTTATTATTAAAACCGTTTACACAAAATAGGTTAGATTATCCCAAAATAGGTTAGATAATACGAAATAACCTTGAAATAACGTAATTTAATTTAGAAGATAAAAGTTGGCTAACTATTAAATTAAGTCTTAAATTACATCACTATATGAACGATACAAACACGGTGCTGTTCTGAGATCTCTCGAGAGGTGATTTTTGGACTTGTTAATTAGGTCATAACTAAAATTTTAAGAGCAAAATAAAAAAAATTTGACGGTTTAAATTGTTTTAATTGGCTGTTTATTAAAAATATTATGCACTCTTTCAATTATACAATTAAAACTAGCGATTTAATTTAAATATTTAATATTTGCATAACTAAAAAAGGTTTTTACAATTTTTTTTATATATTTTATTGTTTTGTTGCAATAAACGTTCAAACTTTTAATCTAACCTTCGACGTATACATTTATGTTCCCTTAATTAATATATCCTTAAAGGTTGCCATGGAACTTAGATCTATTAAAAATTTATTTGACGTTTGAATTGTCATTTTCAGTATACGTATTCTATAATTTTTGTTTAGTTTTTTAAAGTGTTTTTTATAAACAAAAATGAAAAATTGTAGTAAAAGTTACGAAGAAATTCATGAAATTTAACTAAGGACCGGTTTATTCATCTTTAGTAAAGTTTATCGGGCCGATAACTTTCATGTCTTGGCAATATCTAGTATCCAAAGAAATTATTCGTCAAATAAATAAAAAATGAATAAATCGGCCCTAATTAAAATGTGGCACCCTTAGAATTATTGTTTAATAAATGTATACCTACTATACATTTAACCTTAAATTAAAACTTTAAACGTGTATTACAACAAAACAGGGAATGTATAGACCTTTTTTTAGGAAATTAACTAATCTTTAATCTGATTTAAAAAATTATGATAATATTTAAATAAAATCGCAAGTTTTAATTGGAGAATTGAAAGTGTGCATACATATTTTTAATAAACATCCAATTAAAACAAAATTAACCGGCAAATTTTTTTTATTTTGCTCTTAAAATTTGAGTTATGACCTAATTAATAAGAATATAAAAAAAATTAGGTTTCACAGAAAGTCCAAAAATCACCTCTCAGAACAGCACCGTGCAAACTTTAAGTTAAATTAAACTACATCTTAAATTAAATTACATTTCTGTTAGAACCAGGCTTTAGACTTTTTTGTTAGCTCAGCACTTACCGTTTTCGGTGTTGTTCTCAAATTCCTCCTCAAACTCCTTTATTGCTCTAGCTTTTTCTTCTTCTCCAATATATTCATCATCATCAATGCAATCATCATCATCGCTCGAAATACGTTGAACCGGAATCTCGAAATCTTCGAATTCCTTGTTGCTCGTAACAGCCCATCCACAGTCGACCAGAAGCTTATTGATCAGGGGATTCTTGGTCCCAAAACCATCCTTCAACAGCACGGAATATCTATTTTGTTTTTCGAGCGTCGGCTCGAGTTTAAAGCAGGATTTAACGAACAGAGTTCGGTAGATGTCGGTCTTGGGCTCCAAGGAATACTCGTATAAAGCGTTTATAGCCCCGTCCTCCCATTCGCCCCCGGTGGAGTTGATTCCGTGCAAGCTGCATTGTATAGTTTGAAACGGTAATTTTAGAATGTAATGATTCGGTAGGTATTTTAACTCGGCCGTATTTATGACGTATTCGTCGCCGAAATCCACGAAAAAGCACAGGGCCTTGTCGATTTCTTTTTTTAATACCAGCACTCGCGAGTAGTCTGAGCTGCCGGGGTCTTTGGCCAGGTAGCATTTTCCTTCTTGTATTTCGAGTTTTTTGCTGGGTTTGTGGACCAATTTTACCATTTCTTTTTGGAGATTGTATAACCTGGAAGAAATATGTTTGCGTATATTTGACATTCACAGTCAAATGTTTAAATTTACTATTTTTAAAATAAAACAAGTTATTAAAATTAATGGCATTTCCTTTCGTTAGAATGGACATATGGCAATTTTAGAATGCTTTTACTTATTGGTTATATAACCAGTATAAATTAACCTGCAAGTTTATTTAACCCATTTGGTTTTGGTTTAAAGTCGGTTAATGTAATAGATCATAATTTCTCAAATTAAAATAACTTGTTTATTTTAAAATAAATAACTCAAAAAACATTACCGCCGATCTTACGTTCTGATCTTAGTTGCAGCTCTGCTTTATTTTTATAAAACGCATCTCACCAAAATATGTCCAAAAAAATATCTAGTCTTAACCATTTTCAAATGTTAAAATTAGAAGTTAAAATAACATTATCTATTTTGCGTTCATAATGACTTCATTTTAACACCGCTTTCGGTGCTGTAATGAGATACTTTATCCCACCCAAAATTTTGATTTTATAGGTTGGCTATACTTTAAACAGCATAATATTTTGCATATTGGTTATAATATTTTGATGATTTTTCTAGTACTTACGAGACTTTTCTGGCAATAAATTTTGTTTAACACCAAAGAAAATCATTTTTTTCTTCTTTAACATTAACAGCTGCTTATTGTATATACCAACTATCTAAAGTAAAATTCAACCAAATTAAATTTCAGGTATAAAATTATTTTTTTTTATACAATTTTTGCAAAATAGATAAAATAGCATAAAGAACTTCTGTCGCACTCGTCCATAAATTGTTCGCGTGCGATAAAATAACGTCTTATGACATTAGTTCTTTAATATATCCTAAATATACTATTATATTTCTAAAATAACCTACTTATTAACTTATCAGTAATATGTATTACTAATTACCTATAAGTAAGATAATATTACCAATAGGTTTCTTATATTAGTTAAATTAAACCAAAAAATAACCTTTGAATTTACCTTCAGGGTTTTGTTCATAATAACCTTAAAAAATGTTAATTGTTGAATACAACTAATTGGTTAAAAAACAAGTTTAAAAAAACGTTATTTTACTTAGATTGGTTAATTTACTTAGAATGTTAGTTATTTAACCAGTTGTGCTTCTTGGGATATATCTTGTTGAACTTTTTTCTGAAAAACTAATAAGTAAAATAAAACTTGAAAGTCTTACTTTCTCTTAAAAACTAGATAAATTAAGTCGAAAAAACCTAAAGATACTGTATTTGGTTATTGTAAAATAAAACACGAAAAAAAGTTTTACTACGTCAGAATATCCCTTCTCGCTTCTTCGAACGAGTGTTTAATAAAACGAGTGTCTAGAAAAGTTTATAAACGGGTTGCATACTAAGTTTTGTAAAACTAATATTATTAAAAAAAAATTAATTACTAGCGACATCTATACAAAAATAGAGTAACCAATATGGTGTTGGAAATCTGTTTTATCGGCTTTTAAAATGTGTCAAATTTTTCTTTAAAAATTGAATTTCTTCCTTGAAACTGGATTAACAACCGTTTAAATCCGATAGAAGCAGTTTTATACAGGGTGAAGTGACATCAACTTTGTGATTTCAAACAGCCCATATATTTTTACATTTTTAAATTCTGTAAAAAATTCTGAGTAAAATTACTATACCATATACCTAATGTAAATAGTTTTTGAATTATTAATTTTCAGAAAGAGCCTATAACTCAGTGGCGGCTGGTGGATTTTATGTATTCCAATATCTCGGTTATTGAACATGGGACCCACACCAAATTTATAATAGTTTATAATGACATTAAATAAACAAGTTCGGCGCAAACAGAATTTAAGATTTTAAAGTTTGCGAAAAAAAGTTAGTTTTTCCTGTCGCCTCACCCTCCTCCAGGCCCCCCTATTTGAGATAATTCAAATTAAAGTGGTGCAATTTATTATCTACTATAATTTATCGACAAATTTAAAATTTATTTAAAAAATCCAAATATTACAGATTTTATTCAATTTTAAATTTTTATTATTTATTTTATTAAAATAAAAAATATTTAAAATGGTTTAAAACCTGTAATATTTGGATTTTTTAATAAAATTTTAAATTTGTCGATAAATTATAGTAGATAATAAATTGCACCACTAATTTGAATTATCTAGCCTGGAGGCGGGTGAGGCGACAGGAAAAACTAACTTTTTTCGCAAACTTTAATTTAAATTCTGTTTGCGCCTAACTGGTCTATTTAATGTCATTATGAACTATTATAAATTTGGTGTGGGTCCCATGTCTAATAACTGAAATATTGGTATACCCAAATCCACCAGCCGCCACTGCTATAATTTTTTTCCATTAGGTTTGCGGATATACGAGTATTGCGGTGGAATTTTTGGAATCATAAAACATTATTTAAAGGATTCCATGTTAATTCTTTAACATTTTTCAAAAAATTACCTAAGAAAACCCAGATCAAATTAGGCTAACTAATAATATCAAAGTTGATGTCACTTCCGGTTAAACTGTTCCACAGAAACTTCTAATGCACTACGAATGTGAAACACCCTGTTTATTTTCTCCCCGATATTTGTAATGCCTAATCGGCTAATACTAGTTTACTGCCGGCGAAATCAAAAGGTTTAAACATAAAAAACTAACTATTACCAAGAATGACAAACCGTACAACAATAAGGATTTAAGAATGTTAACCCATAAAAATGTATTGTATAAGAATAAAACAAGATTTTAAAATGTAAGTCGTTAAAAACAAACGTAAATAAATCGCTAACGGACAAAAAAAAGCCTTTATACTTACTGGCTACTGAATCTGTTCAATCGGACGTAAAACCAAGCGGGGGAAACCCCAGCGCAAAAAATCACGTCCTCCACGGAATCCTGGTTGAAGAACGCCCAGTTCGGCTTCACCTGCTCGATCCTAACCTCGCTTTTGACCGCCGCCTCGACCTTGGCCAGCTCGATCCCCGCCTCGGCGCACAGCCGCCTCAGACCCTCCGACTGCCGCCTGTCCACCTCCACGCACTTGAGTCGCTGAAGTTCCTTGGAGAGGTGGAAGGGGTACACCTGCACGTCGTTGCCGACGTCCACCGCCTCGACGACGTTGCCGATCCACACGACGTTGCCGAGTTGCAGGTGCACGTCGGCGGTGAGCTGCAGGTGCTTGTAGTTGGACTTTTCCAGGAGGGTTTTCGCGGAAAAGTACGAGCGAGCCGAGTAGTTGCGATCCTCGAAGGGCGGAACGAAGTTCGAGATGTATGCGTTCGCAACTAAAAATAATAAACGCGTTTTAGTCCAGTCAAACCGTGGTGAAAATGGCCTGACCTTGAATCGATAGGGGCTTATTTGAAAAGCTTAAAACCAATTCTGCACCACCTGATACATATAACTTATTCATTTGAAGTTTATGGAGAACTGAAAAAGTTATCGATTTGAAATTTGTATTGCAAGGCAATGTAAACTATTTTTTTAAATTATTTTCATGCGTTATCACTTCCGGTAAAACTGGAAGTGATATAAACTTTGGTTTTTCAAATGGAACCATATAAATATTATTTCTGCGTGAAATTCTAGAAATACTAAAATTTCATTATTTTTAAGATATTAATTTTTTTTTTTAATTTTGACAGATGCATGGTCTTACTAATATCTATATCTATATTAATTGTAATGTTAAAATGTTCATTTTTGGTGTACCTTAAATAAGGAGCACTCTATCAAAAGCCATTAATGTAGTATTTAAAAATTTTATACAGGGTTTCTGATATTTACGTTGATTTTTTTATCACTTGGAATACCAATAACTTTCTTATTTCAAACGAAACTAACATACAATTTTTACATCATTCGACACAAAATACTGTTTTCTATTAAAATACTGCCGCATTTCCTATACCTTATTTATTTGTAATATAAGTAGTGTGCGTTAAACCGAGGCCCACTTTTGCTAGGATCCGCCACTGGACAAGCGTTTTCGGAATTGTCCCATGAAGAAATTTTGAGAACAACTTCTGAAGGTGTCTTGCGACGTATCAATATGTGTCGTGAACAACACTAGCGATACAATGAACAATTACTTTAGATTTGTTTTATTTGTTACATTTGTTCATTTTATTAACTAAATTTTTGAACTTTAAATTGATAATTCTTTTAACGTTATTTAATACGAAATAAAAACAATCCAACGCACATTACGTATTAAAAGTTCCTATTATTCTTTCTATAACTTTTTCGCACTCGCCATATGTATAAAACATTTTTAAAATACATTGATCATAAAATTATAAAAAAAGAAAAAAAGACAATCCAACGCACACTACTGATATTACAATTAAAAAAATAAGCGTTTTTATACATTTTTTGTAATATCTCTGTAAATATTCATTTTAGGTACCTATACGGAATGTTGCAGCATATTAATAGAATAATGTGAAAATTGTATGGTAGTTTCGTTGGAAATAAGTTATTGGAATTTAAAGTGACAGAAAAGTCAACGTAAATACCAGACACCCTGTAGAAAATTTAAAATAATATTAAAGGATTTCTATAGAGTGCTCCTTAGTTAACAGTTACACCAACAATTAACTTTTTAACATTACAATTAGTGGTAATGCAGACATATTAGTAAGACCATACATCTGTCAAAATTAAAAAAAAAATTAAATTTAAAAACTGTTAAAAATAAAAAAATAATCAAATTTTAGTATTTCTAGAATTTTACGTAGAATTTAAAAATGTAATAATATTTGATATCGCTTCCGGTTTAACCGGAAATGACGCATTGAAAATACCGGAAATGACGCATTGAAAATAATTTAATAAAATAGTTTACATTGCCTTCTAATTGCAATACAAATTTCAATTCGATATTTTTTTCCGTTCTCCATAAACTTCTAATGAATAAGTTAGGTGAATCACATTGTAAACGCAAAAATACATATTTTTAGTTTTTAGCAAATATCTCGGCCCCCGTATACTGTACAATAAAAAGTAAAATATAAAAATTATTTTTTATAAATGTTGGCAAAAAAGTGAAATTTTTAATTTAACAAACAATATTTTTTTTACTTATTTACTGATTTGTATAAACAAAAAACACTTTAGACAAAAATTGTAGGAAATTTTATAAAAAATAATTTGATTTTTACTTTTTATTGGGCAGTATACAGGGGCCAAGATATTCCCTAAAAACTGAAAAAATGTATTTTTACGTAAAAAAAATTTCAGGTGTTGCAAATTTGGTTTCAAGCTTTTCAAATCCATGAAAAAATTCCAGACAGCGCCTCAGCACTAGGGAGTTTCATTTAAAACGAATATTTTTTGTTTTTCACCGAAACTCCAAAATATTGTTCAAAACATCGAAAAAAATTCCCTCAAAATCACTTTGATTTTAAGTACCTACTTCCCATTTAAAAAGCATGTATTTTTATCACTTTTTTTACATTTCTATATCTTTGCCAGGTTTTAAGCTATCAAATTGTGGTTCATTGCTACTTAAAGAGTATTTAACGCTTTTTAACAGAGCTTATAAGAATTTTTCTCTAACTCAGCTCTGAAAGTAATTTTTTACTTTTTTCACATATTTTTAAAAATATTAAGGGAATGGCTCGTCTTACCAAAAAATTTTAAAGAAAAAGTTGTAGAAAAATTTATTCTCTACAAAAAAGTTTTTATGTTTTTATGTTTAAAAGATATTAATTAGTCATCTCAACAAAACAAAATTTTTTCAATTTTTTAAATATTAAACTGCTCATATCTTGTAAACTGTGCACTTAAGTGATATAAAGGTAAGGACTTTTTTTTGTAAAAATTAGACCAGCTTATTCTCTTAATATTTTCAAAAATATGTAAAAAAAGTAAAAAAAAATACTTTCAGGGCTGATACCATCAAGGTGAATCAAGTTAGAGAAAAATTCTTAAAGGCTCTTTTAAAAAGCGTAAGTAACAATGAACCACAATATGTTAGCTTAAAACCCGGCAAAGATATAGAAATATGAAAAAGTGATTTGCCTTAAATAGGAAAAATTCAATCTTTGAGGGAATTTTTTTTCAATGTTCTGAACAATATTCTGGAGTTTTGGTGAAAAACAACAATTAGTCGTTTTAAATGAAACACCCTACAAACGAAGGTTTGACCCGTTACTTACTTGTGGAGGGAATGCCTTGAAACTCCTCAGGCAATTTGAAGAGGTGCGACTTCAAAGTCGACAAGTTGACACCAGTGTCGATCAAGAAAACTTTGACCTCGTCATTTTTTTCCCTCAAAACTTGACACCTGTAAAAAACGCCTTCGCCATCATCGATATCGTAGTAGGCACAATATTTGTCGCTGAAATCAGCCAGGGATATTTTCGTATCCTTCAGGACTTCGGTCAGATTTTTCGTCAAATTTTCCGGAGATTCGAACGTTTTTACTTTGCCTTCCAGTGATTTGTTTTCGATCAGTTTTATCGTGAAATTCGATACGTCGATAAAGTTGACGATTTTAAACTTAATTTTACCGTTTTTGGGCATAAAATCGGAAGAGTCCAATTTTTTGCTCAACAAATGTCTGGAGGGGCATTTTATGTTGCCACATGGTTTGCCAAACAGGCACAGATCGGGGCACAGAGGGGTCTTTTTGGAGATTTTTTCCTCCTCCTTTTCATTTTGGATTGCCTTAAAAAATATACTGGTGTTAATTTGTTAGATTTATGTGTTGGGTGTGTGTTCAACCTTTTCATAGTCATAAAGGGCTTGAGGAAGTTCGATATCCAGTTCGTGGAAGTATTCCAAAAATCTTGGTATCTCTTTTAGGGACGTTTCGTCGGTGAAAACGTAACTTTTTAATGGGAATTTATCCTAAAATATTAAGGAAAAATTATGGCACGCCGTTTTAACATTTATTTATTTTTAATTTAAAATTTTATTGTTTTAAAATTTTTCAACTATCATGCATTGAAATACACTCACCGACAAAAAAAACTGGCACCTAAATTTTTTTGACAATTTTGACATGTCATAACTTTTTTATTTTTGATTTTATTGTAATGATTTTTTCGCTATACTATAGATCAATTCATTTAGATTGCGCTGCAGTTTATCCTGATGAAATTTATATACCAGGGTCAATAAAAATGTTGTTTTTATCCGTAAGTTTAAAACACCCTGTGGAAAAAACATGCAAATCAACCTTTTTCTAAACTGTTTTACGATAAATCTGGATGTGCTCCAAGTTTTTTGTTTTTTTACATCATCTGTCCATTTCGTTTCTTTTACGAGCTACGCATTTTTAAATGAAACAACGTCACATTTAAAAATATTTTTACTAAAGCTGTATTATAAGTTGTTTAGAGCACAAACTGAAAGTTTTTTTTGTCGGTGAGTGTACAAAATTTACTAACAGTTCACTTCTGCATTAACAATATCATTGTTTAATAAAAATAATTTCCTAGGTATAATTTATTTAGGAAGAATTTTTTAAATCCCAAATAAATTGTTTATAAAATCATTTAGATTAAATTGGTAAAGTTAAATTTTTTAGTATTTAAAAATACCTTTAAAACATTTTCCACCAAAATAGTTTAAAAAGTTAAATTTTTTTAATCTCAAAACTATAAATAATCAAAAAATATTTTAAATATAAAATGCAAATGTAAAAGTTTAGGTTTAAATTTGTAAAGAGTCAATTAAATGATAGTCGATAAGTTTTTAATAAAAAAATTCTCACATTACATTTAAATGACTATCATTTAAATGACTCTTGAGAAATTTAAATTGATACATTTTAAACACAAACATATTCACATTACATTTAAATGTAAGTTTATAATTTTTAATTCACAAAGTGTAAACGCTGCTTTAGCTGACTGCATATGCTGCAGACTTACATTTAAATGTAAAGTTATACATTAAAAAAAAATATATCAATTTAAAATTGTTAAAAATAAAAAGTTATCCATTAAAATTTGTAAAGTCATTTAAATAATAGTCGATAAATTTTTAATCCAAAAATTACCACTTTAAAATTTAAAACTTACATTACGACGACTATCATTTAAACAACTCTTTACAAATTTAAACTGAAAATTTGGTATAATAAATATTTGAACTAAATTTTTTTTAAATTAATAATATTTTTACGCTTAAAGTTTTAAATTTGTTTTTCATGTTTAAAAATGTTTTGGACTAACTTTATAAATTTCTGGTAAAACATCATTAAAATGCTAAACTTTAATTTTCAAACTATTATTTAATAAATAATAACACAGCGTGCCACAGAAAAGTTTCCTTGATTAAAATAAAAAAAAACTTGCAAACAAAAAATTATAAAAAAAATTAGTATAAAAAAAATACATTTTACTTACATTATCTCCATTAAAGAGATGTTTGTAAGTCTCCAAAAAGCATGAATATCTTGTGGTAAACCTGGTCCAAGAACTAGGCATGGAATAATTGATTAAAACGTCTGCATTGGTTACAGTTAATTCAGTATTAAAATCCACATCAGTGCAAACCAACACTAAAACCAAAATTGCAGTTAAAAACGACAAATCAAATTATAAAATGCCTACCTTTGTATAGCCCAGGTTTGGTCGCATCCCACTGCTGTTCAGCAAATAATTTGTCCTCTTTGCTGTCGCTGGGTTTAACGAAAATATTCTCGATACCACCCAGCAAAAATGTGTTCTGAATTTCCTCCAAATCGTCTTCATGGCAAATCAAGATGGTTTTGTGTATGTTAAAAGTATTTTTTAACAAACCTTAAACATTTCCATCATCACAATAAACTAAACACGTACAAAAAAAAGTCTTACTCTTTAGTTCCAACTCCTTTCTGGTGGAATCAAACATGACCAGGGAAAAATCGACTTTGCCGTATCGAGCGGCCTCGAAGAAGTTCCCCATGATTACGGTGGGAGTTTTGGCCAGTTTCTCGGCGAGGTTTTGCAAATTTTTGCCCCAATGTTCGGCTATTACGAGCAGCTGGCAACTTATTGCGCAGACGCGGTGCGACAGCATATCTTCGACGACTTTGAAGATTTTGTCCATGTATATCGAATCCCTTTTCAAAATAACATCCGCGTCTTCTATTATTAGGTGGGAGAGTCTTTTTAAATTCGTTTGGCTTGTTTTAAGCAGGTGTATCAGTATGGCTGGGGTTGTTATTAGAACATCCGTGTGGTTCTAAAAAATCACTCTTTAAAACAACTTTTTATTGAAATGACTTTTTTTAATTTCCCATTAAAAATAGTACCTACATGCAAAAATAAAGATTTTTAATAGGAAGTAAAAAAATTATCGTTTCAAACGGCGCACTTTTACCCAGCAAACACCTGATTTGGCCCATTTCTATATCTATGAAAACGAGTCCATCTATTAAAGATCAATAAAATTCTAGCAATACATATTATTTTTGTAACCTCGATGATTTTTGGTGTTGTAATTTACCAAAATACATAATTTGTTTATAATAATATTGATTGCCTATGCGCCGTTTTATTTTTAATTCAGGAATTAATTTTATGTGTTAAACCTAGAGTGATATTTTCAATTAGATAAAAAATATCACATAAGAATTTTTATTCTGAGAATTAATAATATCATAGCAGTTATTTTAAAAATATATGATTTTTTTATTTAGTGAATGCAGTAGACACATCTTAAAATGTATTATGGGTTGCATACAATACTCGTATTAAATCGGCAGTAAAGTTCTACTTTACTTAATTGTTTCGACCTTTACTTGATGAAACTCCCTATTAACTATGAGCATATAAAAAAAACTTTGTTGTAAAGTTTCACGAAATTTATTAAATTTTGAAAATTGTTTCGCTACACAGTAGCATCTTCAGAATGTATTATGTAAATTTAATAAATTTCGTGAAACTTTACTTTAAAGTTGTTTTTATATCCACATAGTTCTACTTTACTGCCGATTTCTTTTACTTTACTGCCGATTGTTGACTACTTTAATGCCGATTTGGGATAAAAAAAATTTATTTCTAAAATTTTATAATATGCAGAATTTTGCAGGATTTTGAGATGAGTATTCCACATTTTTTATGGAAATTAAGTGATTTACAAAAAAGTTATCCTTAGTATTTGTGACTCGACTGAACAGAGGCGAAATTTGTATAGGCTGTGAAGCTCCTGCGTACTAGCAAAGAGCGTAAATTATTTACCTACTAATATATCAGGCGAATTCGCGCCTATTTTTTGCTGATGGTACATACACGCTACACAGTTTCGCAATTCGCAACCATACGGGATATAAATTATATTAAACAAAACGTATAAATATCCCGCGAGCGCAAATGTCTTTGAAACGCTTATATTTATCAAAAAAACTAAAGAAACCTTTTTTGTAGATCAGTTAATTTCCAACAAAAATATGTACTACTCATTTCAAAATTTTTACCATTCCGCAAGTTATACAATTTTAGAAAATCAAATATATTTTTTCTTAACTATAAACTTTTACCCAAATTATCTTTTGAATGGATATGTTTACGAAAAAACGATACGATACCTTTTTTGTAGACCATTTAATTCCCTATTAAAATATGTATTGTTCTTAGCTTTATATTAATTTTTTCCAATTCTAGCCCAAATTTTGTCTGCTGGGTACTTATGTATACTTACCCTATTGCTATGCTTGGAAGGATATGTCCCCAAAACAACCTCTATATAACTTTTATGCAGAAAAACCTTGAACAAATCGTGTACATCCTCGCAATTTTTAGAATTTCCACACAAAACAACCGCTATGGGACCCTTGAAATTCGATAATTGTTCATAGCGACTTTTTTCCAATATTAGCGAAGCTATAACGGGTAAATAGGACAATGTTTTGCCCGTTTTTGGATTGTGCACCAAGAAAACATTGCTTTGTCTGAGAATTGCAGGCCAAGCGTAAGATTGCAGCCTTTTGCATTCCGTGTAGCCTTTTTTCCTTAGCGTTGCGTGTATGAAATCGTGAAGAGACGCCGTGCCGATCTGTTTTACTGGCCTTGGAATATTAAGGCTTGAAAAATAATAGGAAAAATTTAATTCGCGAGCACCTACATATAATAAATAAACTTTATTGTAAGAGTTGTTAACTTACCCATGCACCAAAATCTTTCCAGCTTTTTGCTTCTCAATTTTGCTCATTTGGGAATACCGAATACCTAAAATCTCGCATTGCCTCTCAACATTTTCCTCCCTACTTAAAAACAGTGGCGTCGGTTTGCAAACATCCAGCCGTTGAATCTTCTCGCCCCCTTCAGCCACCTAAAATGCGCTTTTGTGTTTTCATTTGTCATTTCACACCCGTTAAAACTACGGGTACCCATGGTACAAGAAAACAAGATATGTTTTTGCTCATGTTTCCACCACTTCATTAGATTGGCGAAGAGGTGGGAGCACCCAGTCGCCGCCATATTGACTATTTACATTTTGATGCGAGTTGATTTTTAAGCTATTTTAAAGTTTTGTAAGTGTAAAAAATGTCTACCTGCCAAGTGAAAATCTGTTAAAACAATGCCAAAAAAACTGGAAATCCAATACATTTCCTTAGTATAGGCTTGAAAAAATTGATGTTAAGGTGGAATTATGCAGCACAAATTAACATTAATATTAAGATTAACATTCAAAAGTTAAGATGGATGTAATACAATAGAAGCATTTATGTTAAATTAATCTTAATCTTAATATTAATTTGTGCTGCATAATTCCAACATAAGTAGATTTATTTGAAAAACAATTAAATAGCAGTCCTTTTTTAGAGGTACTTTCCTTTTGTATACACAGATTATCTGTGACAGATAAGTATAAAAAATAATGTAGGTTAATATTTTTGATTGTTTTGTAGCTTGTATTTGTTCCATTTACTTCATAGATAAGAACAAAAATTGGATCAAAAAACATCCAAACTACATTCCCATAAAAAGTCTTTTAAAGTGAATACGGTTCCAACTTTACACACAGGAGTCCTGATTCAGGACTCCTGTGTGTAAAGTTGGAACCGTATTCACTTTAAAAGACTTTTTATGGGAATGTAGTTTGGATGTTTTTTGATCCAACTTTTGTTCTCCTGAATGAGTCATAGGTCACATAAAAATGACGCCAAAAACTGAATGCGCTATCGGAATAAGGACCCTTTCTAGAGTTTAAAAACATGTGTTTTAAAATTGTATTTGATCCTTTTTTAAAATTTTAGTAATTTAGTGACTTATTTAAGATTTTTTGAGAATTTCTATAAAACTGAGCCCTTAAGGAACAATTTTTAATAAAGAATTACAGACAAAAATCTAAAAATGAATCCAAATGAAGTTTGATATATGGATTCTTAAGCAAAACTTTAAAAAAGGAACAGCTACAATTTTGAAAAACCTTTTTTTAAACTTCAGAGGACATCCTTATTCCAATACTGCAGTCAGTTTTTGGCGTCATTTTTATGTGACCTATGACCACTGTGTACACTTAACAGCTGATCTATTAAAAGAGAAATCAAGTACTTTGTAAGAAATTAAAATAAAATTGGAAAAAATGATTCTTTTTACAGTGTACAAGAAATAGGACAAAACCAGGAAGCATAATATGATTTTTGAAGACAGCCTGTAACACAAACTCAAGTACCTACAGCAGTGTAAGAAATTAAAATAAAATTTAAAAAACAAAACAAAAAAATCTTATTCTTATGGTGGCCAATTTAGGGTTTTTATTTAGCAACTAAACCTAAATTGCAATTATAATTAAAATATATTAATATTATTAATATTAATATATTAAATATATTTGTAAATACAATTTTGTAATAAAAAAATTTAGAAAAAATATGTTGTTTACATTTTTCTTGCAATGTTAATTAACATTAAGGTTGCTTTAAAACAGGATATTTTATTTTATACATTTGACTTATAAATTGCTTTAAAACTAGATAGGTATTTTATTTGTTAAACATTTAACTCAAAAACTAATATTAAATTTTTCTTAGCACTTTTTTCATATATTTGATTTGGGATTTAGAAAATATTATTTATTTTAAAACATATTTAATTTTATTGAAAAACTATATAATAGCTATTTTCGCGGAGCTAATCCCGAACTAATTCCGGACATTCTAGGCATGCGCTTTTTAAAATTTGGGGTTAAAAATGTAAAGTGCGCATGACAAATATTTAAATGCGCATGCCTAGGATGTCGGAACTAGTTCGGATTAGCACCGCGAAAACACCTATTAGTTATTTATGTATCAAGGGCCTTGATTCAAGGCAGTAAAGTCATATTTTTTATCACGAATGTGGAAATCGGCTTTCGGCTCGGCAAATAACCGCGTGAGTGATAAAAAATGACTTTAATGCCGAGGTGCATATTAAATTTTATCCGAAATAACATAAAACTTATAATTAATACTGATGATTATTTCCCTCATTATAATATGAACCAATCAAAAGCCTTGAATTTTATGGTGTTATTTACAAGTTTTAACAAACATTTTTTAAAAAACAATAAAAAATAAGTTATCTAGTTTACGAAATATCAATTATTACTTATTACATAACTTAAATTAATGGAATTTTCTTTAAAAAATATTTATAAATTTTGATACATACGTCAGATTTTATGAATTGTCAAATAGTTTCCTTTAATTCGAGAAATAATCTAGACGTATATCACTCAACCTATAAATTTATTCTGTCAAACTATGCTCAGTAAGTTTTTTATTTGATTTTTCTTTTTGAAAAATAGTTTCATGCAAAATAATTAAAAATAAATCCCCTCGACCGCTACGCGGTCTCGTGATTTTATTAAATTATTTTGCATTCAACATTTTCCAACAAAAACCAAACAAAAAACTACTGAGCCTAGTTTAACCGATTAAATTCATAGTTCTCGTGATATAATATATGATTAAATCAAATGTCATTTGAATGTAGGAAGCGTCTACGTATACTGTTTGTAGCGACGGTCATTATATTATATAATATATATATTATTTATATATTTGCCAGCAGCGGCAATTTTTTAATCAATTAATAAAATAACTTATTATTTTTATTAAACAACATTTTACGAAAGGGTCCAATCGACCTCCGCGACGGTGCTTTTATTAAATATTATTTAGTTGCTGCTGAGGAGCAGTAGACACATCTTAAAATGTATAATGGGTTGCATACAATACTCGTATTAAATCGGCAGTAAAGTTCTACTTTACAGCCGATTTCTTTTACTTTAGTGCCGATTGTTGACTACTTAACTGCCGATTTCGGATAAAATAGTTTTTTTTTATTAATAATATTTTCTTGAAATATTAATATTGTGGGTCATTTTTAAGTGTGACCTTCAAATTATTTGACAATTTAATCTAAAAATCGGATAATTTTATAGAAATTTGGATGAATTTCATAAGAAAATAATATTTAAATTTAAAATATCATTTAAAATCAAAGGCGGGAACAGTGTTGCCAACTCGTGGAAAATTTCCCAATTCGTGGGAAATTTTAAGTGCCAAAGGGAAAACGGGAATTTTAACACAAAATTCTGTATTTGTGGGAAATTGTAAAGTCCAATCAATTTTCAACTAAAACAACTAGAAAAGAAAAGTCCAATCAACATTCATGAAAAAAAAAATTACCGATTTTTTTTTACTATAGTAGTATTATACCTATACTGCCCTACTATGGAGAAAGGCAGTAACTGCAAAAAAATGCAAAATGCGTTTTCTTGTGCTATGGTAAAGCTATGGACATTTTATAACCGAATTCAACACAGAAATGCAGTCAAATATCTCAAGTTAAAAAAATCAGTTAAATACCAACTGCTCTTTATAAAAATGTAATTTATGCTAATTTTTCACCAAAATTTCTTGTTTAGCAGTTACTGCCTTTCTCCATTATGATAGTAGGGCAGTATAATAGGTACTACTTTTTCTTTTAAAAATAACAGCTTAAACATATCAAGTTTGTGGACAGCCAAAGTCAACAAACCAGCGGCCTAATAGTGACGTCACTGATGATGAGGATATATCCTGGCCATACGCTCTATGTGAATCGTCACAAACTTTCACTAGCTTTCCTGCGCTATGCGCGCTTCAAGTTTTTCTTACAATCAGCGTTGCCGGAAGGCCAATGCTAAATTCCTGGCTTAACTAAAATCTATTACTGGAAATTACTGGCAAAAAATGTACGTTGTATTCCTGGCAGAATACTTTTGGTTTGCATACAATGCAGTTAATTTTTAATTTAATTTTTTTAGCAGGGTATTTATAAATACAGTGTATATACTCCGCATCACACTTGAATGATTTAAGTTGAATCACAGTTTCACAGAAATTCACGCCTTAAAAATTTTCGTTCCAAGTTTTTTACTGGTAAATTCCTGATTCACATTCAATTACTGGCAAAACGGCAACCCTGCTTACAATTTGAAATATACTCGGGGATTTACCGAATTATCCGTGGGATTTGTAGCAATAAGTGGGCCTGTGTTTCTGTGTAGTATTTTTGTAAAAGCTGGTAAAGTATTATTTTATGAGCTGTATAAAACAAAAAGTGTTAGATTAAACTAGTTTTTATTTACAAAAGCAACTCGTAATGTCTAGTTCATCAAATGAATGATTTAAAAAAATTTATCATTTTTTTAATTTAAGTTTCTCTGTTTCTCAAAATATTGTATTTTTCTTCGTGGGAAAATTTTCGTAAAAAAAGGAAATTTTTACCCTCTTTGTGGGAAATTTGATTCTCAAAGGTTGGCAACACTGGGCGGGAACGACCTAAGATGGCGGTAACTGGGTGGTGCGCAAAGTGAACCAAAATTCTTCCTACCTTAAAATCCGTGCAGTGCGTGTAGTGGCTGCACTTGCTGCAGCTGCAAGTGGGCTTGACGCCCACAGATGGCGCTTGAACGGCGTTCCCGCCAATCAGATCGATCTCCGAGCCTGACGTCTCCGTTTTCGGCCGCGTTTTTTTAATTTAAGTTTCTCTGTTTCTCAAAATATTGTATTTTTCTTCGTGGGAAAATTTTCGTAAAAAAAGGAAATTTTTACCCTCTTTGTGGGAAATTTGATTCTCAAAGGTTGGCAACACTGGGCGGGAACGACCTAAGATGGCGGTAACTGGGTGGTGCGCAAAGTGAACCAAAATTCTTCCTACCTTAAAATCCGTGCAGTGCGTGTAGTGGCTGCACTTGCTGCAGCTGCAAGTGGGCTTGACGCCCACAGATGGCGCTTGAACGGCGTTCCCGCCAATCAGATCGATCTCCGAGCCTGACGTCTCCGTTTTCGGCCGCGTGCTCGACTGCGATTGGCCGGCGGAGGCGTCGTCCTTGGAATCGGAGGAGGCTGTTTCCAGAGACGTCGTCGATCCGTGGAACTGGGGCGTTTCCGAAAGTGAGGTTAAGGAGTGGGGTTTAACAGGGGTGCTGTGCTTTAGCCAGCCGTTTTTCGGGGGATTGTGCGGGTGAGCGGGTTTATTTTTTTTGTGAACATTGAGGTTAGAGCCGGCTGGAAGGAAGTTAACAGGGCGAGAGGGGCGGTCGTTATTTTCTCTGAAATCTGGAGAAAAAATCTTAAAAGCTAATTTAACGTGGAAAAATTACCGAATTTTGTGTGTTTTGGTCACAAAAATTAATATTTAATTTATATGGCACGCCGTTTTAACATTTATTAAATAATTTTTTAATTTAAAATTTCCTAACTAAAAATTTTAGGTTTATTTCCAGTCAATTTAAAAAAAAAATAACTATCATTTTTTAATAAAAATAATCTTTCAAGTATAATTTGTTTTGGCCAAATTTTTTAAATCTTAAATAAATATTTTATAAAATTATTTAAATTAAATTTTTTAGTATTTAAAATAGTGTCCAGACATTTAAAATAAAAACACATACATTTTTTTCTTAAATTTAAAACAATTGAGAATCAAAAATGCCACTGTAAAAGTTTAAGTTTAAAAATATTGATTATTAAAAATTGTAGCTTCAATATTTCATTCAAAAAATTATATTTGTAAGACTAAAATTCCCACATTACATTAAAATGTTAGTTTTTAATTTTAAAGTGGTAATTTTTGGATTAAAAACTTATTGAGAATCATATAAATGACTTGATAAATTTTCATATTCACATTGCATTTAAATGTAAGTCGATAATTTTTAATTCACAAAGTGCAAACGCTGCTTAGCGACTGCATATGCTGCAAAATTGACCGCTAAAGCTACGTTTACACTTTGTAAATTAAAAATTATCGACATTTAAATGTAAAGTTATAAATTTTGTCTTGAAAATGTATCAATTTAAAATTGTTAAAAATAAAAAGTTTTGATTTAAATTTTTAAAAAATTATTTAAATGATGGTTAATAAATTTTTAATCTAAAAATTACCTTTTTAAAATTTAAAACTTACATTTTAAATGTAATGTTTGATTTTTTTTATTAAAAATGAATCAACTATTATTTAAATGACTACAAATTTAAACCAATAATTTTGTAGAATAAAATATTTTAACTAAAATTTTAAAAATCAATATTTTTAGGCTTAAAGTTTTACAGTTGTATTTAAAATACTTTTTGACCATCAATGTTTTTTGTTTAAAAAAATTTAACTTCTGTTAAAACATCATTAAAGTGCTAAACTATTATCTAATAAATGCTAAAACGGCGTGCCATAGAATTATGAGATGGTAAAAATAAGATGATTTAAGAAAGTAATCAGTTTATTATAAAAAAATACAAAAGACTAGAAAAATTAAAACAAAATCCTTAAAAGAAACTAAAAAAAAACAGTATTGTTGTAATCACAAAATAAAAAAACAATCAAAATCTTCTAAGTCTACTAAACATACCAGAAAAATCGGTGCTAGTTTTCCCTTCTTCAATTGATTTTGTACTGCTATTTACATCCATAGAATTTTCTTTGATTGAAGAATTTTCTTTCAAAGATGAGTTTTCTATAAGGGATGAATTTTCTGAATTGGCACTTGCGTTTTTCTTTCTGTTCAAAATTTTCTGCAGCATCAATTTTCTTCTATTTCCAACAGAATCATCAGTATTTGATGGAGATGTATTTGCAGAATTATTTAATGGTTTATTTTCAACATCTGAACTCTCTGTGTCTGAATCTCTTTTTCTTATTGAAATGAAGGATTCCTAAATAAAACAACAATTAAGTAATAAAAATGTATGAAAATAAAAAATACTTACTGAAGAATTATAAACATCTCTTTCTTCATATTCACTCAAAGAAACATCTATTAAAGACATACCACTTGTATTAAGTTTAACATCTTTGGAAATTTGTCTCAAAAAAGATATTTGGTTATCTTTAAACAACGCAATCTTATCTTTAATGTCTAAAATAAAAATATTTAAAAAAATGTTTTTTTTTTACTTAAACAAAATCCTACCTTCAAATAAAGCATTACTAGTCTGCATTATCCCCTTATCATTTAATAATTTGGATAGAGATATACTTTCATCTTTTTTATTGAGAATTATGTCTCCAATAAGAATCCCTTCAATATTTTCATGAACAACAAACTCAAAATCATTGTAATGTTTAATGAATTCCAATATTTTTTCACGAATAGCTGGACATTGTGGGGGAGAAGTGGTCAATTTTTTTGTGATTATTCCCTCAGAAACCAAGTTATAATCCATTTTCTTTAAAGTAAACAATATAATACACCAACTTTAAAAATATAACAAGAAAAAGTGGTAATATGGAATCCCCAATAATTTTACAAAAAAATGAGGTTCCATATTACCACTCTTAATTGCTTTACCTCTTCAACAAAGACAATATTGTTTAAACAAGCTTGCTTAACAAACGGTGGAATTTTTTTCAAATCGGACTCCAATTTGCAAATTTGGTTACTTTCAATTAAAACTGCATAATCCATCAACCAACACAAATATTTTGAGTTATGATCTTGTTTTTTTCCAGGGCATTGTTCGATCACTCCCCTGTGGTATGCTTTATCATAAAATACCCCAACAATCTTAAATTATCAAATTTGTTTCAAATGGAAAATATAAAGATATTAAAAACTTACTTCTCCTTTATTAAATACTTCACCTATTTTGAGCTTGCAGGATTTCCTTAGAGTTTTTTGCAAATACACAAGTTTGGAGTTAACATCTTTGTCCTGAATCCAAAATAAGTAAGGATTCACGAAAGTAGAAACCACAACATTCAATTTTGTCGTCATTTTAAATAATTTAATCTTCTTCACTGGATTTGTGCATCCTTCTGCGCTCAGCAGTTTACGAAAGAGGGAAATTCAAAACCAAACATCTTCCATAACCCCACTTATTTGAACAATCGCTAACGTTTTTGATGATCAAAAATTTGATCCAATGGGAGATCCCATATTTGTTATATGGGAGATCCCATAGGATAAAAGTTAGGTTAAGTTAAATTCCTTCCTTATAAATAATTTGTCCAAAATGAGAAATTCTCCCATTTAAAGCTCAATGATACTATTGCAGGTTAATTGAAATGGCCAATAAAGTGAGTATAATTTTTGATAATGGTTTTATTTGCTTTATCAATTATAAAAGTAATAAAATTTTGTTAGGAAATTACGCCTCACTAATTGTTTTCAAGGGTGTCCAAAGTAACCCTTTTTCAGAAATTTCACAAATTAGGTCTTGATTTTTCACCACCAGCAGCGCTGATTGTCAATGCTGTTTTGGTACCTACAAATCAAGCCTTTTAGGAAGATATTTATATACATGAAGTTCGGACTCCTTGTGTAGGCTCCTTGGATATTATTATTGGTTGCAACCTTGATTTCAATCCCCCAGAATATGTGACATCTATGGTTAATTTTCAATTTTAATTGTTCTGAAAATTTTGGAGTGAAAAATTTGAAAAAATCATTTTTGGTCAGTTTTTGTTTATTTTTTGTTGATACAACCTAAATAAAATACTGCAATATATTTTGACCAAATTTGACTGGTCAAATAGCTAGCTGTCAATTGACCATCCCCACCTGTATACTGTCATTTTTGATTGATTAAAAATTACGGTTAGTCCGCAAGAAAAAGGGCATGAAGGGCAGCCATCTAAAAAAATTTCAAAAAAACATTAATTGGACGTTTTTTAAACGATTAAATAAACTTACTGGTGGGGCAGTGCTAAAATTGCAGGAGGCGCCCCCAAAATAGCGCTTGGGGTTTGAGGCCCCCTACCGCCTCCTCTTTGTCTAATCTATTATTCATAAAAACACAAATATATAAATTATTTAACAAATATTTGTATAAACACGAGATTTATAAATTTATTTTAATTTTGAAACACCACCAGATGCTTCTTTAGCGAATAGTGTTGGGTAATAAATTATTACTAATAATGTCCAAAAGGAGTGTAAACCACTTCTATTATAGACAGTTCTTACTAGTAATTTTGAGAAAAAGTTTTTGTAATGAATTTTTTGTTAAAAATTACAAATTTGGATAAAAGTTAAAACTAAAAGTTGAAACTTAATTAAAAAAACATTAATGACAAATTGTAAGCGTCGATTTCAAATAAGTAGTAAATAACATTGTTCCAACCCTATTGGTAACTTACTTCTCCAAAGAGGTTCCTAAGGGTCTTCAAGCATAATTCTCGGGGGCCCCTAACGCACCAGGTCCCCTCAGGAGTCTGATACAGTTCGGCCCCCGACACTATTACTTTTGATACCAGCTCAAAGTCTAAAAATTATTATCAAAAAATATTTTTAAATTGTTTTTTTGCAATGCTTACTTATTAGGGACACCTCATGGCGCCTTAGTCTTATCGGTTCCTAATTACAAAAAAAACATAAACAATTGTTAACATAGGTCCTCTAAAAAAAATTAATGCACCCAGCAAACAAACAAGTCTAATTATGTAATGGCCCATTACATAGTTTAATGGCTTATTAATGGCATTTTTAGCTAAAGTTTTCCTTGTACTGGGCTTTTACAGGAATGTTTTAATAAAAATTTTAATTTTGATAATTTGCTGTTGTGATAAAGCCCTTTTCAGGCTAATATTTGTATATTTTACCATAAAAGAACCATATATGGCAATTCTCAGTATTAAGTTAATGGGACTTTAATACTTACATTCATCATTTCGACATTTTGTAGCTAAAAAAAGTTAATTATTATAAAAAAAAAATTAAAACACACCCTTACTTGGTCATGTATTCCCTCCAGCTGCGCCTAATAATTAAAAAACGTTTAGAAACGCACGATAATTATTATTAAACAAAAATACTTACAATGCTGTTTGCAACATTAACTGCCTTATCAGACTAAAATAGAAGAAACATATTTAAAATTTGCCAGTTAAAATTCTCTGCAAGTTCATTTTTTTGTAGTGGAAACAATGTTTATAAAAATACAATCAATTGTTTTGGAAAACATTTTCAGCTTTTCAACGAAAATATTTATTCTTTAATATAAGTAACGGATGTATCTTATTTAATTCTTCTATTTAAGAAATTTTGATTTCAGGGAACCCAAACGCGACTAAGCTTAAAACAATGAAATTACCTTGACAACCGCAGTAGAACTTTCTAAGGATGCCATGCTCGACCGCGATTGGCTGGCGGATGCGACGTCCTTGAAATCGGAGGAGGCGGTTTCCAGAGACGTCGTTGATCCGTTTCGGGTTTCCGAAAGTGAGGTTATGGGGTGGGGTTTAAGGGGAGTGCTGTGCTTTAACCAGCCGTTTTTGAGGGGTTTGTGAGGGGGAGCGGGTTTATTTTTTGGGGGAACTTTGAGGTTAGAGCCGGCTGGAAGGAAGTTAACATTGCGCGGGGGGCGGTTTAGTTCGCTGAAATCTAGAGAAAAAATCCTAAACCCTTATTTAGTTTTGGTCACAAAAATTAAGATTTGAATTGAGTTGGTAAAACTAAGATGATTTAGGAAAAAAAATCATAAAAAAATACAAAACTGGAAAATTTTAAAAAATCCATAAATAAACAGTAAACAGTCTTGTTGTAAACAATAAATTTAAAAAAATCAATATCTCTTAAGTCTACTAAACATACCAGAAAAATCAGTGCTTGTTTTCCCTTCTTCAATAGATTTTGTACTACTATTCACATCTAAAACTTCTATAGAATTTTCTTCCAAAGATGAGTTTTCTTCAAGGAATGAATTTTCCGAACTGGCGTTTTTCTTTCTGTTCAAAATTTTTTGCAGCATCAATTTTCTTCTATTTCCAACAGAATCATTTGTATTTAATGGAGTATTATTCTCAACATCTGAACTTTTTGTGTATGAATCTCTTTTCCTTATTGAAATGTAGGATTCCTGAATAAAAACAAAAATTAAACAACAATTTTTAAAAATGTATGAAAACAAAAAAATATTTACTGAAGAATTATAAACATCTCTTTCTTCATATTCACTCAAAGAAACATCCATTAAAGACATACCACTTGTATTAAGTTTAACATTTTTGGAAATTTGTTTCAAAAAAGAAATTTGGCTATCCTTAAATAAAGCAATCTTATCTTTAATGTCTAAAATAAAAATATTAAAAAAAAAGGTTTTTTTTCTTACTAAGGGCCAGTTTTTCAATGTGATTTAATCCGAGGTTTAACTTCAAACCCCGAGTTAAATTTGGAGTTAACTAAATTCGCGTTTTTCAATTCATTTTGATCCCGAGTTTATATTAAACTCAGAGTTACTTTAATTCCCAGAAAGGGTATGAGTTAAGTAAGAATGAAAATAAAAAGAGGTTATATATCGTTATGTTGTGAGTGTTATGTAAAGTGATAATGTGGGACTATGATGTAAATCCCTATAGTAATGATGAAGAGAACTTTAGAAGACCAAAAGTTATTTGTCCAAGAATAAATTATTTTTAAATGTGGGACAATATTGATTTTCTAACCAGATTTCGGTTGTCTCCAAGAAAGGTAGAAAATATTTTAGAAGAAATTGTTTATGTAATACAATACCCTACAAACAGGTGAAAAGTTTATTTAGCAAAAAGTATACCAAGACGGCTCTCAGCTTAATTAATTAATTTTGTTCGTTGCAGAAATGACGCTTTATCCGCGGAAAACCAATTGTTGCTTACCCTGCGGTTTTTGTCTTGAATTAGCTGTGCGGTTAGCCGGACAGGTTTGCGCCCCGTCAACGGCTGGGTACCCTGGCGAAAATAAAGCGTGCACGAAAAGTGTGCAATAAGTGTGTATTTAGAGTGCAAGTCTTTATAACAATGCGCATAGACGCTATTTTGTGGTAATGTCACACTTTTTGAAATAATTTAGTTTTTTCACTCTTTATGCACATTGACATCACGCTTTTTATTTGTCACTTGTCACGCTTATATTAAATTATTTTTTTGAACATTGTTTGCACAGTTTTAGTACATTGTTTAAAGACAATTTTACAAAGCTTCAGTCTATCTTACGCATGTCACATTTTATACACACTGTTAATGTGCTATAAAAAGGTGTAATATAAGCGTGATAAATGGTAAGTTTTTGGTTTTGCACATTGTTTCATGTTCCATTTCCCACCCTCTGCACATTGTTTTCAAATAATTTTGCAGACTTTTTGCACATTTCATTTTCGCCAGGGTAGTACCCATGACTTTCTTGCGATTTCCTAATTTTTATGCATTTTACTTTCTTTTTAGCCGAAAAAAAAGTTGTAGATCGAGCCTTTTCTTTGAGGGGTTCAAATTCACATATCTGCCGTGCTTAATGAAAACGCCGTAACCAACAATTTTCAGATTTTTGTTTTACGGCATTTTCTACTAGAACAATTCATCCTGCGTCTATCCCCGGTACTCAAAAAACCGTATCTATATTTTATATATATTTTTGAGTACCGGGGATAGACGCAGGATGAATTGTTCTAGTAGAAAATGCCGTAAAACAAAAATCTCAAAATTGTTGGTTACGGCGTTTTCATTAAGCACGGCAGATATAGCAGTTTTATTACACGCCTTCAAATAAATATACCTAATAAGTTGCAGCACATTTTCCTCTAAAGCAAAAAATAAACTCACCGTAATCTTAAAATTGTAATCAATAAATTTAATAATTTTATAATAATGATCACACTACTTTCATGACATTGTTTTTTTTAAGTTAAAACCGCAAAACAGGCAAAAATGACGTTGGCGTGCAGTGGTTACCATGACAACGCATTACCAACCTTACAAATTTTATACAAACCTAGAGTTGATAAATCCTCACTATGATTGAAAAACCCAAACGCGACCTAAACTCGGAGTTGACTTAAGTCAGAGATAAGCCAGAGTTATTCAACTCTGGATTTAACTAGCCTATTGAAAAACTGGCCCTAAATAAAATTCCTACCTTCAAATAGGGGATTATTTGTCTGCATAATCCCCTTTTCATTTAATAATTTTGATAAAGAAATACTTTCTTTTTTGTTATTGAGAATTATGTCTCCAATAAGAATCCCTCCATTTTTTTCATGAACAACAAACTCAAAATTGTCATAATCTTTGATAATTTCCAATATTTTTTCACGAACTTTTGGACATGGAGAAGTGGTCAATTCTTTTGTAATTATTCCCTCAGAAATCAAGTTATAATCCATTTTCTTTAAAGTAAACAATATAACAAAAAAACTTTGTACATATAACAAAAAGTGATAATATGCAACCCTTATCAATTATTAGATATAATTTACCATAATTTAACAATTAAAAAAAAATACTGAGGTTCCACATTACCACTTTTTTATTAATTGTTTTACCTCTTCAACAAAGACAATATTATTTAAACAAGCTTGCTCAATTAATGGTGGAATTTTTTTCAAATTTGACTCTAATTTGCAAATTTGTTTACTTTCAATCACAGCTGCATAATCCATCAACCAACACAAATATTTTAAGTTATCATCTTCTGTTTTTTCAGGGCATTGTTCGATAATTCCTCTGTAGTATGCTTTATTGTAAAATACTCCAACAATCTAAAATTATTAAATGTTTCAAATGGAAAATAGAAAAAAATATCAAAAACTTACATCTCCTTTATTAAATACATCACTAATACTGGGCTTGCACGATTTCATTAATGTTTTTTGCAAATAAACAAGTTTGTAATGAACATCTTTGTCCTGAATCCAAAATAAGTAAGGATTCACGAACGTGGAAACCGCAATGTTCAATTTCGTCGTCATTTTAAATATTTTTACTGAATTTGTTCATCCTGTTCCGGCAAAAAAAAAGGAAAAATCAAATCAAACCAAATCAAAAACAAACAACCTCTAACCCCACTTATTTGAACCACCGCACACGTTTTTGATCCGATGGGAGATCCCATAGGATAAAAATCGTTCTGTGGATAAAAAGTTAGGTTAAGCCAGGGGTGTGATTTTTAGTACAATTGTACTTTTCTAGTACAAAAAAATAGCTTCTAGTACGTCAGCACCTCTTTGGCAATTCTAGTACAATTTAAAAAATTGCCTTCAATTAAAAAAAAATAAAACGAAAATGACAATTTCCAGCAACAGATTTTTTTTTACTGTTGGTAACGTACTACGTTAAACGTAGTGAATGTAGGAACGATTAATTGTAGCACCCGGACAATACCATGTTGCCAAATGTACAACTTATTTGACGACTCCTAATGGCGGGATATTTAAATGTCGCCTTCGGCTCGTGTGACAAACTTTTCACTCGAGCAGAATATACCTACTATTCCATGGTAGTAATGAGCTATTGTTTAGAACAGACAAGGTTTTGGTGTTTGATGTTTAATCTGTGTTATTATAGAGGGGTTTTCATTCTTTAAGTATTTTTATTTCTGTAGTACTAAGCTGTTGTTTAGAACAGACAAGGTTTTGGTGTTTGATTTTTAATCTGTGTTTTTATTGTTTTGAGTATTTTTATAAGTTTTAAGTGTTGTATATTTTTATGTTTATGAATTGTTAATAACAATTTATTATGGCTTTAACAAAGTGTGATATTTGTCAAAAGTGTTTTGCTTCCAATGGGAATTTAAGAAGGCACAATAAGACACATGAAAATGATATCGTTGAGTCAAAAGGTAAACTATTAAAACCATGATACATTTATCATTACTATTATTGGCAAGTATTATTTATTGGACAACAAAAATATATACCCTACAGCACAGAACACAAGCCTCACAGGTGCATTTATTAATGCAGTAAAGGCTTTATAGTATTAAGTTTATACCATACTAGATAATAACAGTAGTTATTTAGACCTTGCTTAACAATTATTAGATATGCCAAAAATGTATAATAGGTACCGTAATTTGGGGTAATTTAATACAATTTTTTTATATAATGGTGAATAACTATCTTATTTTTTAATCAATTAAACCCAAATTTTTGGAGCTGATAGAAGTTCATTTTGGTTATGGTAATTTATTCAGAACCAATTATTTGGAAAGCTACTTTTTCAGTTTTTTTTTCCAAATTTGATGTTTAATATAACCCGCTACATGATGTTAATGAAAGTGCAAAGTTTTATAATGGATTTCTACATGGGTTATATGAAACAAAAAATGTGTTTTTTAAAATATAATATATAATAAATATATTTCCAAACCTAATTCAAATGAGACCCAAGTGATTAAAGCAATTATAAATAAATCTCTTTTTATTTCTAAAACATTAAAAAATGACCACTTATGTGATTAGATATACCTATATATTTTTTTTATAAGGGACTCCAACTTTTGTATTTTTGTTTCGTATGTTATAATTTCTGCATCAATAAAATGTGTTTAAGATTATTATAGTTCTTTATTTCATTATACTAACAAAATTTCATTCTATCAACAAAATTTAAATATCCCGCCATTAGCGGCCGTCAAATAAGTTGTACATTTGGCAACATGGTATTGTCCGGGTGCTACAATTAATCGTTCCTGTGAATGTGGCGCAATGTTTCAAACGTCAAGTCTAAAGGTCATTACCCCAATTACAGACTGTCTAGAATGTCTAGTTTTTTTTACAATGGTACCAACATAATCAAATGTGTCAAATTCTGAATCAAAAATTCTTTAGCCTGATTTATAGTTTGCCTTTCTTCCTTCCTCCCTTAAGATGAACAATACGAAAATCGTAGTGCCATTTATACATTCCCGTACGGAAATCTATAAACCACAACGGTTTTTTACAGGAGGAAGGAAGGAAGGCAATCTATAAATCAGGCTTTACTGTGAGAGGCTGTCCACGTCATCGTTTGTTTCACTTACTTAGTATGTTTGATTAGAATAAGTAATAATTATTGTTAGTGTTAATTATATCTTTGATTGATCAACGGTTATGTTGTGATGTTAATTTTTTGTTTGTTTTTTTAATTGAAAATTTCAATAAATTTAATTTTATGTTTAGTAGTTAAGTACTTTATTACAATTTTACGTATGCAACGGGAAGGGGAAATATGATGTTGCTTAAGGGGTTATATACAGTTAGAAGGCCGAAAAAAAGTGAATTTTTCAGAAGTTTTTCTGAGAAAACTTTTAAATTTATTAATCCAAAAATTTATACACATATTATGGTATCTTTTAACTATATTTTAAGACTTAGTACTAGTAAAAATATTTATTTGGAAAAGAGCTACAGCTGATCTCCGGATGCTCCTCTCAAAAAAGACGTTTTGCGGTGACCACTATAACTCTGAACTGGATCATCTGAATTTAAAAAACCAAACAGATTTCGTTAAAGTAATGTTTAATCTAGTAATTAATCGAAGGAATAAGCAAAATAAAATTTTTTGACAAAATGGCGGTTTCTCAAAAAAAAAAATCGATTTTTCACCGAAATTTCGGCCTTAAATTGTTTATAAAAACAAAAATATTTATCGGAGAGAAAAAATCTTCGATTAATTACTAAAAAATATATTTAAGAAGCTCGTGTTAAAATTTGAGACTAATCGGTTTAGCCGTTTTCGAGTAATGTTGGTCACCGACTTTGAAAACACCATTCAGAGAAAAACGCGTTTAAAGTTTGGAATGCAGTTTACATGGAATACAATTTTTTATTTTTTAAATTACATGGAGTCGTCTATTACAGACCAATATAATACACCCTGTTCACACTGTTGATTTACACATCTAAATACATTAGAAGGGAGCATTTACAAGGCAGGTGCATAAAAGGGTAGTCGCTGCCTCTCCGGCCTTGTACTTCCAAGCACTCTGAAACGCCTTTTCAAATTTGTGTGTAACTTTGAAAATATTCACCGGAACGATATGAAATTTTCTGTGTGTATTCTTAAATATATGTACATTAAGAAAATAAAATAAAAAAAAATTCGGTGTTTTGAAAATTCTAACTGTATGTAACCCCTTAAATTTCGAAATTTTTTAAATTTTCGCGGTAAGTTAGTACAATTTGATGTTATTTAGTACAATTTCACGCTAGATGGCTGCACAATTTGCAAATTGTCAGAAACACCCCTGGGTTAAGCTGAATTCCCTAAGAAGAAGAAAATGTTTATTTTGTCTGAAATGAGAAATGTGACGCGAATTCCGCCGGAATTGTTCAATTTGAAGCTCAATGATGCCATAGCGGGTGAATTGAATAAGAAATTGGCCAATAAAGTGAGTAAAATCAGTAAACTGTGTTGTGTTCGGTTTAAACATGATTTTTTTGCAGGTTGTATTGAATGTGGGGCTTTGTATTGCTTTATATGATATAATAAGCCTAAAGGAGTCGTATATTTTCCCTGGCGACGGGGCTTCCCATACAAGAGTTAATTTTAGATATATTGTGTTTCGACCAATGATGGAAGAGATTTTAGTGGGTAAAATACGGAGTTGTTCACAGGAGGGGGTACATGGTATGTAAATTACACCATGTATAAATAAAAATCCCCATTAACATCTTTTTAATAGTGACTCTAGGTTTTTTCGATGATATTCTAATCCCTCCAAGTGCCTTACAACATCCATCAGCTTTTAACGAAAATGAACAAGCATGGGTTTGGGAATACGATACTGCAGATGGTAGTAAACACGACTTATTTATGGATTCCGGAGAAACTATACGGTTTAGAGTAACGGCAGAGAATTTCAATGAAACTTGCCCCACTGGCCCTGTTACAATACAAGAAAGCCAAGAAAATATAGATGCCAAAGTGCCCTACAGTTTAACAGTAAGTAAACGATTTTTTTTTCACCATAAAACTCAACTCAATATTTTACAAATAGTATTTTATTTGTTTTAGAACTTCTAAAACAAATAAGATCAGATTATTTTTTTTATTAAGTAAACACTTTTTGAAATTTGCGACTTTACTTTTTATGGAAAATTATGTCTATAGAAATCAAAACCATGGAAAAAGTATGTTCTTGTTTACTTGATTTTAATTAAAAATTTCCCGATGCCCAATAGTTAACATTTATTTTGAGAAATAAAATGCTACACAGAATCCTACCAATGAGAGCACAGTATTCTTCACAGCACGCTAGGTGCAATAGAGAAACGTACTCTGATTGGGTAATTTTTATTGAAAGTAAATCCGCAAACCAAGTTTTGACATTCCAGTTTTTTTATTGATTTAAATAGTTGAAAAAAGTGTTATACGCTAAAGAAGTATCGCTAGTAGCGCCACCACTCGGTTGTTATCATCGTAACAAACGTATAACTTTTAATAATCAGCTATCAAACGCTTATGTTACAAACCAGTGTTTTTAAAAATAAAACCGGAAAATGTTAAAAAATATCGAAAAAAAAACCGTGGCTAGATTTGTTGTGTTGTTGGGTGTATTTCGAGAGGAAATCCTGGGTTGAGTTTTTACCGGTTTCCAATAAACAGTGTTAATCTGAATGAAGAAATAAATTGCATACAGTCTCTGTAAATATAAATTGTACCTATTAGATACAATAAATACACATTTTAGTAGTGATTAACGTGAAAACATTTCAATTCAGTAAAAATCGTCCAACAAATAAGTCGTCTAAATTTAAACAGCATTTAGCATTATTAAAAGCGTTGATTAAGAAAGTCTCCACTCAACGGTAAAATACCATTATATTATGTATTATACAGTGCTTGCAAATCCAAGTCCGACCGGTTTGGGAAGGACGCGTAAAAATAACAAGGATAGAACGCCAAACAGAAGGCGCTTACAATACGCACGCCTGACGCTCTGACCAATCAAATTCTGTTTGGCATTCTATCCTTATTCTTTTCACGCGGGTATTGAACAACCATCCTTTCCAACGTGGTCGGACTTGGATTTGCAAGCACTGTATATAATATTATGTTGCAATGAATTCGTAGGTATATTTTGTTGTTTAAAATGCAGTTGTCGCCTTTTTTAGAGAACTCAAACATTAAAATGGTTGATTTTAAGGTTATGTTTGTGCAAAAATTATTTTTTACTAATTTCTTATCAATGTCCACACTTAAATATAAATTATATTAGGTAAAGTTAATTCTGCACCAACAAATGTACTTGGATCCTTTGGCAAAACATGAAAATGTAACGATTTAAGGCGCATTCATGCTCACTTAAAATAAGAAATAATAATAAGAAATAAGATAAAACTGTGTAAAGTAATGGTTGCGTTCATGTTCATGAAAATAAGAAATAAGACTAAAGATAAATAACTTTTAACTTTGGTTCTTATTTTTTCGTATAAAACTGCGCAAAGGACCAAAATGGGTCTGTGAATTATTTTAATGGGTTTTATGTGCTGGCCATGGAGCCATGGTGTTTGAAATCGCGTTGAGTGTCGCTGTCGATTGTTTACGTTTATAGGCAATAATCCACTATAATAAAATATAATTGTGTGACAACATTTTTTATTTCTTATGTTATCAGCATAAACGATCAATCGCGATCCTATTTCTTATTCCTTATTTCTTATTATTATTTCTTATTTTAAGTGAGCATGAATACGCCTTTAGTTAAATGAATTTTATTTACAATTAAAAACACAATAATTCACCATGATCCCTTTGATACACACACTAACGTTACTATATAAGCATTTAAGCGTTGAGTAACTCAACTTGAGTTTCTTAATTCATTGATATCAATTATATAAGGAAAAATCAATCGAAATCGAGTACTAAAAAAGTTTTTTAATTTTTTCCTTGCAACGTAAAATACAAATAACGTGCGCGATTTAGCTGTGCAATTGAACAAAATTTGTCGAGTAAGACTTCTGCCTTCCTATCTTTTGTAAAAAAATACCCATTTATTTAAAAATGATGTATAATCTGTGCTTTAAATGTATTGTTGACTAAAGGGTACTAAAGGTAATTCTGGGAAATGATCAGTTTTGTGACAACCACCTTAATATTTATCAAAATTACTATTTAAAAACCATACTTATCAATTTTAATAACTTGTACGTTATGTACAAAAATAGTAATAAAACAACTAGGTTTAAAAGTATTGTACTGCCAAAAGTCAAGCTTGCTGTTGGTAAAAAAACTAGTCTCTACAATGGTATAAAAATCTTCAACATGTTACCTAATAACATCAAAGTAGTAAATAACCCAAAAAACAAATTTACTTTTAAGTTTAAACAAATGTTAAAAGACTGGATTACCAAAAACTGTACCAATAATTCATTGTTAACTTAATAGTATTAAATGTTGGAATTATAAACTGTTTTCGCAATGATAATGAAAATATTATATATTATTTTAGTTTTAGTTTAGTTTTAAGATCCTAGTTTTTAAGTTATGTACCGGACCTATGTACAGGTAATTTTATTACCTCCAATAGGCAGAAATTATTTTCTGTACACGTGTATCTGGATGTTAAATAAATAACTAAATAAAAAATTCTTAAATTAACGCAATGCATTCGAAGTCCACCAGATGGCGCGCACGTTGCGAAAACCCGATACTTCTTTAGCGTATAGTTTTTTGGGAAATAAAATGCTGCACAGAATCCTACCAATGAGAGCACAGTATTGTTCACAGCACGCTAGGACCAAAAGAGAATAACGTGCTCTGATTGGGTAATTTCTATTGAAAGTAAAGCCGCAAAGTTTTGACATTACGGTTTATTTTATTTAATTTTTAAAAAAAATTGTTGTAAAGGATTATTTGGGGTTATGATAAAATATGTAATGCTTATAATTGTTTTAGGCTTCTATTAATGAGCCTGGACTTGGTTTATTAACTTGGTGGGATAATTAACTGTTTTTAACTGTAAGTAAAGCAATCTGTGATTTAATAAACTTTTTTAATAACTTTTTGTGGACTTAATTACCTGAAGGTTCATGAATAAAACGAGTATACAAAATATCTATTTTATTGGCGCGCAATATCTTCATTATATACATCACATATATTGATTGTATTTAATCTAGTTGGAAAATACAATAGGAAACCATAACACAAACAAGTAGAAAAGTAATAAATAAATAAATAAATAAATATAAAAAGGCACTGTTCAACAACAAGAATTCTCCAACTGAAATACGTTATTGTTATTATTGTTTATCTCAGCTGGAAAAATTACATTTGATGAGCAGCATTATTAGAAAGGTTTTTTATAGTTTAGGTATTGTAGTAGTGTTTTATTGCACAAACTAATAACGAGTGGACATTTGTGGCTTATTCTATGACGAGGCAGCGAGGTAGATGTTCTCTCAAATAGTCGAATAGCTCCCTTGACGCCCCTGGACAATTTGTCAGTTCTAGTTCTTGCATATGCCGTAGCTGGATCAAACTCGACAGACCGCTTGAAGTCAAAAGTGGACACCCTATAAATAATTATTAGTACACTAAATTGAGGCCTGTCAGAACAAAGTCAACAATCTCCCATCAGACTAAAACTGAGTAAATAGAGATAGGTAGTTGATTTTGGTATTTTATATACTAGATTTGTAATTTTTTTTATATATTATATTGAAATATTGTTGTTGTTAGTCTAGTAGCCAACTACAAGGTCTCCAGGATGCATAGTATAGGTAAAATCTATAATTATAAATTGGAGATTGCTGACTTTAATATGAATTGCTGGAGATTGCTCATTTTGTTGTAAACGTTTAAGCAGATTAAAAAAATAAACAAAAAAATAATTGTATTTTTTCCTTTAATGGTTATAAAATTTAACTATACAATCAATGTGGGAAAATTCTGAACTGGACCACATAAATCTGGAGTTTCTTCTAAATCTGGGACCAGGTTGCCTCATGCAATAGGTTTTTATAGTACAACAACTCATCATCTTCTTCCAACTTTGCCCTGTAATGTTTTACTTGCAATGTTTTGACATTATCAGCCTATTCTTGCTTTACCTTTTCGTCTTATTATGATATAATAGCACAAAATAAACAAGATAACTTTTTATAATTCTTAAAACAATAAAACGTATATATACTATTTTAAATATATTTTTAGTGCAATTTACTGCAATAGAACAGTATGTTCCAGTAAAAAAACACAAAATTAAATCTCTAAAATACGTTACAACAAAGGTTTTTATAGTACAACAACTCATCATCTTCTTCCAACTTTGCCCCGTAATGTTTTACTTGCAATGTTTTGACATTATCAGCCTATTCTTGCTTTACCTTTTCGTCTTATTATGATATAATAGCACAAAATAAACAAGATAACTTTTTTATAATTCTTAAAACAATAAAACGTATATATACCTATTTTAAATATATTTTTAGTGCAATTTACTGCAATAGAACAGTATGTTCCAGTAAAAAACACAAAATTAAATCTCTAAAATACGTTACAACATCAAATTTTAGGATGTCAGGTGACACAAATTACTAATTTCTAATGGAGGAATTGGAGATTGTATACTTTGCTGCAAATCTATCAGTGGAGATTGTCGACTTTGCACTAAATGTCATTTTTAAAATAGGATTTTAGGTAGGATTTAGCTCCTCTTGCAGCACATAAACTTTATCATCTTATAGATAATTAGTTGAAGTACAGTCTCCGCCAAAAATCTAATTTTTGGCCAAAAGTGGAGATTGTCGGTTTTGCTATGACAGTCCTCAATTATATAGTTTTCTAAAGTATTTTTACCTGCTAAAGATAGTATTTGTAAATTGCGCATCCCGCACAAATGCTGCAGTCCAAAGTCTCTGATTTGAGAACACCACCGCAGATATAAAGCTGATAGAGACAACATGGTGGAGATATAACCTATACCGATGTCTGTTATGTGAACACACCTGAAAAAATATAAAAACTCTTATTAAACGGTACAGATAAAATATTACATAACAATGATGCCAAACAATCCACAGTATTTTTAGAGAATGATAAAGTGCTTTGAAACTCTTTACTAGACTGGGCCAAAAAAATCAACTATTTTTTTTTTTGAAAAGTATATCGAAAATATGGTTTGGGGTGACAAAAAAAATTATTGTGAAAGTTTGAGTCCATAATATTAATATTAAGAGGTCTATCATCGCAATTTTAATTTTTTTTCCTCAGCAAGTTTTGTCTCAGAACTCCCAAACCATTAATTGAGTTTAACAAAATTTACTAGAAAATATTTTTTTAAGAAAATTAAATGCTCTACAAAAAAGGTTAAAATCATGCCTTAAAAATTGGTATAGATTTACATTTTGATCTTTTAAATTGGAATGTTGTAATTCATGTAAAAATCAGTACCCATAAAAAACCGATAAATATTCTTATGGGAAATCAAATGCTTTACAAAAAAGCCTCTCAACATTTTTGGCTAAATTCACACAATCAAAAGTTATTCAAGGTTAAAATTTCGTTTTGACTTCAAATTTAACCTTGACTAACTTTTGATGGAGTGAATTTAGCCAAAAATGATAAAAGATTTTTTTGAAGAGCATTTGATTTCCTATAAGAATATTTATCGTTGTTTTTTCAGGGTACTGATTTTTACATGAATTACAAAATTCCAAAGTTAAAAGATCAAATTGTAAAACTATACCAATTTTTAAGGCATGATTGTTAGAAAACGGTTCATCTGACGGGAAATTCCAATCAAACCTTTTTTGTGGAGCATTTAATTTTCTTTAAAAAATATTCTTAAGTCAATTTTGTTAAACTCAATGATTTGGGAGTTATGAGACAAAAACTCGCTCAAGAAAAAAAATCAAAAATTGCGATGATAGACCTCTTAATATTAATATTATGAAGTCAAACTTTCACCATAATTTTTTTTGTCACCCCAAACAATATTTTCGATATACTTTACAAAAAAAAATAGTCGATTTTTTTGGCCCAGTCTACTCTTTAGAGCCGTTCCACATGCGACTGATAAAGTCCTGACGATCAGTCCTGATGGTCAGTCCTGATGACTAGGGGCCATTGTTTAAATGAACTTTTTCACATGCACTGCGTATCATCGGTTGACTGATTCGTCGGCACGGGCATCGGGACAGCCCGTGCGCACTGCGTACCGTCAGGACTATTAAGGGCTGTTAGTTATATGGAGTATTTCATATGGTACGTACGGTCAGCAGAAACAGTGTTGCACAATAAGTAGTTTACGCATCGATACAGAAATTGTAATAAGTAGCATCGAACAGCGAAGATGCATCTGGTATGCAGATGATGAGAACTATAAAAAAATGGATGCAAAGAACAAAGCATTTGAAGAAGTAGCAGAAATATTAGTTCCGGATTTTGAAAATTTTGCGGAAGCAAAAAAGAACTTTTAAAATTTTGCGTTGTATTATTCTCTTTATACAAAAAGCGGCAACAGCGCAGTTCTGGAGGCGCTGAGAACTGTCTCGTAGTAGACACAATCCATTGTGGTAGTAGACATATTTGTTATATGGTAGACATTTCCGTACTATACGTTGCTTGTGAAACAATGTCCATGACCGTCAGTCCGTATCATCAGGACTGATCGTCAGGACTTTATCAGTCGCATGTGAAACGGCTCTTACACATTATGTTTTTTCAAGCACACTAATTAGTATTTTTTCAGTTAAAACAAAGCAAACAACAAACAGATAAAAAGGTGTCTTTCAAAGTGAAACTTCGGCAAACTAATTAGATTCTTAATGTAAGAAAAAATCGTTTAGTTTATGGAAACAAAACCGGTTTTCTCTCGAATTTAATTGGTCGAAAAAAATAAATACCGTTGCAAAGGCAATTTTTATTTTTCGTTTTTCCCGCATAAATTAAATTGTCTGTAGAGCGGGTTGATATGCAATAAAACATGCGATGTTTTTTTAGTGTTATTCTGCCAACTCGGTGAACTTTACTTGTGTGGTATTCGAGTATGGAATAAAATGAAATAAAAGGTGTCTACACTCAAAAAAATATTTAGTAAATTTACACATCTGATCGTTGGTTATTTTGATGCCACGTATTTAAATGTATATGTACAAACATACTGTAAAACTACATATAATGTGTAAAAATGCAAAGGTCATGTAAATCTAAAATTTAGGAAAATAATAGTACAAGTACATTAAAAATTCTAAAAGCACATAAATTTAAGGATTTATTACATAATAATATGAAAAACTACATATTAATTTAAAAAAATACATAAATTGATGCTATTTTACTTATGTAAGTATGTGTGTACATGTTTTATATGGAACAACACATTTCTTAAGTAAAAAAACAGAAATAAATGTGTGTTTGGATGTGTAAAATTTCGTAAATTTTTTTCAGTGTAGGGTGGAGGTATAATGTGTTTTTTTATTAAATACATATGGGTAAAAATCAAAAAATGTTTGGGTAGGCGTCTTTGGCTAATTAAAAATTAGAAAAAGAAGTGAAGTGTCTCAAAACTTATTAGTATTATTTCTGCATGTTAATTATACGAGATTTATATTAAATATTTACCCAGATTTAAAAACATCGATTAAAAAGAAAAACAAAGAGCTATTTTGTCTCGTCGGTAACGCGTCCCTTATTACGTTTTACAATTTTGCGCTAGATTTTTCAATCAAATCATTTTTAAAAACAGGACAAATGTAAATCACTTTAAAGAAACTAACACCAAGTATTAAATAAATTACATTTTATTTAAAAACAATTTGGTTTTAAAGATCCAGCCTTTGGGTAACAGACTGTCTGCTTTGATCGCATCCTGTCGGTAACGATAACTGTAATTTCGCCTAAAATCCGCCAGGATACGTAATACCTGTCATTTGTTGGTTAGTGTGCTAGAGTTAGTGTTTTTGTGTCATTCAAACCAGGTAAGTTTTTCTGTTTATGCATTAAAAAAATATATTTAGGCTTGTTTGCATAAAAACGCTACCGTATTTTTTTACGATGTCTAATCGGTAACTGTTCTAGCGGTAAAATTTTGATGTCGATATGAGATTTGTTACATTTTTCTGATGTATAACACCAATATTTGCAATTTTGATTATAATGGTATTTACTATAAGTATTTTTTTAAACATATATTTTGATTATTATTCCATTTACAGAACCTTTATTCCCGACAAACTATACTGTTACCGACTAGACATAATTGAGATCAGAAGACAACAATTATCAACATAACAAAAAACTACCTTTCCTTGATCTCAAAGATAAGCTTTATTATGTTGCGAAATCTTTATTTTAGAATATTAAAAAGTTTAATGGACAAAAAGCAACATTTTAGTTTTTTAATTGTTGTAGGTCGTTTTCCAAAGATTTTTTGATTTTCACCCATATATTTTATACAAATTGCATTTTTAAATTAAATGTATTAAATCAAAAAAAGATAAACCAAAAAATAACCCTTTAAATTTACCAACCGGTTGCTATAACCTCAAAGGTTATTTTTAAGTATAATTTAACTAATAAATGAAACCTATTGGTAATATTACTAACTAGTTAAATATTTACTTAAGTTATTTTTTAGACAAATTTTGGTTTAGTTTAACTTTTGATATAACTTTTTGGTAAATTTACCACATATATGGATATATTTTTTAACCAACAAGTTATATTTTACCAAATATATTTTAACTCGCTGGTAAATTAACGTTAAAAAAGTGATGGTTTTGCAGTTTTCATTGTTACCTGCATAGAACAATTAGTCTCAATACAGCTATAGGTTGTGAGTTTTGTGTGATAATGGAGCCTAAATGAAATTAAGGATCTGTAAGTATAAATAATATACTATATATAGTATATTATTTAGGGATACCTACATAACCATATTTGGTTAATTAAAATTATATATAATATTATATATATTATTATATTATTGTATATAGTTAAAATAAACTTAAACTGGTTAATTATAGTTTAAGTTGACTTAAGACTTAAAAATTAGTTTAAAAAAATGTAAAATAAACCAAACACTATCAAATCTTCATAGAAGGATACTTTTTTATAATAATTAAAACAAAATTCGTATTAAAAATCAACAACTAAGCAATAAAATAGAATTTTTTTTATTTTGCCATATCATTTTTTGATGAAGTTATAAATTTATCAATAAAATCATGTGTATGCTTTTATAAAAATTTATTTTATTTATTAATCAATCTTGTGAAATTTAATGTCAAAATTGCAAAAATTGAGACACTGAGAAACTTTGAAGTGCTTTTTTGAAAAACAATTATATGTAGTGTTTTAAAAATGGATCAACCCATTTTTCTGTTTTTTTTTGCAGATAAAGTAGGTAATACAACATTCTTGAAACTGAAAAAAAGACCTGCGAAACAAAAAAAACATTTTAATATTTGTGGTTATAGTTAGCTATTAAAATATTTGAAAAAAAATACAAGTTTTGTTAAATGATCTCAGGATTTTAAAAATAAAATATTTCATATTTGTATAAAATCTACTTTAGCCATTCCACGCTACTCGGGAATTTTTGTAGCGTCCGTTACAATAAAAAATTGTGAGTAAAAGCTACCGTTATTAAATTAAATACTATTACAATAGTTACTATTGCAAACATGTTTATTATGCTTGTAATAATTAGGCTTAAGCTTATAAGCATCATAATTACGGTAGTTTTACTCACAATTTTTGATTGTAACGGACGCTACAAAAATTCCCGAGTAGCGTGGAATGGCTGTAATATTTTTTGTGAGTCACAAGTTATGACATGTGAAGACCCTTTATTATTATTGAACTACAACATTTTTTTTAAAGACCTTCTATTAATTATAGAGGGCCATAGAAATGACATATGTTAACATATGTTTTTTCCTCAAAAAGAGCTTTTTGAGTACTACAAATATTTTTTTTAATCGGTTCATTTTTAAATAAATACCGAATTGTCGCCAATCAAAATAAAACACACTGTATATATTTTTATGAAATTTGATAAAAACACCCCACGAGCAAATGTTGCGCACGGTTGATGAGTTCAACACTCTTATAATAAATTTGAATTTATTAGGAATATGAATTCAACTGAATTATAATATCGACGTTTCGATACAGAAAGAAGGACCTTATTTCAGCATTGATTTTGTTTTAAAAGGTATCCACTTTCCCGGGAAATTTAAGGGATAAGGATAAATTTACGTAAATTTAACTAAATCCTCTTTGGAAGAAGTGTATTGAAGAGTGAAATAGATTTAAATGTAATGGAACGATAATACTTTCAAATTAGACCCTACTTTAAAAAAATTACAAAGAAAAAAAACAGAAAAAGTAACTTTAATTTCTATTTCTTTGGACAAATATGCCAACAGGTATTTTTTGTATAAGTTATATGTATAAGTTGTACAAGTTTTTCGATCACGTGATATTAATTATAATATAAAAACTAATTAAAAACATTTTAAAAACTTTTTGACAAAATTAAAATCCTCAATTTTTTTTATTAAATGTACGAAAATACTCTTCTTGATACGTTGGTGCAAACGGGCATAATATAATATGTAATAAAAAAAATTTGCAGACCTGTTTATTAAACAAATATAAAGTTTGGTATTAAATCGGAGATTTAGCATTGAATTTTTTGTATGCAGAGGGATTTTCTGGCAACCACTCAAAAAATATATGTGGATGATGAGAGTAATCCGCAAACATAAAAAATATCAGAGTTTTATGTTTCTTGCACAGAAATATTTTTTATATTAAACCTTAAATATAACAAGTAATATGTGTATACTTAAATTAAATTTGGTATGAAGAAAGGGATTAATTACCTTGGAAATAAATTTATATTTATCGCAAATTATTACAGTAAATCAATATTAACGCGATAAAATTAATTTAACCTTTAATTAATTCATTGACAGTGATTTATGTGCCCAAAATTAAATCTAGTTGACATTTATTAAAGGAAAATTCTATTTTTAAAGCCTTTATTAAATAATTTTTTCCTTTCTATTTTTTACCAAGTATTATACATTTATTATTTTTATTTATTGTGCAAATTTTAATTACCTAGTTAGTTATATTTTAGAGCTTAATTCTTGGAAACAATGTTTTGTGGGATAAAATTTATTTCGTTGAAACATTTAATTAAATTGTGAGGTTGAGTTATATGTATTTAGTTAAAATTTGTCTGTTTAATCAGAATTTCAATTATGGTACATTAACGATTTCCGAGATCACAAGTTAGTATTATAATTGTTTGCTACCTGCTTTTTGACCTTTTCACATAATTCGTATATTATATATACAGGGTGTCTATTTAAAAATGCTTTATAAGGGTCATTTTCAAAATTCTTGTACATTTAAAGAAGAAAAAAGTAAAAACAGAAACTTAATCTACAAACATGTTTTTTCCAAATTTTGTTTATTGAGGGGTGTGATTTAACACCTAAACGTGGGCAGTTGGAATTTTTGAAATAAGCCCTTAAAAAAGAAAAAATGGGTCACAAAATTACTAACAAATTAAAACAACTTATATAAAAATGCTTAATCATTTTGAAAATATATTTTTTTGATTCTTAATAATCCTTTAAAGGTTTTATTTACACTAGGATTTGTTTAAAAAAAGAACATAAGTTTATTATTTATAAAAAAAAATTGAGTACAAAACTAAGTAAAAGCAAAAACTATGTTTCTCAACTTTCTTACATACAGAAGTATATTTAATATATTTTCTGTATTTAAAAAATGTCCAGTAGAAAAAGTAAGTTTAAGAAATCTTCTGTTAATTAATTAATGCGTATTAAAAACGTTTTTTCTCGATTTTTTATCTGGGCCCAGCTTGTTCAATTTAACGAGCAATAAAATAATAATTTTTAGTTATTGGTAATTAATTAATAAAATAATAATAAAAAGTCAATATAAAAATTAACTCGTTGAACTAAAAAAAAAAATTGTTTCAGCTTCTTTGAGGCAAAATTATGAGGCGCCGTTTGTGTCATAATTAAATTGTTACGCGAGAAAAAAATACTGTTGAGAAAAAAAAATCCTGTCTGAAAAATTATATAATTATTTTAACTGCGCGAAAAAATAATTTCTTTAAAAATAAAAAAAAAATTCTCGCGTAAAAATTCTTCGTTGGCGAGAGAATAAATTTACCTACGCGCGAGAGTAAAAAATAAAAAAAAATTTCTCGCGTAAAAATATTTCGTTGGCGAGAGAATAAATTTACAACTACGCGCGAGAGTAAATTTTAAGTTCCTGAGTTGGACGCTGGTGGCGCTAATAAACATACGTTTCAAATGTGAAACCAGCTTTAGAATTAATTTGACAGCTCGCCGGCATTGAGGTTGGAATTTTAAAAATACATAATATATTAAAGCTAAAAACTAAGGCTGAAGACAAGTACTTCTTTTATTTATTAATGACATTTAATTTAGTACTTACCTATGAAAGAATCCAACAGGACTTATTTTTATATAATATGTATGTATATATTTTTAAAATTCTAACCTCAATGCCGGCGAGCTGTCAAAGTATTCTAAAGCTGGTTTCACATTTGAAACTTATATTTATTAGCGCCACCAGTGTCCAACTCAGGAACTTAAAATTTACTCTCGCGCGTAGTTGTAAATTTATTCTCTCGCCAACGAAATATTTTTACGCGAGAATTTTTTTTTTATTTTTAAACAAGAAATTATTTTTTCGCCCAGTTAAAATTATTTTTCAGACAGGATTTTTTTTTCTCAACAGTATTTTTTTCTCGCGTAACAATTTAATTATGACACAAACGGCGCCTCATACAAAATACATTGACTAGGAAAATTACTATTAAATAGCTGGAGGACATTATTTTAAATTGGCTACTGTCAGAAACAGAAAAGGTGAAAGGTCGAAAAAAGAAATGTTTTTAAAACTTTCCTTAAGTTCATTATTATTTCAAAAATATATTATAATTTATTTCTTTGGAATTGTCCTCTGGGTCACACAATATGTAATCCGTGAGACGTGTGACCCAGGGGAAAAATGTATGTTTTTAGAACATAACATCTTTACTGTTTTAAAGATAAAAATTTGTATTTTTGCCCTTAAAACCATTACTAGGATACTTACTTTTGAGAATCAAAGTCCAACTGGTACCTTTACTAATTTTTATTACTGTGACACAGGAGAATGCAGTTTTGCCACGCCGCAGCGTGGTATAAAAAATACAAAAAAACGTGTTGTGGCTTCAAGATAGTTCAAAACACCATTTCCTTCTAAAATCCGTTACCAAATACATTGCCGCAAGGGGGCAGCACCAAAAAATGTGCGCTCAATTGAAAAGGTCATTTATAAAAGCAAAATTAAGCTAAATTACGGGACAAACTGTAGGGGATATTTTAACCACTTTTATTTTTAAATATTACCACAAATGAGCTTTTCCTGTAATATTTGTAATATATTCTTAACTATATAAAAAAGGAGGATGTTATTTTACTCTAAGGTGTTTAAATAGCATTAAGTAGTGAATATTATTGCAAGTGGGACAGCTACTTTTTTCATAGGATTAAATTTAAAATTTTACAATTATGCTAATATAGTATAGTTAAAACATTTAAACCAATTAATTTTGCTTAGTAAAGTTCCAAGTGGCGTTAAACTTAATTTTTTATAAAATAATAAAGTTGAGGGGCAGCAAATGTACAAGAAATTTGAAAAAACCCATATAAGTCTGGACCCCAAAAAATTTAACTTCTAGATTAATATTTCCCGACTGCTATATTCCGCGATTAGGTGACGTGTTATGGTCCCCTCGGTCTTCTGATTTGTCATCATGTTATTTTTATGTGGGAATAACTGAAAAGACGTATATGGGGCATTCCACGCCAAATCGGATGGTTTCCAAAAAAATTTTTTTTTGATTCCTCCAATTTTTTTTATATTTTTAGTACTCCTTAAAAGAGCTTTCTCAGTAAATTTTGAGATTTTTTTGATGACGGGTTCAAAAGATATCAATTTAAAAAAAAACTGCTTTTTTTTTGTTTTTCGCTCATAACTTAAAAAATGGTCCAAATCAAAATGTTCATTCTATATAAAATTTTCGTTTTTAAATGTACTTTTCGAAAAAAAATATATTGAAAATGTTTGAAGCGTTTTAAGTCAAGATTTTTGAGTTTTAAAGTTTAAATCGTGTTTTTAAAAATGTCTTCTTCGATTTTGGCGAAAAATTTTCAACTTCTATCTATTCAACAACTATTCATCCTGGTCCGGTAGTGGACCTTCCATAATTACTATTTTTTTTCGAAACTTAATAATAATTTTTAGAGAATTTTTTTTTTAATTTTGAAAACTTTAAAACTCAAAAATCTTAACTTAAAACGCTTCAAATATTTTTAATATATTTTTTTTCGAAAAGTACATTTAAAAACGAAAATTTTATATAGAATGAACATTTTGATTTGAACCATTTTTTAAGAAGTTATGAGCGAAAAACAAAAAAAAAAGCAGTTTTTTTTAAAATTTGATATCTTTTGAAAAAAATCTCAAAATTTACTGAGGAAGCTCTTTCAAGGAGTACTAAAAAATATAAAAAAATTGGAGGAATAAAAATTTTTTTTTTAAACCATCCGATTTGGCGTGGAATGCCCCATATAGTATATACCACATACCACAGTATATTACAGAACTTACAAGTACTTTAATATTTTAAAATTCTACATGCGTAAAACTTTTTGTTATTGTTTTCTAGGACCTTACATGCATTTGGCCTATTATATACTTTTATGTAATTGCTTGAAATGGTGTAGACTTACCGGTCTAAAGTTAATTCTTCTAATTGATTTAAATCACACGCTATGTACTCCAAGGCAGAGTCGGTAATACGGGGGCACCAAGACAGATCCAACGAGCGCAATTTTTGTAAATTTTCGGCTATCAGTTCCACGCCATCGTCGGTTATCTTGCTGCAGCCCGATAAGCTCAGTGCGGTTAAATTGGGCAATGAATGAACTGAAAAAAAATTAACATTATGGTTTTGAAATATCAAAAAATCTGGAAAAAATACAGAGATTATTAAATAAATTTTCAAATTGCAAATGTGTTCGCCTCTATTTGTTGATGCTTGAGGCGAAAGAATTGGAGCTTGGGCTTGGGCTTGGGCTTGCTCTAATTGGTGCTTTTATATCACATGACTGAAGATGTGGTGGGTGGCAGTTTGTGTTGCAGTGTGTGTAGAACGGGTGTTTTTGTTTTGATTCAGATTAAATTATTTAAAACTGTTGTCTGGTCTTTTATACTTTTTGTCTCGATTAGTAAAATTTGTTATTTTATTATTGTGATGCACGGGGGTACATACACACTACACATGTAGAATTAGCAGTTTTTATTTTATATTAAGCGACATATGTCGTGTTGATTTTCAATTAAGTACCGGTAAGTTTTCTTTAGTTTATATTTCTGTTTTTTTTTTAATGAATCCGTTCTTGACATTATTCTATCAATAATTGAAACGCCTTTTATTAAGAAGAAACGAAACTGAAAAAAGACAGAAATTGGACAGTCGTCCAACGCCAAAAATGTCATCAATATTTATACATCCATATAATAGTATATTATGATCAAGTTTGATAAACGCCATTTTATACACGAATTTAATTTAGGCACGAGCGAGCTTGCGAGCGAGTGCTTAAGTTTATGAGTGTATAGAAAAGTTTATAAACGAGATGCCTACTATACTTTTTCTACGACAAATACTTATTATTATCTTAAAATGATTTAAATCAAAAATTTTTATAGACCGCCATCTATGAAACAATAGGGGAAACTGTGTGTCACCTTCAAATGTCACATTTTTTTATTTTATAAACACAATTATAAAGGTTATAAATCGAAATGTATTTCTTGAAAATTGACAATTTTTTACAGTAAAAGTAAAGAAAATGTTTTATGAGGACTTTACAGTAGAGTCCGTGCCCGAATTTAAGTTATAGTTTACTGCCGGCTAAATTAAAAGATCAGTACAATGTTCATATAAACTTTTCAAATATTGGCGTTGAGAAACTATTTAATACTTTTGTATTTTTGTATTGAGATAATAAAATAATTTTCACATTTAGTATTATTTTACAAGAAAGGCACTTTATTTTAACGATTGTATGACATTTGACAACTGTCAACTAACTTAAAACTAACTTCAGCCCGTGACTAAAAACCTGTTGCTAACTTCAGCCCGCGAATAAAGTATTTAAAAGGTCACTTAGTGTCATGGAAACATGTACGAATTTTTGTTTTTGAGTTTCGCAATTTGGGTTTGGGGTGGCCATTTCAGGGACACCTTGTATAATAATTTTTTCTAAAATATTTTAAAAAAATATTAGGTACCTACCTAGGTATATACATTTTTATTGAATATTGAATGACATATTTCAATTTTCCGCCCTCAACGTCAATAATGAACTCATTATTCAAGTTGTTAGGTGATTGGCCGATTTCAATATTCATTGTAATTTGAACCAATCGAGTTTTAAATTAAAAGAAGGCGACTATATATGTATATTTAAAATTGCCAGAAAGTGAGGTTAACCAACTGACATATGTCAGTTGTGATTTTATTTATTTATTTTTGAGAATTATTTAATTATATACTAAATGGAGTAAATAAAGTATTGTATTACATGCATGTATTTGATGACTTTAGTATAAAAATATTTACGTAAAATTTACCGTTAAAAATCCCTTAAAATAAAATAACGAATAACTATTTTTTTTTGTAAATATTACGTTAAACTAAACCCTGTGTCTGTAAACTTCTGCAAATAAAAAACTTTTTTTTAAGAAAAATGATTGAAAATCCCTGTGGGGTTCAAAACAATATTCTGCAATAAAAAACAAATGTTTCATTTTAGTTTTTCTCAACTTAGGTAAGTAAACACGTTTTTTACTTAAAGTGCCAAGGACAACCACTTTACTCCTCTTTTGTAAAAAATAAAACCTTATTCTATCAGGGCTGTCATCAAACTGTCAAATGTCAATTTTAGGGTTAATTTACCATTACCCACAAATTTACCATACCAATAGATTCACCTTGAAATTGATATTTGACAGTATAAATCACCGAAAACACTTCGCTTCGATTTGGCAAGATATTTATGAAATAATCTTTTTTTTATCCCTTCTTTATGTCCAAAACTGCCTTGTTTTCAGTGACAGTAGAAGCATAGACACATTGTCTGCACTAAAGTTTTAATGCCACTAATATCTAGTAAAGAAATAACATACGTAATGGGCACACATTTTGAAATATTATAGCAGAGTTAATAGTTTTAAAAATGGATGATTTAACCAAACATTTTTTGAATTTTGTTTAGTTAACAAAGCTGCTTACCGAGCCATTCTTTTTTTTAGTTTTCAAGTAAAATATTTTTGACATTTGATAAAATATGTGCACATATTTTATCAAATGTCAAAAATAGTGGAAGTTACATAAAAACATGTTTTTATGTAACATCCACTTCCTTGAAGTCTACTGGCATGGAAACATTTGCAGAGATATAAAATGAAAAACGTTTTTCAGGGGTTTTTCTAAAAGTATGCTAAGTTTGAAGGACACTTTCAGCGTTTTTTTATTCAGCAGTCTACGTTTAAGTGTTCAACTTTTGTGTCAGCGTCATTTCTGCACATTGTGATTGGAGTGTGCTTAATTCTTAACGAATTTATGCGTTTAATTTCCACTCGAAGCGTTCATTGGGGCGCCGATGGGACGTTAAAAGCCTTTTAATACGTAGTTGCAAAATGCGCAAAAGCTTTTAAATTTTATAAGACACTAAGCGATTTGAAGTTATAACTATAGTACGTATAATATACTACACTGAAAAAAAAGGTGCCCTTAAACTAGTCAACTCTCTTGATAAAAAATTATTAGCGGCAAGAAACAATATACACCCTGATAGCAAAATTTGATTTTAAGAATCTTCTAAGAAGATATGACCCGGAATAATGGAATATTCTTAGAACCTTCCCTTATTGCTAAGAACATTCAATAGATACCCTTTTAATGATGCAATTAGATTCTTAAAAGCTTCTTAAAACCTTCCTAAAAAGCATCCTAAGAACATTTTAAGAATACGTTTTTGGAATGTTCTTAGAAGGTTTCTTATGGAGCTTCTAGGAAGCTTTTGAGAATATTTACAAATATGTCAGATACCCACGTTCTAATATGTTGTATTCTACATTCGTAAAATTCTTCAGGAGACGACAAATACGCCTCACTGTCATAATATGAAAGTGAAATGTATTTGTCGGTTCCTTAAAAAAATTTGCGACATATTAATATATATTTATTTAAAAATATTAAATAAACAATTTGACCTCTAAACCATAAGTTGTATGACATTATTTCATTAAAAAATGAGTAAAAAAAATAAAAACTCAATAAACTCACAAAATATGGCGGATTCTAAAACTTATTTTGTTTGTGAGTACAGGTGTTTACAGATAAGGCTGCCAAGAGAAAAATTACATCCGTGGACATACTGTACCTATACAACAAGCATATAAAAATCGGAAGGTGGTAAAAGTTAATTTGAACAAAATTACGAGCCATAAAATACCCTTGGTAATTTGTTAGAACTTACGACACCCTGAATTTACATATTTTTAACATTTCGCAGCAGGGAAATAATCCACCCCCGTAATAATCTAATTATGGCCCAAATTGTTTTTATCTCTATCTGCAAAAGTTTAATGTTTCCGAAATAAAAGATGGGTTCCATATAAATAATAGCCATGTTCTTTTCTTTTTCTTTCTTATCTTGTTTTGTATACAAAGTACAAAAGTACAAAAATGTATTCTAAAATCTAAGTAGGTATGTCAATTTAGAGTTTCATTTGTGGAATATAAAAAAAAATTGGACTTTTATCCAAGCACATTTTGAGTATAAAGCCAAAAATGTAATAAATATCGAACTGTTACCAGAAAAATCAAAATTTCGGTATGCTAAAGGGTTTCAACCATTTTGTAAATGGTGCGAAAAAAAGGAAATTAAACAATTTTAAGAAAGAAGTGGTAATTCTTGTATATTTTTCCGGCCTTTCAAAGACTTGCAAACCATCAACGTTATGATCCAGATACTCAATGTTAAAATCTATGTTAAAATTAAAACATAAAAAAATGATGGATTTCAGCCAAAAAAATCTAAAACTCTATCAAGAAATTATACAGATGCAATTTTTTAATGAGGCTCCTGATGATGTATACCTTTTAACTAAAGTTGCCACATAAATTGGAATAGAAGGCGCCTGTCGTCGTGAAGTATTAACATATTTAACCACAAATAATATTAAATACATTGAAGATTTAATACATATTGTCATTCCGGATAATAAAACACATTAACGGAGAAGCTTTGTAGTGAGCGGTGAAAGAAATTTAAAGTTAATAAAAAATATATACATTACTGCGACCACAAAGTACACAAAAGATTTTTCTAAATGGTCAAAACGGAAAGTTTTCTGTCCAATGTGTTCACATAAAAAAATCTAACGAACAGCTCTGTCATTAAATGCATTAAAATTAAAGCAATCTAAATTGTTATTATTATATTGCTCAATTAATTACTATTAAACCAAAATAGTGAAACATTTTGCTTAAATGTCAAAGAATTTATTGCGTTAAATGTAGTAACGTTATTAAATAAATCAAATTAGTATTTAATGCAATAACATTCTAACATAAAATGTTATTCAGGAATTATTCCGTATTATACGGATTATAAGATCCCATTGGTTTAATGACTCACCCATTTATGCTATGCTAGCGTTTTTTCTGTGTTGAAATAAACAAAATCGGCAAAATGCCCACCGACGTGGCAAGATACTCTATAAAAATGAATTAGTCAAAAATAACTAATTTAATAGTTATAAGTGGCTGCTTTTTCACTTGTACCATGGTTAACCATGGAATACCATGGTATCCCAAAACTTAACAGCCAATTCGTATGTAAAATTGTCCCCTGAATCCGAAAATACCGTCAAAAATTATGAAAGTGGAGCAGTTTTTGAGATATAGTCAATTCCATATTAAATGGAAAATTGACTATATCTCAAAAACTGTTCTACTTTTAAACTTCTGACAACACTACTAGTAGGTACTGTTTTTTGAATAAAAAAAAATAATTTTTAAGGAATTAAACATACAACCACCATACCTACTTTTTCCAAATAAAAACCTTGTTAAACAGCTTTTGTTTAGAACTATTTATAAAAATTTGACATTAGTAATATATTAGAACAATGTTATTTTGTAAATAAAAACTTGCAACTGTCCCATCTGTAACGCGTGGAATGGCCGCTTAGTTACTTTACCGAGTAACTAAGATACTCTTTTAGATAAAAGTTACAAGATACGTTTCCAAAATATCTAAGTTATAGATACTTTCTGTCCAATATAAAAAGTAGGTATATAAGATACTTTAAGTATTAAAGTTACTTTTAAGTATTTTTTTTTCAAGATACTCCCAGCTCTGGGCATTGTTTTAGGCCAATTTGCTAGTAGACTGTGGAGTAGACATCACGAACCTTAAGCGCCACCAAAGTTGCTGAAGGTTATTTTGACTATTTCATTTTAAGAGAGTAAAGTCTTAAAATGAAATAGTCAAAATTCTACTATTTGAATTAGTACCAGCATTTTTTTACTAATAAAATAGTCGTTTTCACTTTTAAATAGATATTTTTTACCACATAAATAGTTTTTCTAATTTAAGATTAGTCAGCATGTTTAGACTATTTCTGAGAGTTAAAACTAACTAATTTCTTTAATCGTTTGCGGCCTCAACAAAGTATTATTTGAATTAAATGCATATACCCAAGCTCCATGGTTAAATGACCCATAAAAACAAACAAAGATGCAAAAAGTTTAGCTCAAAACAGCAACACAAATAATATATTTAACTTTAAAATACTATGAACAATATTTATTGACAAATAAAATTGATTTTTATGAGAGCGGCTGATAGCCACATTGGTTATGATAGCCACATTGGTTATGACAGTAGTGTTGGTTATGACAGTAGTGTTGTAAAAAAAAACGTACGGACGTAGGACGAACAAAAATGCCAACCAAAACTGATAGCATATTTTGATTATAGACCCTTTTGGTAACACTAAAATGTATTTATCAAAATCCCAGCTGATCCTATTTTAAAGTTTTGCAAACTTTTTTGTTTTTCTATTTCTATATATTATTTTGCAATTATTGTACTAAAACTACCTGTACAATTTTAATAAAATTAAGCAAAATAATAAACTTTGTATCATTTAAATTACTTTACTCCCCAGTATTAATTTATTGAGTCAACTATTATTTTTTACCACTCAAAACAAAACATAACAAAAAAACGAAGATTTATATCTTAAATATTTTTTATAACAAAAAATACTGGAAGTTTGCCTATGAAATAATTATAGCTTGCAAATTTTGTAAAACAATAATTAAGGTGGTTATGAAAAAAATTGCTATACGTTATAACGCAAGTGACATTTTGCTTTAGTTGTTTATTTAATATATACTTTATAAAGTTAAAAATAGTATTTTAAAATGAAAATTACACTGAAATTCAAGTTAAGTCATGAAGAAAATCGAAAGAAGGTATGTGCTGGCTGTGGAGACAAAATTGTTTTTTGTAATCGAAAAATTCAGAGTTTAGGGTGTCTGAGAAAATATAAAAATTACTGCAGACTTTTTCAAACGAACACTTTAACTTAAGTGATTCAAAATTACCTACTTCAATATGGTAAAAACGGTATTTTGCAAAGCCACAATTGCCAAATTTTCAAAATTTAGAAATTGCTAGAGAATTTCGCGGCAGCCAAGAATGTATGTGCTTTATCTGCAAAATGGCAATATATAAAGGGCATAAAAAATTATTAAGGGAAGAGGACGGACGAACGAACTAAAGTTTTGTTATGCTCTTCCTTTCTAGGGGATATCGCTAGATGTAAGAAGCATCCCAACTAGCAAAATAAATCCCTTAAAGAACTGAATTGTTTTATAACTATCGTCTAGAGCTGCAAAAAGAACATTTTTATTGTTTAATGCGTCTTAATACAATAATTTTATCGTAAAAACGACGAAATTCTAATACATTATTGTATATATATTCTTACAACTCGTGTTATAGAACCAAACTCATACACATTTTTTAACCATTGTATAACGTTTTATACAATCCCTTATAAAATTATTTTAAAAGAGTTGTATAAAAGTTATAATAGAGTTGTATACCTATTCTTATACTTGTAGTTTCAACGTTTTATGATAGTTGTAATAGAATTTGTATAAAAGTTGTATTGAAGCTCTATAAGATACATTAAAAAATTGTTTTTTTAAGCAGAAGTAAACACACTACACAATAAGTATCGTTTCAACGATTTTAAACATTTTAATTTTAAAACTCAACGTAGAAATATTTGCCGGTATTTATCACAGATTATAAACAAAAAAATAGGTTAGGTCACATGTATATAAAGAAGGTACCGCTAAAAAGTGGATAAAACAGAACACAATTGTATAGTGCGGTACAATGCATACCTTAAGCGATATTATTGTTCTATTGCGCAGTAGGCAAAGGCGTTATAGCCAATACGAAAAATGAACTTACAGGGTTGTTATTTTAGGCAGCAGTGTTACCTACAAATCCTTATTTGCATAAAAAATGAAGGTAACGTCGTGCAGGATAAATAAAATTTTACTTGATGTACCTACCTAACTGCACCAAAAATGAGTATTTTATTCTAAAAAAAAACAAATAATTTGAAAAATACAGATAAAATCTGGCAACATCTCAAATGTCAGTTTCTTGCTTTACTTTTATAGCGCCTGTATGAAACAACTTTACAGAACCTAAATATCGTATAACGCACGCGACAGAGCAGATAAATTGTATAACGTTTTTATAAAGACAAAACCATTTTATAACAAAAACGCCATATTTATTGACCGATCAATTGTTTATAAATCGCCGCCATTGTGTGAATTTTACCAACAAACGTTAAAACTGTCAATTAAAAATGAATTTTCTTGAAAAAAATTAATGTAATCTTAAGACTAGTCAATTATAAACTGAACAAATAAAACAATAATATTCTTAAAAAATATGAAACTTTGTGAAATAAAAATTTTTTTTTAAATAATTTTTAGTAGGTATGTTTGTTAACTGGCGCTTTAATTTTTCGTTAAAAATATATACATATATTGTCAGAAAAGATTGCTCCGCAGGAAGATGTTGTCCTCGATAGCGTAAATCTCAAAGGTTTAATAATTATATTTACATAATAAACAACAAGCACCATTTTGGATCTTAGCCGTTTGACATCCAACATAATTCGCATTATAAAATAGTCTTAGGATAAAAATTTCCCACTCCATTCCTAATTTCTAGAGAAGGAAACAAATTGATGTTCTTATAACGATTCTGTCGCATTATAACATACTTATAAAATGCTTGTTTTAATATTCTATAAATATTCGTAAAGTGCAATTAAGCTGCAGAGTAAAACCGCTATAGTATAATCGTATAGCAGTTCCCCAGTATACTGATACTGAGTTTTATAAGGGTTGTGTAGTGTATTTATATAAATGCTAACGAAGTAAACTGTTTTATAAAACGGGGCCCTTTTTGGTTGAGTAAGTGTTGTATAGTAGTTTTTAAACGCATTATACAATTTTAGCGTTTCTATAATATGTGTTGTATAGCAGTTCTAACAACACTTACATAATCAATTTTGTTAGCTGGGATGTTTGTACAGAGACTGAAGAATTTAAAAATACTGTTTCCATGTTAAAAACAATTTCATGTAAAACCCAAGAAAAAGTTTTTTTTTACTGAAAATTTAAGGCAAGCAGTACTTAATCGATTTTGCTTTAAAGAATCTTTAGTTATTTATTAGTTTTGTATTAGGTACCTTGAAACAATAAATAAGATATTGCAAACTGTATTTTACATTATTTTGTATTTATAATGTAATTTATCCATATTTCAGTCATGTATCTGCCAAATTTTTAAAAACATTTAATAATGGTACTAGATTATTTTATCGAAATGGCATAAACAATTTTAAAATACTAAGAAATATGCAAAACGTTAATAAAGGATCAGCTGGGATTTTGATAAATACATTTTTGTTTTACCAAAAGAGTCTATAATCAGATTATGCTATCAGTTTTGGTTTGCATTTTTGTTCGTATACTTTAGTTTTGACCACCGTGCCAACACTTGCGGAAAGTGCTACTAACTAGTGCGGAAAGTGCTACTTAGTCTAAGTAGCACTTTCCGAACTAGTTAGCTATCTGCTATTACGTCTTCTCACCTATATTTACAACGCCGTGATTGGTGATCTCCCAGCAGGAGTGCAACCTCAAGACGTTGAGCGAGTTGCTCTGCTTGGGCGAGAAGTACCCGAGCGCCGCGTCCGTCACGTGGTACGCCTGCAGCGAGAACTCGTAGAGGGCGGGCAGCAGCTGGGCGACGGCGCCCACAGCCTCGTCCGCCACGTTGATGCAATCCGTCAAGGTCAGCGCCACGATGCGCGGGTTAAGGCACGCCCACAATCCAGCCTCCGTGATCTCGTTGCAGCCGGCCAGCTCCAGCTCGTAGAGGGCCTGGAAAAAGAGAAAAATACTTCAGATATTCGATTTTTCGCGAAAAAATCAATTTTAAAATGCCAAACAGAATCGAAATTTCTTTATTTGCCGAAGAGTAAGCATGGCCAACCAGTGGCGTAACAAGATAACGTAAGGCCCTGGTTTCAAACCTTAGATTCGGGCCCCCTCTCATCTCTACAATATACATATGTAGTATTATACTACATATATGTATTAGGGTGATTCATTTCCGCAAAGTTTTTGTTTTTTTTCGGTGCTCAAGCAAAATATTAATCTGCATATAGGAAAAAACATTCTCACCAAGTTTGAGCTCTTAATATTAATTTTAAGCACTTACTATTTAAATTTAATGTTTTACCGTTTAAAATGCATGTAAAAATATATATATTTTTTCAAATTTCTAATGCTTACCCACCTTTGACAATATTGCAAATCGGTTTAATACACCTTATGGGGAATTTCACGCTCTTTAAAATTGCTTTTGAGTTTTTTTTTGTAACTCGCATTGGTTCACCAGTAGGAGTCGTCAAAGGACAGTTTTTGAAAAAAATCGTTTTTTTTACTTTTTCGAGCAAATCGCCAAAAGTAGTAAGAAAAAAGGGCTGATTCATAAAAAAAAAGTTATCCAACCAATATTTATTGAATTTACTGCCATTTTTATAACTGAACATGTAAGAAATTGATAAATACCAACCCATAATGTTATTTAGATTGATTTTTTCTATTTATTATCATTATATTTCCCTATAGTGTATACACTAAGAACTTTTTTAAAATTATTATGATTTCTCACTCACAATGAATATGAAAACAACACATAAATTCATAAAAAAACAACAAAACTTTAATCGGAATATACAGAAGGTTATGTATTTACATATTTCAAATTTCGCTTCAAAAAATTAAATAATCTTCATTTATATTTTTTTGCTATATGACAGAAATGTTGAAAAATTGCAAAATCCACGTTACAATTTTCTTATTGTTTTTTTATGAATTTATCTGTTGTTTTCATATTCATTATAAGTGAGAAATCAATAATTTTAAAAAACTTCTTAGTGTAGGGAAATATAATGATAATAAATAGAAAAAATCAATCTAAATAACATTATGAGTTGGTAATTATCAATTTCTTACGTTTTCAGTTATAAAAATAGCTGTAAATTCATTAAATATTGGTTGGATAACTTTTTTTTTTATGATTCAGCCCTTTTTTCTCCCTACTTTTTGCGGTTTGTTAGAAAAAATTTAAAAAAAAAACGATTTTTTTCAAAAACCGTTACAAAAAAAACTCAAAAGCAATTTTAAAGAGCGTGAAATTCCCCATAAGGTGTATTAAACCCATTTGCAATATTGTCAAAGGTGGGTAAGCATTAGAAATTTGAAAAAAATATATATATATTTTTTACATGCATTTTAAACGGTAAAACTTTAAATTTAAATAGTAAGTACTTAAAATTTATATTAAGAGCTCAAACTTGTTGAGAATTTTTTTTTCTATATGCAGATTAATATTTTGCTTGAGCACCGAAGAAAACAAAAACTTTGCGGAAATGAATCACCCTAATATGTATATTGTGATATATCCTACCTTTTTTTATATAAGTAGGTATAATACTTATATAAAAAAATGTAGAATTTATCATAAATCGCGACAGGAATAATTTCCTGTAGGTATGGACCTTAATATTTTGGAAAGTTTTACTTTTATTAAATATATACAGTAATAATAATAATTAGTAATTTACGTTACAAGGCCGGGAAATGGCTTATTAAAGTACGAGTCTAGATGTTTTCGGACGAGGCGACGAAGGAGCCGAGTCTGGAATTTCTAGACAAGTACTTTAATGACATTTCACGGCCGTGTATCGTACAATGTTTTATTTCATACTGTTCAATATTTTTATCAAATTTTTGGTAATTGAACTGTATATTCAGGTGAAGGTGTCAGTAATATGTCAGTACATGATGGTATCAGTATTGTCTAAACAAACTATAAAATGTAGCACCAGTAACATAGGGTGATAATGTAGTATGCTTTGAATCGGTTGCTAACAGTAACAAAGAGTTTTTTTATTGATTGTCTTGTTTGTCAATTCAGCATCGTTTTGAATAATTTCAAATAAAATGGATGCAGAGATTTTGAAAAAAAGCTCTGAAGCGACGGCGAAACTTATCCCGGTCAAGTCTTCCGGACGATATCAAAAGGAATACGAGATATTCTGTGAATGGCGCAAAACTTATAATGTGTTGTTAAAATATACCAGTCCGGTAAAGTTACTTTACCGGCCTAGTGATGTAATGTATCATTTTCCGGACTCAAATGAGTCCGGGAAATGGCACATTAAAGTACAGTATGAAATAAAATAATATAAATCTTTATTGGCCACATTATGTTTACAGAAACATTTTTGACAAGTCAACATTGAAATAAATAAATAATAAAATACATAATAATATATTACATAGTAAGCATACAAGGCACTAACGTAGAACGTACAGATACAAAACACTTGTAGACAGGTACATTGCTTTATTTTACGGTATTTAGATATTCCTCCACAGAGTAAAAACAAAAACTTAATAGGTATTTTTTTAAGGTGGTCTTAAATTTATTATAGCTTAGTGATTTTAAGTAGTTATTAAGTACGTTGTATAGGTTAACGTTTAAGGACCCATTTGTTTGCGACTCACCCCTGTACAATCTTTATTTATTGTGCGATCTTAACCGCTCTTGAGAAACTGTATTTAAAAAAAAAAAACGCCATATTTTTACGAAATACAAGGCTCACTATGTCAGTTTTTAAGAGTAAATTTTTAAGAATTCATATTAGCGATTTTTTTAAACAAAATCTAAGCACGGCACTGGATTCACCACCCCTATACCACCCCTATTTTATTGAAACCATGTTACTTAGTTTCATTTTATTTAAATTATAATAAAATAGTCGTTTTCACTTTTAAATAGTTATTTTTTACTACGGAAATAGTTAAAGTTTGACTAATTTAAGATTAGACACCATCTTTGACTATTTCTGACAGTTAAAAGTAACTAATTTCTTTAATCGTTTGCGGCCAACAACAAAGTAATATTTGAATTAAATACATATACCTAACCTCCATGGTTAAATTACCCATAAAAACAAATAAAGATGCAAAAAGTTTAGCTCAAAACAGCAACACAAATAATACATTCAACTTAAAAATATTATGAACAATATTTATTGACAAATAAAATTGATTTTTATAAGAGCGGCTGACAGCCGAATGGGTTATGACAACTACTTGACAAGCTTGACAAGTGACAGACCCGAGTTCAATCCCCGCCTGGGTCAAAACTTTTTTTAAAAATCTACTAATTTGACTATTTAATTCAGTAGAATTTGAATAATTATTAGTGACTGCTTTTTCGCTATGACAATTAGTCAAATATGACTTATAATTAGTTATTATTGACTAATTCATTTTAAGAGCTAAGTTGACACATTAGAACAACTCCGCCACTGCAGCGGCAGATGCAATACGAAATCGTCCGGAAATGATAGCAAGAGCGACACATCATAATTTTCTACGCCGCTGTCAACTTTGTGTGGATAATAACGGCGGGATAGTTGAACATTTATTATGATTTAATGGAACACTTAAGAAAATAGCTACATGAGCATCAATCGACGTAAAAAGTGAAAGGTGAAATTTAAAATCGACGGGAAAACCACGGAAACCTCAAGATACCTAACAATGAAAAGTATTGTTTTATTCGAAGTACCCAAAAATAGCTGAGTATGCAAAACAAAATACAATTATCAACAAAGTAATATATGATAGCCCAAATGTAAATTTTTAAAGAATGTAGATTATTTCCCACTGTGCAAGCATATTTTGCGTCAGGAACAACCATTGGCGGCCCAAAATTTCTACTTTACTTATAACAATTTTAATGATTTTTTTTATTTAAAAAAAAATTACTAAAATTGTTAACAATTAATTTATGTCTGCAGGATAAACAAATATACTTGTGTAATTGTCAACTGCATAACTAGATTCAAACACAATCAAATCGAATGATGTTTGTTGAACCGCAAGCGGAAATTTGAAACTCACAAAAGTTATTGGCAACAACTAAACCGTATACTACGCGCATATGACAATAGTTACTGCAAATATGCATACGTACGAGAGAATTAATTAAACATTTTAGCTATGCATTTACTGAAATGATGCGTTCAACCACCCGAAACAATTAACTAATGCAATGTTTAGTAATGTAATACATATAGGGTGCCCAACAAAAACGAAACATTACTGTATTGCGGAAGAGAAATTTGAAATAATCCTATTTTTTTTTAATAGTGATTGCAAAAACTGGTAAAAGTAAATAAATAAATCTTGAAGAGAGCAAACGCAAGGTTCGACCTTTCGACTTTTCATTCAATACTTAATTGTGATTTCCCGTTAGCTAAATGTCAAGTCGCCAATTTATTTCTTCGAAGCTATTTTCGTGTTTTATTTCTCCCTGATAAATTTAATGGAATGTCTAAAGGATTCTCTTAGCACCAGAAAAAATAATAATTGTGGAGCTCTTGAAGAAGAAAAAATTCAATTTTATTTCTACCTCTTATATTTAATGATATTTCATTTTTTATTATAGAATTATACTTTAAAAAGAGACTAAGAAACCACTATTTTGCTTTGAATATAAAGCATAACACATTATATTCAAATGACTAAAAGCAATATTTACATAAATTACAGTAGGTTTATCCTTATGGATAAATTGTGTTTGTCCACAATAAACATGTTCTAATAAATTAAATTATAATTATAGTGAATTATGTATCAAGTTTGATAAACCGCACTTTAGTCACGAATTTTAATTAGTCTGGAAAAGTTATAAACATGTTGCACACTATATTTTTTTCGACAAATATTATTATACAAAATAAATTAAATATGTCCATAAAGCGACATCTATAAAAAAAGAGTTAACAAATTGATGT